ACGAAAAAGAGAAGGGGTTTTCACTTCAATCATAGAATCAAAACAGGGCAATAGCTAGGTAAAAGCCATTAATCATCATACCGAGGATACCATAGATCGCAGGCCTCCCAAGGAGCTGATGACAATGGAGCGATTATAGAGTTTGGGAGCTTTGGATCTTTCTAATTGTGGATTTGCATTACATTAAAAAAGAGAGGATTGTGTTCTTGAGTTTTTCACAGAGAGGGAAAAATCTTCAGCTGAAGTTGGGTCTCCAAACGGGTCAGATTTCAACCCGGTTCTACATGCACCCTCTTTTAAAAACTCACCGTTGGATGAAATCCAACGGCTCTTACATACCCCTCAAAAAAACCCCTTATAACTTTCCACTCACTATAGAAGCACTCATGGTTTAGACAGGAGTGGGCTCCTATTAGGCCTATTGGTACAACAATTAGTATCATAACCTGATTCGGGCACACCACACTTGGTTCAAGGTGGAGCCATTGGTGACTCAAGCAAATTCGTAGACCAACGGAGAAAGGTTGAGTGGGCTAGTGAAGCAAAGTCAAAGGCTCTAGGAAGTCCTAGTGGCGGCCAACTAGGTGGAGTAAGGGCTCCTAGCAAAGGAAGGCTCAAGAAATCCTTGTTGGAGGAGGTGGAGTTGTGGGGAATATGTCATCCTTGGAAAACGCGAGTGTTCTAATGGGTGGGTTACCTTATCTTGGATCTCATTGGAGAATACAACAATAAACTACAAGTTCAAATATAGATGGTCCACTTCTAATTGCACCGAGGCATTTTAAGTTAAAAATCCACACATAAATGTCCATTTGGCCTAACCCAACCCAATGTATTGAACCTAGATGTGATTAAGGTGGGGACAATAATGGTGCATGGTTTGGACAGGAGTCGGCTCCTATTGGGCGTTGGTACAAGACAAATGTCGCAAAAAAGTAAATGAATAGATAAATAATTGAGGTGGTCAAGTGTCATGCTAAAATTTTGCCTTACTAATTTTGTCTAAAGTTAATACAATTACCATAAAAGTACTATAGATGGTTAAACCAAGACTTTTGTAGCTAATAATTCTTGCATATCAATATCCACTACGACAAACAGCACCTTTAAATACATATAACAAATCTCCATCATCAACACCATGCCATCTGAGGCTGCAATTGTCCCTCATGATCCTCTGCTTGTGTATGAACAAATACTCATCAATTGGCAGAGTTTTACTGCTCAAAAGCAATTGCCTCAGGTCATTAACTGTGCTTGAGTCCTTCATTTCCAATGGAATCATGGCAGCATTAAGTAAACTCGAAGAAGTTTGTATCACTACACTCAACCTTCTCACGGGAAGCTCATCCCTTACACGACTCATGCCCTTGAGGAACACAATGATTTCGGAAAATTCACGTATGCCATACTCACTTAAATTGCGAAAATCTTCGTGTAGCTCAATCCCAGAGAAGAAGAGTGACATTCTTTTGATGGGGATACCATCCATGATGTGTAATTTTTCTTTAAGGCTACGCACGGTTTCGGATCTATCCACCTCTACGTGAAGTTGCCTTGCTGAAAACTTTATGGTAATTTGAATTTTACTAGAATGGTATGAATTTAAAGGAGGCCCCATCCATTTGATGGTGAGGTGAATATTTGTACCTTCAGTGATAATTGGATAATCTTCCATGTCTAGTCCATCTAATAACTCCCAGCCAGAGACTACAAGGATTTGAGAAGCCACTGGGGCACCCAAGATTTGTTCTATCTTTCTTTTGATTTCAACAACGGGTTCTTTGAGACTCACTTCTACGCTAAATTTGTGTCCCCATGAAGTAATAATAATCACCCTCATCCTATATCCTTATTAATATGCTAAAGACTGGATGTGTGATAGTGTTTTTATTTTTCTTTTATGTGCCAAATTAGCTTCAAGAACACTCAAATATCACCTTTTAGTGGCTGGGCAACGAGCGGTTTTTATGGTCTGTATTGAGAAAGGGAAATCAAATTTTGATGTTATAGTCATGTCAAAGGAATGAGTATTCCCATATATTAATCGCATGCGATTGTACTCTAAATTCATTCAGAAAGCATTCTCGGATGCTTTGACCAAAAGAAAAAAAAGCATTCTCAAATTTTGTTCATGATTCATGACCAAGAATATTCATGCACGCATGAAACTCTCTCTCTCTCTCTCTCTCTCTCATGCATGCATGATGAGCTTAAAGAAAAAATCCCAATCTGGGTTTCGTTTGACCGTTTGAGTATTCTTTTATATGTGTGTCTAGTTTCATTTCTCTTAGGGTCTCCTTGGTCAAGACCTTTGTCCTTAACTTATCGAGCCATCCCGATGCAATTGCCTTCTATGACCGTGGCCATGTCTAAATGCTTCATCCTTCTTACCTTGAGACAAAAATGTGTCAACCTGTAAAGAGAAAAATCAAATCTTAAATACATTTATATGTGTCTAAATTTACTTATTATTCAAATAATATATCCAACTTTAATAAATGTATTTTGGATATAATTACCTAATAATTTCCTATTATGCAATAATATAACTTGTAATTTACCTGGTATGGGGATATTTGAAGTATATTAAAGCCAACACATTTATAGGTATAATGCGAAAATAATTTACCTACTCCTATTGGATATATACAAGATATGAAGGCAAATTTGTAGGTATATTATATTGTATTGATAATAATTTACCTATTATATTTTATTGGGACGAAATTTGAAGAATTTTTTATTGGTCGAAAATTTAAAGATTTTTTTATTGGTCGAAATTTTAGGTATTAGAGGAAATACAACAAAAAAAAAAAAAAAAAAAAAAAAAAAAAAAATCAAATTGATTCATGCTATAAATGAGGAAGTATTAATTAGAAATGAGGGACTTAATGACTTGCTTGAAAATCATTACGTTGACTTATTTGAAGTCTGGTGGCAAACAGTGTAAATATGTAGGAGTACTATGACCTTTTATATCTTACGGGGCATTTTAGTTTGAATTTCTATTTTATACATAGATTTGAAAATTAATGGGTTGATGTCTAGGAAATGGAAATTGTAGGGGCATACTAGCCCTAAAATATGTCTAAAGTGATATTGAAACTCACGCAGACGACGATATTGACTAAAAATTGTCGTCTCAATGGTATACAGACGATTGTATTGAACAAAAAATGTCGTCTAAATGGTACATAGAGTGAATCACCGTCGTCTTAAGTGTCACAATAGACAGTGGTCACCTATACGACGATCTAGTAGTACATTAGTAGACTGTGGCCCACTGTCTTGTGATAAGTTTTTTGTTTCTAGTTTGATCTCTTGGATTGGAGCTACATAAGAGCTTGTTTAATTAAGTTTGGTTTCATTGCTGATTGGTGTGACAGGATCATGAATTGCATTTCAACAGTTTCTTTCTCTATTCTTATTAATGGAAACCGTGAGGGTTTTGTCCCTTCTAAAGGTATAAGGCAGGGTGACCTCCTTTCTCCCCACCTTATTATTCTCTGCATGGAGCCTTCCATCAGGAACTTGAACAATTTGGTTAATTCCACTAGAACTTAGGTTGGTTTATTATCATGATCCCCTTTTGGTTTTCGAATTTGGAATTTAGTCTTTGCATATGATTGTCTAATCTTTTCTAAAGCTACGCCTGCAACCACTAGAAATATTTGGACAATTCTTGAGGCTTTCTCTAAGGCCTCAGGCCAGCATATATTAATTTCCACACGTCTACCATTTATTTCTCGTCCAAAGTCTCCACCTATCTAAAAAATAATATTAGTACTATCTTGCAAATTCAGCACAAAACCACTATAGGGAGATACTTAGGTATCCACAATATTGTTTTTTTTGGAAAGATCACCAAAATGCTAAAGAGTTAATTGATAGAAGTCGGTCCAAGTTTTCAGGGTGGAAAGCTGGAGGAAAGCTAACATCCTCTCTATAGCAGGGAGACTAGCCATGATTAAGTCTAATGTTTCTGGCATGCTAATCATGTTATGTCCTGTTTTAGATGTCCCCCCAAGTGGCGAAAGAAATGAACAAATCTTGTAGTACCTTTTTATGGGGTAGTGATAGGATTCCTCCTATCTCTTGGAAAAATGTCTGCCTTCCCAAAGATTTAGGTGGTTCATTGGTTAAACTTGCTAACCAGTTTAATCTTGCAGCTTTGGCTAAGTTGGGGTGGAAATGCCTTACAGATCATTCTAATTGGTTGGTTAAAATTGTTACTCAAAAGAACCTCAGGCAGGAGAATTTCTTTACTAGTTAAGAAAAATCAAATCATTGTTTTTCGTGGAGATATATCTTGGATGCTAGACATGTCTTATGTAAAGGTCTTAGGTGGGTGGTGAGAAATGGCAGTTCCATCTTTTTCTAGACCTTCCCCTGGGTTTTGCCTTTCCCTCTTCTTGACCTAATTCCTCAACATTGAAGACTCCCCTTAAATCTTAACAAGAAAGTCTAAGATTTTATTACCAATCAAATGGTTTGGGGCCCTAACCCTAGTGGCTCCTTCACCATTAACAGTGCCTACAATCTCCAAGTTCAGAGCATCCCTCCCATCCTCCAGCCCATCTTCTCAAGAAAATGTGGAAGCTTGAAATTCCTCCTAAAGTTAAGTTTTTGCCTAGATGCTTATAAGAAAAAGGCTTCAAGTGAGAACTAGACTTCACAGATTTATGCCTCAGCAGTGCCATGATTGCCCTTTTTATCAGGAGCAGCTTCAGACCATTCAACACGTTTTTGTGGACTCTGGTTTTTCCAAGATTGTTTAGGGAAGTTGTAAAATAGGGAAGAAAGATATTTGCCTGAATGATTTTCATTGAGTCAAAGGGTGTAACTTTATACAAGAGATTTCCTATAATGATGCTAAGCTATTCTAGGAATCTAAATTACAATAGGAAAAGAAATATTCTACAGCACGTAATTACATATTTGTTTCCTAATCCATCCTGTGAACATTAGGAAATCATTGACCTTCTTAACACTCCCCCTCAAGTTGGAGAGTGAATGTCGAGAACTCCCAACTTGCGAATCATGGTAGAAAAGGGTTCCTTTCCCAACGGTTTAGTGAATACATCCGCAAGCTGATTTGCCGAAGTAACAAACTTGGTTACAACCGAACCATCTTGTATTTTGTCCCGAATAAAGTGGCAGTCCATTTCTATATGCCTGGTTCTCTCATGGAAAACGGGATTGGCTGCTATATGTAAGGCTGCTTTGTTATCACAATGTAGCAATGCCGGTTTCAGATGCAATATTCGTAAATCCTTCAATAATGAACGTAACCAAGACAACTCACAGCATGTACCTGTCATGGCTCTATATTCGGCTTCTGCTGAAGAGAGTGACACTGTTTTCTGCCTCTTTGTTCGCCAAGAAACAAGTGAAGATCCTAAAAAAACACAATAACCCGTAGTGGATCTACGAGTCATTGGACAACCAGCCCAATTCGAGTCACAAAAAGCTCACAGAGACATATCATTTTGAGAAGAGAAAAACAAACCCTGTCCTGGAGCACTTTTCAAATAACGCAACACACGCAAGGCAGCTTCCATATGTGGTCTACGTGGTGCATGCATGAATCGGCTTAATACATGTACCGAATACATGATATCAGGCTGAGTAATAGTTAAATAAATTAGGCATCCCACAAGTCGCCTATATTGAGATGGATCTCTAAGCAATTCACCTGTATCAGAGAGCTTTATGTGTTTTGCTCAATGGGAAAGTTCATAGGTTTAGCACCCAAAATTCCACCATCCTTCAGAATTTCCAAAGTGTATTTCCGCTGTGAAATAGAAATACCTCTCTTTGATCGAGAGACTTCAATGCCCATAAAATATTTCAAATCCCCCAAATCTTTAATTCGGAAACGACTATGCAAAAATTGCTTAAGAGTGGATATAGCCTTGAGATCATTACTCGTAATAAGAATATCGTCAACATATATCAACAGTGCGGTAAAGGACTTTCCATTCCGACATGTGAATAATGAGTAGTCCGCTTTGGACTGAACATATCCGGCAGCTTGAACAGCTGTTGAGAACTTGGCAAACCATTGACGAGAAGCTTGCTTTAAACCATACAACGACTTGTTGAGGCGACACACCAAGTTCTCCCCCTGTCGCTGAAGACCAGGAGGTGGAGACGTATAAATTTCTTCATGGAGGTGAAGGGACCAATCCTGAGTAGCTGCCAGAGCCAATAAACAACGAACAGTAATCATTTTAGCAGTGGGAGAAAAAGTGTCATGATAATCAATACCTTCCAACTGTGTGTAATCCTTGGCCACCAAACAAGCTTTATAACGCTCTATGGTGCCATTTGAGTGGCGTTTGATTTTATAAACCCAGTGACATCCAATGGGTTTCTTGCCATGAGGGATAGGAGTGAGAGACCAAGTGTGATTGGCTTCTAAAGCTGCCAATTCAGATTGCATGGCGTCCTGCCAGTGTGAATGGGAAGTTGCTTCTGTATAAGAGCTGGGCTCAACATCCTGACTAATAGTAGCAACAAAAGAATGATGTTGTGGTGAGTAATGATGGTAAGAGAGAAAGTTACAAAGAGGATACCTTGTACCTTTGGTGGAACCAGACGACGAAGGCAGCGACGGTTTGGGAGACGTCACTTGGTTGTAAACATAATCACGTAAAGCATGTGGAGGACTGTGATGTCGTTGAGAACGTCGTAAAACTGGTGCGGGAGGGGGCTGAATGACGCTGGCAGGAATGGGTTGATCAAAAGTGGAGGTGGCTGGATGCGGAGACGCAGAAGGAGAATATGGCTGGGTCATTTCTAATGGAGGGACGGGAGGGGGCTGAACAACACTGACAGGAATGGGTTGATCAAAAGTGGAGGTGACTGGATGCGTAGATGTGGGGAATGAGTCGGAAATAGGAGGGTCAGACACAAAATGAGGAAGGACAGGGGCTGGAGGTGTTGGAATGGATGGAAAGGACGCATATGGAAAAATAGTTTCATGAAAAACAATGTCACGACTAGTGAAAAATTTATGAGTGGTAATGTCATAGAGCTTGTAGGCTTTTTGACCGACCGGGTAACCAAGGAAAACACAATGTTTGGCTCTAGGAGCGAATTTATGAGGGACATGCACATCAGTAGCATAGGCAAGACACCCGAAAACCTTAAGATGGGAATAGGAAGCGGTCTTGCCATAAAGGTGTTCAAAAGGAGTTTGTTGGGAAAGAAGTGGTGTGGGGAAACGATTAATCAAATGTACAGCGGTGAGAATACATTCTGCCCCAAAACGCAAAGGGAGATGGGCTTGAAAGCGAAGGGCGCGGGCTGACTCAAGGATATGACGATGTTTGCGCTCTACAACCCCATTTTGTTGGGGTGTATAGACACAAGAGTGTTGGTAAGTGGTGCCATTTTGTTGAAAAAAAATCTTTCATAGAAGAGAATTTCCCCCCATTATCCACTCGAATATTAGCAATGGATGCAGCAAATTGAGTTTTGACAAAGGAGAAAAAGTTTTTAAGTAAATGTTGTGTTTCACTTTTGTGCTGCATAAAGAATACCCATGTGAAATGAGAATAATCATCCACGATTGTCAAAAAATATTTAGCACCAGAAAAAGAAGGAATTTTGTAGGGGCCCCAAATATCACAATGAATTAACTCAAATGGTCTAACAGACGAAATTGAACTAGCAGAAAAAGGAAGTCGACATTGTTTTGCAAGTGCACAAACATCACAAGCATTATTGGGTTTGAAAGGAAAATTGAGTAAATTGTTTGCCGTAAAATCTAATCTAGAGGAAGATAGATGCCCTAATCGGCGGTGCCACAAGTCAGTGGAAGAGGTGACATGAGAACAAGATGGATGGCTAGCAATGGCAGCGGAGGATTTGAATTTAGGGCTCGATGTTGCTGACGCCAATGCGACCAAGTAATAAAGTCCGTCTCGTTGTTTACCCAAACCAATCGTCGTCTTCGTCGTCAAGTCTTGCAAAATACACCAAGAGGGAAAAAAGGTTACAGAACAATTGAGACTTCTTGTAACTTGACTCACAGACATCAAATCCACCTTGAAAGATGGCACACCAAGCACATTTTTCAGAGAAATAACAGAGTTCAAAGGTAAAGTTCCAGTAGATGTGATTGGAGCCTGTTCTCCACTGGGCATAATAACTGGCGGTAAAATAGTGTTCTGACGACCGTTGACAAGCAAATTTGGAGAAGAAGTAATATGATCGGTTGCACCACTGTGGAGGATTAATCGACGGAGGCGCAACGGTGCTTGTGACAAACTTGAAGAAGTACCAGCAGCTTTGGCCTTAGGATTGGAGGATTGATTTGCCCCTTTATTGTTTATAATAGATAATATCTGTTGAAACTGTAGATCAGAGAGAAATTGCTCGCGCTCCATGATGAGGAGCAATGGCAGAGAAAAGAAAAATTGAGACGGCAAAAAAAGAGAGAGCTAGGGTTTGTCTTCCTGCTTTGATACCATGTAAAATAGAGAAGAAAGATATTTGCCTGAATGATTTTCATTGAGTCAGAGGGTGTAACTTTATACAAGAGATTTCCTATAATGATGCTAAGCTATTCTAGGAATCTAAATTACAATAGGAAAAGAAATATTCTACAGCACGTAATTACATATTTGTTTCCTAATCCATCCAGTGAACATTAGGAAATCATTGACCTTCTTAACAGAAGTTCATCAGTTTTCCTCATTCTCCCTGTGTAAGATGGTGACTTCATTAATTGGTTGTCCTTTTTGGCTTGTACCACTCAACCCTAGGTCTGGATCACTTGTCCAAAGCTATTCTCATTTGCTGGCAGATTTGGGAAACTGGGAACAATCTATTGTTTCGAGACACTCAGCTGCACCTTGCTAGTTGTATTCATGTTGCGGCTACTGCAGGTATGTATTATTGGCAACATAACCACCTAGTAGTCAAAAATAAAAATAATATACTTACGGTGATAACATGGCACCCGCCTCCTGTAGGATGGATCAAATTAAACTTCGATGGTTCTGTCATTAATTCTCAAGCCACCATTGATTTTGGGGACATTTTGGAAAAAGCAAAAGGAGAGAGAAAAAATTTAAAAGAAGCAAAAATGGACAAAAATGCCCTTATTTATTTTTAGATTTCCTAAAGAATCCAATACATTTGCATGTCTTTGATTTGAAAGTTGAGCGGTTTTTTTGTCTTTTTTAAAAAAGCTTTGGCTTTTTCCAAAAGTGAAATTTTTTTTATGTCTAAAACCTAAAAAACCTTTGATTTTGTCATTAAGAATAGTGAGGGCCATGTTTTACTGGTTGGTGCTAATAACATAGGTGAAAATTCTATAAATGTGGCAGAAAGTTTGCTCTTCAGGATGGTCTTGCTACTGCGATTGATAAAGGTTGGCGTCAGATTATTGTTGAAGGTGACTCTAAACTTGTTATTGACAGTGTCCTCAGAACAGTTAGGCCCCTTGGAGTATCCAACATATTATTCAAGATGTCTGGCATCTGAGTTTTTCTGCAGTGTCTATTCGCTTTCATCCTGTGTTCAAGGAAGCAAACTTCACTGCGGATGCTGTAGCTAATCTGGATCATGGGCTCTCTTCGCAAGTTGTTTGGGCTTCCTTTGTCAGATGTATATCCTTTTTATTTAGACCTCTTTGGGCTCTCTTGCCCCAAAGGTTTCGCTTTCCTATTTTGCATTAAAAAAATAAAAATTTGAACAACCAGTGTGTGAGATTCATTTTCTAATGAAAAATTCAATCAGAAGGCGACAATACAGAAACGGTTAAAAACGTAAGGCTCTTAATCAAAGTTAAAGAAATAAAAAGACTGAGGTTTAAACATATAAAACCACCACCAAAAACTTCACAAAATTAAGGTTTATAGCAATAATGCCTAGTGGTTTAAACATATAAAATCACAACTGCTACAACCAAAACATTCACGAATTAAGGTATCGCCCTTGGCACGGGGCTTCGCCTTGTTCTGTGACTAAAGTTCTGACCTACAAGTTTTTGTCCTGCAAGGGGCAACATAATACACAACTAAAAATCAGCTTAAGAACCAAAGAAAAACATATTGTTAGAGCTATGATGTACTTGCCACCAACGGACTATAGTGCTCATTGCTTGGGATAATCAACTATGGTAGGAGTCTTGCCACCATCATCCTCCTCATTTCCACCATCACATTTCTACAATCACATAGGCAATTTTTAAAAGTGTGCCATTATTGTAGGGTCCATGTAACAGTCCCAAAACATTCCGTCTTTTTGGAAGCAAATTCGGACTTCCTTCAACATTCCGTTATAACACACATGATATTTGCGAAGCTATTAGTCTTCTGCTTTATCAACTCAATGATCAAGTTAGGATAAAAATCTATCCCAACGGAAATCCGAGCATCCTCAAGAATCTGTCACATCATATGCTTCATAAATCTTGAATGCTATATTAAAGTAGTCTTCAGCAAGCAGATCGAAGAATTTACCATATTGTCTCCATTTAGTTGCTCATAATTTTCTAGTCTGAATAAAATTCTTCGCTGTTGGATCTGACCACTCTTTCAGCTTGATCAAACAAGATGCCTCCTGCGAATATTGAGTCAAAGGTGTAAAAATGAAAAATAAAATGTTGAACAAAAAAGAAAAAAGAAAAAAAAATACCGCAATTTGGAACTGTTTAGTATTGAAATGCTTTTGGGCTTCTGAAATTGATATGCACTTTGGACGCACACATAGGCCATGGATGGTAAATCTCTGCGCAATGGGGTAATAGCAATCTCGTCTTGAACGGTGTTTGAAATGCATGCACCAGGTATTAGGCCAGCATCAGCTGCGGCTCACATGGAGAGCACGATTAAACAAAGGAACACGATGTGCATCATACTGGTGGGTGAATAATTTAATTATCAAGTGGCTCCTTGGTGATTTTGAAACCGCAAAAGTTAGAGCTATAATCATCTCTTAGATTAAATTTAGGGAGAAATTGAAAAAACATACCTCCAAATTCCAATCATGCTCCCTATCTACCTCCTAAAATAGGGAGATCTCTTGGGCCCCGTTTGGTAAGCTGGATTGGACTGGATATTATCAATTAAAATTGATATGAGTCCTAACCATTGTTTGGTGGGCTTCAAGTGTGTCTAGGACTGGATATGGGTCTTGGATCCAAGTCCCAAATAATTGGGGATTAGAAACCCAACCCCAGACATGGGTTTCGAAGCCAGAGACCGTGCCTCCAGCCATCTCTCTTCTTCTATGTTCTCTTCTTCTTTCTCTTCTCTCTCTTCTTTGTTCTCTCTTCTCTTCTCCTCTTCTCTCTTCTCTCAGATCCTCTCTCTCTCTTCCCTTCTGCCATATCTTCTCTGCTGCCATATATAGATCTCAGATCTCGGATGAAAGGCATATGGTGGAAGAAAAAATTGGTGAAAGGCAGATTCATAACTTCTATATATATATATATATATATATTATTTTTTTTTAATTTTGCAATTTTTTTGTTCTTTGAGATATGAAGGGAGGTGGCTAAGGAGTTTGAAGATGACGACTTATATTTGTATTTTTTTTTGTTGGATTGAAAATCGATTTTGTTGTAATTAATTTGGAAATGAGAATATAAAAATATAAAATAAAAACATGGCATACTAATCTCAACTTTAGTGTTGTATTGCACCAAACAACTTCTTAAAATTCAGTCACATCCCAACTCCAGTGTAATGTAGAAAAGTTAATCCAATCCAGTTCAATCTAGCCTACCAAACATGTCCTAGGAGCTCCTAAATCTGAAGAGAGAGAACTTCAAGTAGCTCTCTGTAATTAAATGTTACTTTACTTTAATACTATTTTAAACATTTATTTAATTTTAACTATTTATTGTTATTATTTTGTATGAAGATAAAACATTTATCCTAAACTAAAAAAGAATTAAAGCATTAATAATTTCTTGAACAATGGAGTATGGTTGTAGTTGAAATTTTATAATGAGATCCTAAAATAGTTTTCTAGTGTTTTTATCAAAATTTAACTAAAAAATAGAGTGCATGATTGTATATGCTCTTAATGCACAACTAAAGAACTCAAAAGCTGTTAGCTAAGAGACAAAATGTTAATTACAAATTTGGTCACTCAGAAAATCTAAAAAGAAAATAAACAAAAATGCTGATAAATAATTATAAATAAATAAATAAAAAAACTCACATGCCTGTTTGTTTAGGAGGATTTGGCTTTGAGAATCTTTATGTTTGGGCCGAGTTTCACAGAGTGATTTCAATTTGGATAAAATCTAGTGAGAAATTGAGTGTAAAATAAATTTTTTTTTTTTTTTTTTTTTTTTTTTTTTTTTTTTTTTTGCGAAAAAATAAACAATAAATAAAATCTAGGAATATCAATATGATAAAAGACGAAAGGGACGATTACAATAGCCATACAATAGCCAACTAATCAACTTGAACCCATTTCAATCCCAAACAAGGATCCAATACAGGTTTCAGTGTGGTATAAAAAATAATCATGGTTATGGTACTCCCCCACTCACAACCCTAATGGCTCGAATCTAGCAACAAACCAATGTCGCATGGCTTTACTCTAGCGACTTTTTCATGAAAATTTGAAAAACGCCCCAAGACAAGTCTTGGATAAACTGAAAATACATCAACATAAATAACGAAACAAAAACTTTTTCAAGGAGAGACCTAGAAAAAAAACTTAGAACGTAAACAAAGCCTAAAACTCTCACGAAGAGAGACTAGACAACAATCTCATAAAGAATTGTTGCACTTATTATAACCAAAAAACAAACAAAACATAACGCTCTATCACCACCAGCGCTCGAATTAGGCCTGCACCAAACCAAGGGAGGACGGAGACGAACATATTCGCACATATCTGACATAGGTCCACCAAATTCGTCTAGGGAGGGGGAAAGGGGAGTATTATATTAGGTTGTGTAAAGATTGTCTTTTACGAGAATTGAACCTGAGTGCACTTGGAGAGAAGGGGGAGGGGGGTGGGAGGAGGGGAGAGTTTAGCCCACTTTTCCACCATGGTGTCATCCCATGTGCAGGTCCACCAAAGCAATTGATACGTGTAAATCTGAGAATTAGAAATACCGAATAAAATCCTTGTTAAATTTGGTGAAAATATTATGGTACTGACAAGTTAAAAGTGTGGGATAAGAAACAAGGTAAAGATGGTGCAACAATCTTTGACTTGTGGTGTAGCTAATAGGCGGTGCAGCAAGTGGTAGTTTCATGGAACGATGGCTTTGGTAAAGTCTTCATATTGAAGGAAGCTTGTTGCTGACTCTTCTCCCTAGCTTGATGCCCACTCAAGGCTTCTGTATAGATAGAAGTGTAGCTTGTAATGTTTTGAGTGTGTACTCCATGACAAGTTAGAGAGCACATGGAGAGTGAAAAACAAAGGGAAATCTTTGTGGGTGAGAGATAGAGTTCTTGGGAAATACTGTGAATGTGTATACAAGGATTTTAGGTTTGGGTTATGTTGATTTAACTCAAGTGTATCTTGTACTGTTATTATTCTCATAGTGAAGTACTCTATCCGAGGACGTCGGCAGGATTTTGCCGAACCTCATCAATCTCTTGTACACTATCTTTATTCCTTGTTTATATTATTATGCTCAACTGTGGTTTATATTGTGGTGTGGTTATTTCTGAATCTCACGGTGAAAAAGCATGACAAGTGTTATCAAAGCTTTTGTTCGTGTGAGATTCAGATTTGTTCTCCATGAGTGGTGCAAACAACTTGTAATTTTCAGTTGAGCAGTTTAATGGTAAAGGCAACTTTATTATTTGGTAGAGGAGAGTAAAGGACCTCCACGTTCAACAAGGTTTGGTTAGATCTTTGAGGGGGGGAAAATGGAAAGCTTCAAGGAATAAAAGATGAGACGTGGGAAGAGATGGAGTCACAGTGCGTTAGCATAATACAACATTACAGTGTTGAAAACATTATCAATAATTTTATGGATGAGGATTCTGTGCCAGCTCTGTGGGAGAAGTTGGAGAAGCTCTATATGGCTAAGGGCCTAACCAACAAGTTATATATGACGAAGCAACTGTACACGCTGAAGATGGAGGAAGGTGGGAATCTCATGGATCACATCAACGTGTTCAGCGGATGCATTGATCAACTGCGAAAAGTTGATGTTAAGCTTGAGGAAGAAGATAAGGCCCTTTTACTTCTTACCTCGCTTCCCGATTCATATGAAAATCTTGTTACAACTTTGTTTTCAAGTAAAGATACAATGAGCTTGGAACAGGTGCAGGTATCATTGGTGTCCCATGATACACAGAAGAAAATATTTAGTGGTGATGGTGGGCACGAGTCTACATTAGCTGTTGAAGAAGGGAATCGAGGAAGGACATTTGATGGTAGATTTGAGAGAGACAGCAGGTTCATATCTAGTTCCAAAGGAAGGGTGTGAAGTGCTACGAATGTAAAGAATTTGGTCACATCAAACAATTTTGTCCTTTGAATAAAAATAAGAAAAAGATGACACTAGTTCGAGTGTTAATTCATGTGTAGCAGAAGAAGATTTTGGATTTGTCCTCACAATATCCAAAAGTAAAAACACTTCTCCTAGTGATGCTTGGTTTTAGATTCTAGTTGTACTATGCATGTTTGCTCCAGGAAAGATTATTTTGACACATTCCATGGATGTAAGGATACCTATTTATGGGTGTTGGATATCCTTGCAAAGTTGAGGGACTTGGAACTGTCAAAATAATGATGTATGATGGAGTGGTTTGCACAATAAGTGATGTGGCATATGTACCAAAGGTGAGAAAGAATCTAATATCTCTTGGAAGATTGGACTCCTTGGGATGCAAATGCTTTGTTGCAAGTGGAGCCATGGAAATCACGCGTGGTGGATTGGTCCTAATGAAAGGGAGGAAGTATGGTGGTTTGTATTGCCTGGATGTTAGTGTGGGAATGCATATTTTGGCAACCAATAGATGGGCGACACATGGAAAAGGAATATTCCTTAGGTTAACTAATTACTCTAATTAAATCTTGTTCACCCGTTTTTTATTTTAATCATGTGATGGTAGGGTAAAGTTTCCCATTGGCTTGAAAACCATTGGTGGTCAACAAGTCAACTTTCTTTCATGTATGAGCATGTCATTGCTAGCAATGAAAACCCTAGCAGACTTCTTTAAAATAGATAACTTGCGCCCCAAATTATTGACTTCTAAACAAGCGATTGTGAATTTGGGTGAGGAATATCTCCCAAGTAAGTAAGTTCTTTTCTTGCCTCAGACTGGTGATGACTTCACAATTTTTCTCATGACAAAAACTAGTAGTTCTGGCTAGAATAAATGATAAGAAAGTGAATTATTTTAGGCATAACTGCCTTTTACAAAACTCAAAAAGGGAAAGACCAACTCTAAAAAAGACAAAAGAGCATTGGACTTCAATTTCTACCTAGATAGTTGCTTTTGATCTAGACTGGACTAGGTGTGTCTATGTTGGATTGGACCATCAACACCTTCAATTGTCAAGTTTCAGTTGTAAATCGATACCAACGTTTGAGTTTGACAGAGCTTTAATCTATTTCAAGCCCTGAAAGGCTTTTTAAATAGGCAGAATTAGAGCCTCTTCAGTCTAAAAGGGGCATAAGTGGCTGGACTTGATGATTACTGAGCTAGAACTGCACTATAGTACCTGTTCTGGTTGGTCAGGGCTTTCCATAAATTTGTTGAGGTTTTCATGTTTGTAAAAACCTGGACTCTGCTTGATTTGGCTTATGCTGAACCAAATTTGTAACGAGAGAAATCTCGCTTTGTGTACGGTTCTAAGGGAAGGGATTTACCCCCTATTCCGACCGGGGAGAACATGCATAACTTGTATCCATGCGCTTCATATTCGCCTGGAGTTCGCTCCCAGAAATATAGCCATCCCTACCCCCTCACGTTAATCCCATATCTATTTCTCTGAACTGAACTGAAAATAAGAGGTTTTGAATCATAGCTATCTTGTTTCTTGTGGCTCAATGAGCTTTGGCTACTTCAGTGTTTGAAGGCTTTTGAGATCAAGTATATTGCGTTTGTTAATTGTGACCTTGAGAGTTTTTATTTTGATTGATTTTTTTGGTTGTCCTTCTCTATTCACCCTCTCTCTTATTTTATAGAAAATGCTGGAGTGGGGTTTTTAATCTTTGAATAATGGGCGGCAAATCTTTTCAAAAGATCTTTCTTTTTAAATGCCACAAAAAGAGGAAGTTATCTATTCTAGCAGAGAAGAACCATCAACAGTCAGTTCCCATGGTGGTCCTTTCCTTACTTTTCCCAAAAAAGAAAATCAACTCCTTTTGCTCTCTGTTTGTTCCTTGTGAAGAAGGAAAGACACAATCTACCATGATGGTTATTTTGTTTTTTCTGTTTGAATAGCCCCCTTGCTTCCTACTTATCTTTTGAGATCGTAGTTTGCTTATCTACTGGAAAGATCACCTGCTTTGGTGTAGAGTTTCTCTGTATTTATTAAAAAAGGGATTTTGATCTTTTTGTTTGCAAAGATTTGAAGAAGCCTTCGTTTTATAGCTGCCTTCATTAACTGTCTATCAACTCTTCTGTGATAGTTGAAATTTTTGAATTTTCAAAGTCAAGTAGTCACGTGGGGCTCTTCTGGGAAAATCATTTTTTTATTAAGAAAAGATTTGCTGACTTGCTTTTGAGATCAAGTGGTGAGAATTCTTCAGAAGCTGGGCTTAATCCAATTTCTTAGAGGTTTTTGACTTGCTTGGTGATGATTTTCCATTTAATTGGCAATTTTATTGATTTATTTATTCATTATTTTTTGTGTTCTTAAACCTCTGCCATTTTTGAAAAAGACGTGGGCCTTTAATGTTGACTGTGTTGCTTTCCTTTTCTTCTAAGCCCAAGACTGTTCATTTATCACGGGTTTGACAAATTCTGGGCTGGGCTCGCCGAATTTCGAGAAATTAGTCTGGGCTTTCTCTATTTTGGGCTTCTCTTCAGCTTCTTTTAAATATCAAGCCCAAGCTGTGCTCATGTTTGTGGGCTGCATAAATAGGCTGGGCTTGTGGAATTTAGGCCCAAACAAATCCTATTTAATTAGGGAAATTATCATTAATTTAATATGAGAATATCTCCCCAAATCAAGGATGAGATTTCCATCAAATCTCCTTGATTAATTCCAATCTCCTATTTATGGATAAGAATAATCTCAACCAAATAAGGATTATTCTTCAAACCCTAGCACACAAGGAGCCAATAAATACATGGCCACACAAGGCATTCAAGGTAACTCTTTCACACCTGAAAAACAATCTTGCCGCCACTCTCTCTCTCTCTCTCTCTCTCTCTCCCCTCTCTCCCACATAACTAAGTGCTACCATACATAGCTCCGGCCACCTGGCTCTCCTCGTGAGAGAAAACTCCATCCATTTTAGCTATTGTCGTATCTTTATCAAGATCCAATCGAACTAACTTAGGCATCAAAGGGCCTTTTACCAACACCCCCTCGGGTGTGGTCTATTTACTCCAATTTATTTTGCAGGGATTGAGGAAGATAGAGAAGGAAGATCGAAGGTCAATGAATCAACCCGCGAATATTTTCTGTGCAGAACTTTGCTCAAACATTTTGGTGCTTTCATTGAGAGCACGAGTTATAGTCAACGCGTGCTCTTGAATCAAAGGAATTTGTTTCCTACTATTAATCACTCAACCAAAGCCTTCCAAACAACAATGGTTGGAAGCAAGCGTTTGAGGAGTAAGAGCGCCATGAAAAATCCAAACTCTTCTCCTCTCCATGGCTAGAATCGCACCACAGCTACAAGGCTTTAGGACTAGAACCAGTGTGCCTCTGCACGCCATCGTGGCTGGATCTACCTCACAGTCGCATAGCCCTGTGTCCGGATCCACCTCGCAGCCGCTGCACACCACCATGGTTGGGTCCACCTTACAACCGAACGGCCTTATAGCCAAGACAACCTTGCTGCTATAAGCCTTAATTGCCGGATTCGGTGATGTCCACCACGACCTCGACATCCATGTTGGCCCAACCACTCACAGCAATCCTATTGCCACCAAATGTCGCAGTCCGATCTTAGACCAACATAATTCATTTCCTCCTTTGCCACCACACTCGACATATGTTCCCGTGTACATCTCCAATGATACCCTAGCTTGTGTGCAATTAGGCTAAAAACAATTTTCTTCTCCTGATCCACGAAGTCAAGTAGACCTCAGTCTTAGAGTTGACCAGCTGGCTCAAAAAGTGGACGACCAAAACAACTTGGTTGGGCAGCTCCTTAACTAGATTGACTTGGTCCGAGACATTGTCCTTGGACCGGAAGGCAAAGATAGAAGGTTGGACGAAAGCACCCGCATGTAGTTTGAGAGGGCCCATGTAGGTCGAGCAGGAGTGAGCAACCAAGGAGAAGGACAATAGCGTGCTACTTAGCACGTCGGCTTGTCTCTGATCAAGATTAAGTCTTAGGATCAATGTGCACGAGAGGTTGGGCCCACGCAACAGCCAACATTCACAGCAAAGCCCACCTGCACAACTACCGAACTGTAGCAGAAGCCGCAGTCCAGCAACCGAATTCACGATGCGCTCAACAAGAAGATGCTGCAATAGCCACCGATACGCTACCAACATCCAACACGGCCTCTACCACCAACCAAGGTCTCACGAGGACAACCACAGGCCAGCGCCGGTTGGTCCTTGTCGCAAGCAAACAAAAAAAAAAGAAATTTAGGGCAACCATCGTATCATCGCGATAACCACCATGTTACCACCTCTGCCGTCACTATGACAACCGGCCGAGCCCACCCGGTTGGTCCTCGCCGCGAAGAAGAAAAATAATCATATTCGACTTACCTTGGGGTACAAGACGACTCCTCTCTTCAACAAGCAGTACAATTCTCCAAGATCTCTCTTAAGTTAGAAAGCAGAGAAGACAAGTTTGTAATTTGAAGAAGAGTGAAGAGAAGCCTTGTATTTATAAATGTTGGGCATCCTAGGTCAAGGAGGAATCACAAGCCTATTCCTATTGGGAGCCCAACTCCAAGAAAAGTCAAAAGGCTACTCCAATTAGGAGCCCAATTTGCAAAACGAATCAAACTCAAGGAAGCAAGCCCAGATGCAGTTCGAAAGCTCGTAGAGTATTTCTAACCTCCTCCATGCCTCACTAGAGCCATGCAAAAGCTGGGGGGTCATTTGTGGGAGCAAATATTCAGACTTCCAATCACAAGATGCCACGCGGACAAGAAGAATATCTCCTAAGTCAATTAATTGACCCATTTATTTGTCCAATTAATTGATACTAAAAATAGGGATATTATCTTAAATATGAGATGTTATCTTTATTTGGGAATATATGACCAATTAAAAGATAATATCATCAATTTAGGATATTATCTCATTTTAGGGATATTATCATCAATTAGGAAGATATTCTTTGAAAAACCCTAGATGGTTAGAGCCCTATAAATACATAGTCACATTCAACACACAAGGTAATTCCAAAACTTAGCAAAATCCCCGAAACCTCTCTCTCTCTCTCCCCTAGTCGATGGCCTTCCTAGCCGTCGGCCTCTCCCACACTCATCTCTCCCACACAGCTAAGTGCCACCACACACTGCTCTCCCCGTAAGAGAAAACTTCGTACCCTTTTTAGCTATTACTGCATCTTTTCTCAAAGATCCAATCGAACTAACTTAGACATCGAAGGGCCTTTGGCCAACACCCTCGGGGTGTGGTCTTTTACTCCTGCTTGTTTCGTAGTAATCGAGGAAGAGAGAGAAGGAAACTCAACAAGTGAAGGAGATCTACATGTGAACCCACTTTAACTATAAACAATTACTTCAAAAAAAATATATAATCAATTAAAATTTCTAATACTATAATCAAGAGAGCATTTCCCACATTTTTAACATGAAGAAAAATAATAGAATAATTTCCCAACTTTCATCATGCAATGTCTACCATCCATGCACAATCACGAATAGTTATAAGGGCTGAGGCCCTTTACACCATACAATCAAATCCAAAATCATTCATCAATTCAAAATGGTCTTAGACTCGTCATAACCATATATACATTCTATTAACATTCATTCAGTAATAACTAATAAATAAACAAACATTTAATCTCGCCCAAGTTTCAATTGGGCTTAAGGCCCACCGACATATACAAAACCAAACCCAACAAAAATAATAAATACTATTTGAATCCAATAACTATATTAAAATCCCAAAAATATATTTTATTTCGCTGCTGCACCTAGGAGAAACCTCAGGCTACCTACGTACTCCTTTTCTTAAGGGGTCTAGCCATATGTAGTTCTTTCAGCCATGAAACCGAAAAGAAATTATCCATATACGCAACTGAAGACATCAATTGCTTTTGCTACCATCGAATTATATACATACTTTTATATCGAGAGACCTTACTAACTCATTCGTTGAATCCCGTTACAGCTTTAACTCTGTACCTTTCCTCAGATCATCCTGTTGTAAACGATAATTAAACAAGAAATCAAACTTGCCCAATTAACAAACAAGCTGTAAACTATCAAACAATTCAATCCAAACATCCCATTCTCAATCCATAAATTCTTACATGACCCTAGAGATCTTGGTAAAGACATATTCTAAAACAGGACTGATCTGATAATCCGATCATAATAACCCAAAAATTACATAATAGGTGAAATTCCAATTCGCTAACCAAATGGTGGAATCTCACGTATCGAGGCATACCGTCATGCTCAGGATGACATGAGAATAATTTTGGGACCAAAATATAATTTCAATAGTGGCCCATGAGCTGCCACATGTCGCCGGCCTTAATGGTTGCCCACAACAAACCCTCAAACTATAAAATCAAGCCCAAAAACCTATATCAATTGTTAGAGCACGAAAATAAGATGAAGTTTCATACCTTAATCGACGACAATGGTGCCCGAAAACACCGCCTGAAACTCCCGAAACCCCTGGCTCTTCTTCTAGCTCGCACTGCTGCTGTGTAGCCTAGGGTGGCAGGTTCTTTGTCTAGCCATGATAATTGGCTTAGGATAGTCTTTTCCTGACCAACGGCTTGACAGAGACGATCATTGGCCTGGAAGGCTCGGTGTCGCTGGGCAGAGAGAGAGAGAGAAGGTTGAGGAGAGAGCAAATGACGAAGGAGGGTGACACACGTTGGGCTGGGGTATTTAGGGGTTTTAAAGAACAAAATTTCAAATTCCCAACACATCCTTTTCATTTCTTGACCTGAATTTCCTCGTTTAAACTCGGAAGCCTGCCTCTATCTACGAACTCATATCGTCGAGCTATACTCAATGGTGTGACTCAATCTCCCAAAACTAATCCCGAGCAAAAAGTGAATAAAATACCTTTATGCCCAAGGGAAAAATTGTAATTTCAAACTGATTTTCCAAAATAAAAGATTATTTTGGGTAGGGATGTTACACTAAGTCTAAATCCCAACTTCACATCTAATTAAGCTAAAGCAGAATAATAACCCTACCTCTCTGTCCCACTCAACCCTACCATTCTTCTCTCACGCCTCCCATCTTTAAAAAATAAAAAAATAAAAAAGAAGAAGAAACTTCTCTCTCTCTCTCTCTCTCTCTCTCTCTCTCTCTCTCTCTCAACTTTCCTCTTCGTCATGACACAGTTTGAAACGAAAATTAAGAGTGAAAGAACACAAGAAGCATGCGCTTCTTTTTCCTCCTCTTAGGCAAACTAGTGAGCAGTTGGAAGGCATTTCGTGTAGTTGTTCAAATGATTCAGGTTGACCTCCAAGCCTATTTCCACTGCTTTCATGGGGGTCGTTCGACCCTAGTAACCTCACTGTGGGTCAGTCTTTGAGTGTGGGAACACATATTTCGAGAAATTTGCACAAAAATAAGCAATCTTTCTTGGTCACAAACTCATGATCTTCCTATGTGTCCCAAGTAAATTAGCATCCACAACTTCAACACATCTTCCTATGAGTTTGCAATCCCTTGCTTTAAATTCAGTTCCGCACCAAACATCTCGTCTATTGGCTTCCTTCTTGTGAATGTTTCCATAACTACAATTCCAAAACTTTACATCCCCTCTTCATAATTAAGGACAATATGTATGTTATTTAAAATATATTAAAATAGCAAGTGCATCTGGAGCCTGCATATACCCAACTGTGGCTAGGGTCATTGTTTTCCATAGGACAAAATACGATTTATAATAGGTTATTGGCCAAAAGTCCCTTTTGGTCCTTGTAGTTTGACACTTCAATCACTTTTTATCCTATAGTTTTAATTTCGTTCCTTTTGACTATGTAGTTTCATATTTGTAGCAATTCAAAGACATATTAAAATTTATGTCAATTTCTTTAACAGAGCAACCACGTGCAATTACTGCTTGAGATGGGTTCCAATGCTTTTGTTTATTCCATTCTTTTATGGCCTTGTTTTTTTTTGTCTTTTTGTTCAAATGGCCTTGTTTTGTTCTGTAACTTTGGGTTTGGAAAGTTATTGCTTTGTTGCTTTGGCAGTTACTGTTTGAGATGGTGGTCAAAAAATTTATAAAATTTTATGTGTGTATTGGGAGTGGTTCCATACATGTTTGAACCAGTAAAACCTTTAGGAAACACAATGGTCCCCTATTTGCATAAAGCAAAGCAATATGCATGCCATTTGTTATTTAAAAGCTTTGAATGCTCTGATTCACATAAAGTAAAACAATATTTTCATTCTCATAGCATTGATTTTTCAGATGCTGGCCCTCCACACCACTCCTATGCAAAGACAAAAGCTTCCTGTAAGTGTTTTCATTTTTACTAATATATATTTATATGTAAATGTATATATTAATATATATTTTGTGGCTATGCAGATTAGGAAAGATTATATAAATGCTCCAAACACTACTACAAAAATTGAAATAGACGACGGGAAAACACCGTCGTCTTTTTGTTTTTCAAACCGTCGTTAAATCGACCGTCATCTTTTTGAATGTCAAACTACGACGGTAATTAACCGTCGTCTATTATATGTAAAAACGACGGTTTTTTAAAGAAGTGTCGTTGTTTTCATATAAAGACGACAGTTTTTGTTAAAAAACGTCATTGTTTGAAGTAAAGATCGTTAATTATATGAATAAAGATGACGGTTTGTTTACAAAAACCGTCGTGGATTGTTTGTAAAGATGGCGGTTAATTAATGCCCAAAAATCGCCATTGATTAGCTATGAAGACGACTGTTGTATTTTAAATCCGTCATCTACAACAATTTTAACTAGAATTCCAACTATATTGTTTTATTAATGAACACATACTCAAAAATTGTTTATTTCATAAAACTTGAAGATTCAATATTATTACATAGTTAATCAATCTTTATTCCTATCACATACATACTTCCTAAATAATGGAGTATACTAAATTACATGATTCCTAAAATCAACCTTTGCTCTTTCCCTTCTAGTTCTGTACTCAACATATAGTTGACTGATGAGATAAGCAGTCCAGCTTCCCACCAACCCATAAAAAAGCTGAAATAGAATCCCATATAGCAAATCTAGTTGGGAAAATGAATATGCATGGCAGTGTGAGAAGCACTTGAGCAACCTGCATTAAAAATTCCATTAAAACCAAATTCAGATATATAAACGTAATTAGCTACACACATTAAATACACAGTTACATTAACACAAATGGCCAAATTTAAGAACTAAAATGTGCAAATTTGAAAAATCAACTACTTAAATGTGCAAAAAGTACCGTAATATCTAGTCAGTTGGTGTACTATTTGCATGCTGCAAGTCACAAAAAGGAGACTGACAACTCATGTGGAGCAAGGCAAAGAAAGTTGTACGCTAATACCTTTCTTGACCACTGAGTAAGCTTCCTTGTAGCAGCAACCTGTACCAAATCAGAAAAACAAAAACAAAATTTTTTGTGGAATTAAGTATTATGTTTTGAAAAGAAAATAGGAATTTTTCATAAATAAAAATAAAGAAAAAGAAAATAGGAAGTCAATGTAGCAAATCAGTAGCAACTCACGCAGAGAAGGCTCAGCAAAGTGAGCAATGAGACGAGGTCTTGAGTTCATCTCTGAATCAACACAAGGAGGAGGACCCTCCCCCTTTTCTCCTTGTCCTACTTGCCCCTGTACATAGACAAAATTTAAAAAAACAAAAATAATAAGACTTCACAACATGTTTCAATCCATGTCTTTCAATTCCCAAACAACAAACGATTGGTTGTTTTATTCACAAAAACTACTCGAATTTACCGCCATACAACGAATAATATGAGGAAAGAAAAGAAGTGATTACATACCTTCTCAAGTTTAGCAGCAATATTTTTAATGCATTTCATGTAGTTTAGTCAAGTACATCTCCTTCATGAGTTTGATCTGCAAATTCAAGTCAGCAAGACAAAGATGATTAGAAAGAACATTGCAGCCACATGCTTGCAGGCGGCATAATTATCACTAGGTTTCATTGTTTCTTACTAGCACATGCGCTTATTCGAGTTTTTCTCCACAATGCTTTAAAATACAGTGCCAACAGAAAAGATATCGTGCATGCAACCATGAATTCATATATGCTTGTATGTAATGTAGGGAGAGCTTCAAATAACTTCACAACTGATGATTGGTAGTTTACCAAAGCAGTAACCAAAAGGAATCTTAACTAGAATTCTGTAATAGCATAGTAGCTCCCATTTTTGGAATTACCTTCTGAAAATATATAGATTTATTTTCCCTATGCTACTAAAAAATTCTTCTCATATATTCAGAGTCTATTACCATTGATGAGTGTTACTCCAGCACCAACTGACAGTTCAAATAGACCCCGAGTATAATCCTTACCAAGATAGCCAAACCTGCCCTAAACTTCTACTTTAATCATATAGAATACGTGAAATTCATCTTATTTCTACTGAAAACAACAGAAAATTTGATTGTCTAACCATACAGGTTCTTATGCTATGTCCTGTTATCCCAGCAGCTACAAGCATTCCTACTAATCAAGCCTAAATATAATCTTTATAACTGCTCAAATGGCCAATCCCTCTAAAACCCTGCCTTCTGTTCCCTTTTCAATCCTATGTCACATATAAAAGGCATTTTCTTCTAAACAATGTACTCCTAGGTTTTGTTACCTGCTATGTCCTGTTTTCTACTACTAAAGAATTTCATTGCCATTCTGGTGTTAAAGCAGCTCATTACATTCACAATAAACCTATATATAATCAAATACACAAATAGATAAAACCCAGATTTCTTTTAATCTTATATCCATTCATTCGACAACAAGTCAGGACATCTCACTTTTTGATAGACCTCCTATTGCCAATCATCGCCAGTTGCATGTCCACTCTGGGCTGAAGCTACAAAATATGCATAAGTAGGTCAGCATTTGCACATTGTAGGAAACTTAATAATGACAATTATACTGAAAGAAAAAAAAAGCATTGCCTACAGAATAGTGATATAGAATTATGGAAAACTATCATTCTATATAAAATCCCTAAAATAGTCGATGGTGTGGAGTTCATACCAGCTTTTTATACCCAAAGCCCTAATTCCTAAATCAACTCAGCAGCATCTTTAATGGAAGAACCTAAATCAAACAAAATAAAACATACACAGTTTCTTCGATAATAAACCAAACATAATAAAACATACCCATTGCAAAGTGTTCACGAGACAATCATAACCAAATCTGACATTAAAACCCTCACTGATCCATTCATGAATCATAAAAATTTTAAATTAAAAATCAAAAAAAGAGAAGAAGAAGAAGAAGAAGAAAACAGAGACACAGAGAGAGAGAGAGAGAGAGATTACTTGTAGTTTTTCCCTTAAAATTAGTGCTTGAGCTTGGTTCGTTTTCAGAGGGAGAGAATAAATTTTGGCGAACGAGGCGAGTTCGGTGGACTGAACGCGGTGAGCTCGGTGGATTGAACGACGGGATGGAGATGGCAATCTCGGTGAACTCGGTGTCCTGAACGGCGTGACGGAGATGGCGATCTCGTCAAGTTCGGTGGATGGCGAGAGGGAGATGTGCTTCATCGATGTGAGAGAGAGTTGAGAGAGAGAGAGGGTTTTGTGAAGGGTTCGTGAGAGAATTTGAGATAGTACACTGTTTGAGAGAGCGAGTGTTTTCTGAAAAGCTCCGCGCTCGCGTACTAAAAGTGAATTTTTGTTTAGCACCTCATGAAAACACGACGACGGTCTTAATAAGGTATCGTCGTAATTTAAAAAATCAACCTAATATGTTGGCGTATTAGGTACTTTACCAGGACGGTGTTATAAAATTGGTTGTCTTTTAAAATACCACGACAATTTTTATATAAATGGTCATCTATTGGGTGTCGTAGTTCAATATAATTGTAGTAGTGAAATGCACCAGGAACAACTTCTCTTATGCCCACTCCAAGGCCAACTTCTCTTATGTCTGCTCCAAGACCCAAGGCCTATTCCTAATATGCAAATTGGAAATTCAAGCTCTGTGAATCAAAGACAAATTGGAGGTGCAAGATCAATGAATCTGTTTCCCTCTTTTCGGCCGGGGCGGCCGACGAAAGGAACTTTTAGTCATTCTTTTGAGTGCGGGGCATACCACCACCAAGCCTCGAATTTGGGCTTGAATGGAATGTGAATAGATGGATGTGTTACGCTTCTAACTTTTGACCAAACAATTGATCGACCAAGCAAGGAACCTCATCTTGGCCTAGATTCTTTCACTTCCTCAGGCTCGAGGATAGTTAGGTTTCGTATGGATGTTTTTGTGATTTTTAGGGTTTTATGTAAAAATAATGCAATTAAACTAAATATGCGTATAAACGTAAAGACAAGAATTGAATTGTGGTAAAATAAATCAAAGCGATAAATAAAGCAAGAACGACATAAAAGCGATAAGAACGATAACAACGATAAAAGGAAATAAACTTGAAATTAAACTTAATTGAAGTGCGATAACAATGAAAATTAAAGCAATATAAATAAACTTGAATTTAAATGACAAGGAATATAAATCGAAACAAGAATTTACATGACAAGAAAAATATAAACTTATACTAGAAATATGAAGAACTCACTACACTAGGTGCTTGAAAAGTAAAATCCTAAGTCTAGGACAAAAAAAGTGCGAGACGAAAGATAAGTTTGTTTGTCTGATGTTGTGTGTCTAATGTCTTCATCGAGCAAGGTTTATATAGGGCACTCGTCAGCCCATGGGCTGACCATCGAATGGCCAAAGGTCAACTATTTTAAAACTTCTTTCCTTCCAAGGCCCCCCTAAATCCGTAGGAGGATTGCATTAATTGAAATATTCTGACATGCTTGATTCTTCCTTGCTTTGGAACACTTGGAGTTACCATAAAAAATCCCTTGATTTCTTTCTTTGTGAGGCCTCTGTCATGTGCACATAATCCTCCGAAAATTTGGGCTTGAATCGTTGGCTGGGGCTAAGACTTTTGATCTCTTGGCATGACATGAGGGTGCTGTTCATGATCTTTGAACTCCTGAAGCTCTAAAATTGGTTTGCCAAGGAACTTAATTCAATCCTCATTTTCATATTGTTTCCCTCTTTTTGGCCGGGGTTGCCGACGGAAGGAACTTTTGGTCCTTCTTCTTTTGGATGTGGGGCGTGCCACCACCAAGCCCCGAAATTGGGCTTGAATGGAATGGGAATAGATGAGTGTGTTGCGCTTCTAACTTCTGACCAAACGATTGATCGACCAAGCAAGGAACCTCTTCTTGGCCTAGATTCTTTCACTTTCTCAGGCTCGAGAATGGTTAGATTTCGTACGGATGTTTTTGTGATTTTTATGGTTTAAGTAAAAATAATGCAATTAAACTAAATATGCGTATGAACGTAAAGACAAGAATTGAAATGCGATAAAATAAATCAAAGTGATAGATAAAGCAAGAATGAAATAAAAGCGATAAGAACAATAAGAACGAAAAGGAAATAAACTTGAAATTAAATTTAATCGAAGTGCGATAACAATTAAATGTAAAGGAATCAAAATAAACTTGAATTGAAATGATAAGAAATATAAATCGAACAAGAATTTAAATGACAGGGAAAATATAAACTTACACTAGAAATATGAAGAACTCACTACACTAGGTGCTTGAAAAATAAAATCCTAAGTCTAGGAAAAGAAAAATGCGAGACGAAAGATAGGTTTGTTTGTCTGATGTTGTGTGTCTGATGTCTTCATGGAGCAAGGTTTATATAGGGCACTCGTCAACCCATGGGCTGGCCATTGAATGGCCAAATGTCAACTCTTCTTTAAAATCTTTCCTTTCGAAGCCCTCCTAAATTCGTGGGATTGCGTTGATATTCTGACACGCTTGATTCTTCCTTGTTTTGGAACACTCGGAGTTACTATAAAAACTCCCTTGATTTCTTTCCTTGTGAGGCCCTCCGTCACGTGCACGTAATCCTCCGAAAATCTGAGCAATAATCGTTGGCTTAAACTTGGGCATCCGATTTCTCTTGCATTGTAACCCATATAATATATACTAGACTTCATATTATTCCATATATACATATTAATATATATTATTATATATATATATGTATATATGTTAGCACCAAAATATGGCAGGGCAGCTTGCACTGCCGAGAGTATACATTCATATATTAGTATATTATATATATATTTATCAACCTAAAATAGGATGGGAAGGGCTTCAATTTTGAAAGCTGGCCGTGCCCAACAGTTTCCTTGGTTTACATATATTTGTATATGCATACAAATAATTATATATATATACCAATATATTCATATATGGGTGAATGAATCAAGACAGCTTGGTTGAAATGCCTGGTCCATGCGGATGGGCTCATTAAAGTGAAGCCCTCCATTGTGATATACAATATTAATATATATATATATATATATTAGGTCAATAAGTTGGCGGCCGCATTCATCCCTTTTATGCCTAGCCGCATATTCATCCGCCCAGCCATCATTCATCTGCCCAGCTCCACCCATTTTATCCGGCCGCACTAAATTGTGCCCAGTTACATTCGGGCCTCAATTAGAACGAATCTCGGCCGCACTAAATTCCAAGCAGAACCCGGCCACAGTCTTCCAATCCTGCCCAGCTACGAACTCCTCCAATCCTGGCCGTGCCCAACAGAAAAATCCATATGCACTTCCATCTATAGCCAGCCGCAATTCTTCTTCTCCAGTCACACCAAATCGTGCCCAGCTGCCTATTGCCCGGCCGCATATTCATCACGCCCGGCCGCATATTTCTCCAATCCCGGCCGCTATTTCCAACTCCATTCGAGCTGTCCGGCCGCATCTCGTATGCCCAGCTTTTTCGGGTCGTGCCCAGTGAAAAAACCTTGGCCGCAACCTCAGTCTCCAGCCCCTTTTAGAACAAAACCCAGCTGCGATCTTAGAGAGCTATTCAGCCCAGCCGTATTCTCCTCGTGCCCATCCAATATCCCGTGCCCAAATTAGGTGGGTTTCTACCACCCCCAAACACACACATATATATATATATATATTCATTCATATATTTAATTTAGGCTTATTTATGTACATGCCCCCTGTACTTTCAAACTTGTCTCAGATTACCACACGTGTCTGTAATCGTCTCAAAGTACCCCCCAACCTTTTAAAAACTGTCTCACGTTACTCATTCCATCAGTTTTTTAGCCGTTCCGTTACGAGCGTTGGGCCCCACTTCGTTTTAACCTTTAACCTCTTCGAATAAGGGTTTCTTAGTTCTAAGAAAGGGGGAAATTGGGTGAGAAGGGGAAATTGGAGAAGAGGGCTTAGGGTTTGTGAAAATCTGAGGGTGGCTTCGATTTTGGGAGAAGCTGGAGAAGAACAATCATATGAAACTGACTAACATAATAAAACAGGAGCTTCAGGATTTTAATCAAAGTTCAAGTATTAAATTCACAGAGCCTAAGCTCAATTCACGGCTAATTTATCATTAGAAGCCATTGAAGGTAGCTGGAGCTTCATGAAGAAGTGAAAAAAATAGCTCACACCACTGACTTCACAATCAAAGCTCATACAATTCCAGAAAACCCCAAGCACTCACCAGAAAAGGTAAAAAAGTCTTTGGGTGCCCAAGGAATTCAAGCACAGAGCTTTGATAAGCCTCTAGAAATGGACAAAGAGATGAAATGAAAGTGAGGGTTTGGAAAACCAAAACCCAGAGGGAAGAACAAGTGCACCCAGCAAAGGAATGCACTTGAATGCAATGCTCTCAGAGATGCTTAGAGAATCTGGAGGCCAACCTCAGATTTTCACAAACCCTAAGCCTTCTTCTCCAATTTCCCATTCTCACCCAATTTCCCCATTTCTTAGAACTGAGAAACCCTTATTCAAAGAGATTAAAGGTTAAAACGAAGTGGGGCCCAACGCTCGTAACGGAATGACTAAAAAACTGACGGAACGAGTAACGTGAAACGGTTTTTAAAAGGTTGGGGGGTACTTTGAGACGTTTGCAAACACATGTGGTAATCTAAGATAAGTTTCGTATCTTGACCTAATGTCGGGAGAATTGGCTTACCGTGCCTCCACTGCTGTAGTTGACGTTACAGCCGGATCGATTCATGCTTTGGCGAGCAAGCGCTAAAGCCCGCTTTGGGCTGACATTGAGTGGTATCATACATCATCCCCTTCCTTATAATAGAAAAACTCAACAAGGCTCGACGCGAAGCACAAAAGCGCTTTAAGGCGCATTAATCAGGCTTTGAAGGTCACACAAGAAGGCTATTCGACCGACAAAACGTAGGAATTAGTGCGTGCTGAAAAATTGACATGTACATAAATAAGCCTTTAATTTACACATGTGGACCATCCGGTTATTGAATTAGGCCAAACAGCACATGAACTTTCCCATGCATGAAATATGAATGAATCCTTTTGTATATACATGTGGCCCAGGCTAGCTACTTGGGCTTTTTAAATTAAACTCATATACATGAATGATATTAGAACTAAGCCCTTAAAACCCTCGGTTGACTTTACAAACTTTAGCCCCCATGACTTTTGCCCAAAAACCGGTGGCTTTCGGCTGCCAAAAACTGGGCAGCGATAGCAAAGAATTCGGCCACACCTTCCAGCGCAGCCGGCCGCCAAGCTCCTTCGAAACCGGGCTCCAAATCTCGACTGCCACATTCTGTCCATTTGTGCCCAGCCGTATTTCTCTGCCCATTTTTCCTAGCTCTATCCGGTCCTAATACTCTAGCTCCCGGCCGCAATTTCTAGCCAAGGTCCGGTCGCAATCACTTCTACCACGTTCGAACTTGTCTGGCCGTATCCTCCAGCAGATTCGGCCGGACCATCCCAGCAGCCCGGCCACTCTCTCAGCCACGCAAACATCCGGCCGCAACACCCATTCGAAACCCGGCCGTGCTTTTCCAAAACTCTCAATAGTTCCGGCCGTCACTTCCAGCAACCCCAGCCGTGCTCTCGCAAACCCCTGCTTCCAACGGCTGCCCAGCTCCATTCGGCCCAACTCCATAGTTGAGAAGCCCGGCCGCTATTCTTCTCTTGCCCGGCCAATTCTCATGCCCGTGTTAGGTGGATTTCTACCACCCCTAAATAGAATCCAAGACGAACTCTTAATATGAAAATGGAAGGTGCAAGTTCTGAGAATCCAAGGCATATGGGAGTTAACATTAGGCAAATGGGAGGTTTAAGTTTCCGATGGAACCCACCAGGAAAAGCAACAAACAAGAAAAATTCCAAGCGAACTGAAATTGCTTATTTTGGTTGTTGGTCAATATTTTGTGAGCTGAAGTTGGCCTGTACTTTCTAATGTAGTTTATTTAGGGAGATTCACTAATATACCCAATATAGGAGCCCAAATTATAAAAAAACCCTATATGAAATGGAATTTATAAACACACCCAAAGCTCATTTATAACATAACAAAAAGGCTTTTAACTTCTTTTAAATTACAAAATTGCCATTGATTTCTTAAAACAAACCCAACCCAAAATTTCATAAAAAAGCCCAAAACACTCAATAGGGTATCAAAGTAATTTAATAATTAAAATTAAATTTAATAGTACCATTTGTCATTTTTTGAGTTTTTTTTTGGTATATTTATAAAAATGAAATGATGTAGGGTTTATTTATAGTTTTAGTGCTAAGAATGGGTATATTACTAAATATCTCTAATATTTTCTGGTTGTTGGCCAATATTTTGTGAACTTTCTTCTTTTGCTATATCTGTAACAGGCCTTGAATTCTTATTTTGTTATCAGCCATGCTTTTTTTGCTGCAAGTGTAAGACCCCTATTTTGGGTATAATGCAATCATATTTGACTGAAAAACACTCAAATGTTCATTGTGAAATAGCAATCAGATTTATTAATCATAAGAGAAAGATACTAAATTCTTGGTTTTTTATTTTTTTCATTTTATAGAAAGATACTTCATTAGAAAAGCTCCAGAAAGGCCAAAGGAGGAAACAAGACAGCAATAAACAATCATGCATAAATACAAAACACAACCACCAGGCGATAGCAACCAAAGTCGTTTGGTTTTACACTTTTGAACTTCATTTTCAAAGCAGCCACTATCTCCTTCAATTGCTATAGTTGCTATAGTTGCTGAGTGGTGGTGGGTGTGAGGTGGCGAATGGTGGAGGGAGTTGAGAAAGGAGGAAGAGAAATTGGTTATTTGGAAGATTGAATCTATAGGGAGAGAGAAAGCGGATGGAGGAGATAGAGATTGGTTAGGTGCTGGGAATTTGGGATAGTGAAGGAGGGAGGATTTTGAGATTTTGGTTGCCCATTTTTGAAACCCGGGGAAGAGGTAGAGACTAGCTTTTAGCATGAGGTTTTGGTCTGACAAAATTGCCCCTTCATGTGAGTGGCATGTGGTTACTTTGTTAAAGAAATTGATAGAAATTTTGTCTTGTCCTTGAATTGCTACAAATATAAAACTATAGAATCAAAAGTGACGGAATTGAAATTACACTGTCAAAAAACAGTGACTTTTGACCTAGATTATTTGTTAGCATGCAAGTTTTTAATTATTTTTTTCCGTTTTGGCAGAGTCAAAGTGTGATTTTGGATCTTCAATCTCCACTGTGGAAAATAGTCGCCGCTAATTTGATTATTCAAAAAGTACATATCTGTGTGATTTTCTAATAACTACTCAATCTGGGAAATACAACTGTTGATTATAGTTAGCAGTACCTGTCAAACAAAGTAGGGCAAATATTCAGTTATGCTAAGATACACTCATATTGACTCATATTCACACATATTATTATTCTTCTCCAATATGGAGGTATTTATAGAGAAGTACAACCCTAAATAAAATAGGAAATAAATCCAAATTACAATAGAAAATAAATATAAATTACAATAGGAAATAAATCTCAATTATAATAGGACTAGATAAATGGTAAGTAACTAAAATCCTAACATAGTAAGGAACCAAAATCCTAATTAAGTAAGGACTCACCAACACTCCCCCTCAGGTTGGGCAAAGATATTTCGTAGGCCCAACTTGACAAGCGAGTCACAGAACACCATACTTGAGAAGCACCAATTGTAGAGAAGGTCTTTAGTCAACCACGAGTGAAACAAGTGACAAACTAAAACAAAGTTTGCAGCGGAAACACAAGAGCAAACCCTAAAAAATAGGGCACATAGCAGAATACAGAAACCCTGTGAGTATGGCAATAGGTAAGGCAGAACACAGATACCCTGTGAGCACGGCAGTATGTAAGGCAGAACACAAAAACCCTGTGAGCATGACAATAGGGAAGGCAGAATACAGAAACCCTATGTGCACTGTAGTAGATAAGGCAGAACACGGAAACCCTGTGAGTACGGCACAAAAACCCTATCAGCACAGCAGCAGATAAGGCAAAACACAGAAACCTTGTAGGCACGACAGTAGGTAAGGCAGAACACAGAAGCCCTGTGAGCACGACAGTAGATAAGGCAAAAACCAAACCCTAAAAAATAGGGTAAGGCAAGGTAAAGCCAAACCTCGAAAAAAATAAGGTAAGGCAAGGCAAAGAAAGTCAAGAGCAAAGGCAAGGTCAATGGGTGTGATCACAATGGAGACACACCAACAAAGGCATGAGCAACAATACTGGCATCATAATAGGCAGGAGCAACAATACTGGTACCAACAACAGCAATACAAGGCACTGGCACCAGCAAGAGCAACAAGGCAGGGACATAACAGGCATTATCAACAATAATCAACACTGTCCCCAGCAAGAGTCATAATAGGCAGGAGTAATAACATTGTCCCCAACAAGAGACCTAATAGGTACGAGCAACGGTACTGGCACTAGCAAAGGACATAGTAGTCAGCAGTAATAACAATGACAAATACTTCCATTATTGCAGAGACAACTTCTCTTCACTCTCTCTCTCTCCCCCTGAAGAGAAGAGGTCGTCAGAACCATAAGAAAAGTGGCACTTAAGAAACAAAAGCGGACTGACGCTCAGATGTAGAAGAATCAGCCATGGCAGATAGGTAGTTGAATTGCAGCGGAATAGATGAGCAGCAGTATCACTCCCCCTCAAATCCGACGATGTATGAGAGTCGAGATTTGGAGAAAGTAACACCCAAATAAATAGAGAGTAAGAAAACACAGATGTTTCTGGGCAGGAAGTGAAACACATTATCAAATGGGAAAAATGGCCATATAGGCGTGCAGAGGACCAGAGCGGCTGTGCAAAGGGAACAACGGCAGTGTAGCTCGGCAGGACAGAGAGAGACAAAGGCCAGCTATGAGAAGGCTCGGTGAGCGGTGACGAGGCTCACGGAGGTTTGAGATGGCTCGGTGAGCAGTGACGAGGCTCACGGAGGAAAGAGATCAGGCAATCAATGGCCAAGGGGTGTGTTGCCCATATGGTATACATTTAAAAGAGAGGCTCGCAAGAGACTGAAACTAACATGGGCTCAATCTGATTTTAACAGAAATCAAGCTCATAGAGAGATGAAAAGTAAGAGAAAAAAGGCAGCAGCAGGCATGGGTAGAGAAAAAGAAAGGTAATGACTCAACATAAACACGGTAAGGACAGAGACAAGGGTAAAATTGCAGAAATGTGCGGCTATGGCTAAGGCAGAAGAAATATATGTTGATTATTAAGGAAAGGAGAAACGAGGATTTACATCAAGGTGAAGACCCATGATGGGTTAGGAATGAGGAACGCCAACGACTCTCAATTTGTCAGAGGATCTCAAGGATTAGCAATGACTCTCAAGGAGACCACAAACACAGGTCACAAGAAAACCTAGGCTCTTATACCATGTCAAACAAAGTAGGGCAAATATTCAGTTATGCTAAGATACACTCATATTGACTCATATTCACACATATTATTATTCTTCTCCAATATGGAGGTATTTATAGAGAAGTACAACCCTAAATAAAATAGGAAATAAATCCAAATTACAATAGAAAATAAATATAAATTACAATAGGAAATAAATCTCAATTATAATAGGACTAGATAAATGGTAAGTAACTAAAATCCTAACATAGTATAAGGAACCAAAATCTTAATTAAGTAAGGACTCGCCAACAGTATCAATATTCAGAACTGATCCCATATTGTCTCAGGATAGATTTCGAAGTCCCAAAGGTACTCTCGGTGCAGTTCTTCATCGGTGGTGGATCCATTCACAAATCTTCTCAATTTCTCAGTTATTTTTGCAGCCCCAAAATCAAGCATAGACTTGCCCATCTACACAAAATAAAACCCAAATGAATAATTCTAGTAAATATCAAAACAAAACCCAATTGATATCAAATTTCTTGATAAATTTCCATTGCTCTACCTCTGCACGTATAACGTGAAATATTGAGTCTCCCAAAGTTGATAAGCTCGCATGCACAACATCTGCTTGTTCTTCGTGAAGTATACGAATTATTTCGGTGAACATGAACTGGTGATTGTCTAGCCCACTGATCAATACTACCTCCAGTGTGGACCCTATCTCATGGATTTCGATTTGCGGTGGTTTTGAGCTCCTCATGCTATCAAAGTTTGTGCATGCAGTGTGTGATCTTTTTCTATTTCCCTTTAAGCTATCCCTCTCCTCCTTGGACTTCTGCTGCTTTGACTCTAGGCTTTTTATGTAGTTTATGGCTTCATCTATTTGATCAGGCAGACTTAGTGGCTCCTGCATTTAATTGGTGTCAGAACAAATTAAAGCATTATTTACTATAAAATAGTTCGACAAGAGAATATATGTAGTGATACGTATTGTATATATACTCAAATAAGAACCAAAATCTCAACTTGTTACTAGCTATAAGAGAACATATGCGGTACATACGTTGTAGCTAGTTTTCGAAGTTAGTGTACACGTATGTGCCATAAGATCGTAATCTAGAGGTATATACATAGAGGGAGTGAGAGAGTGACCTGGGAATTTTGGCGAGGGAGGAGAGAGTTGAGCTTGGAGTAGAGGACTTTCATTTGGTTTCTCCTGTTCTTCTCTATCACCCTCCTTTCTACCTTGGTTGAAGAAGACTGACTTCCTTGATTATGATCCATTGGAATTTGATGATCTCTCTCTTCCAAGTTGGCAACAAATGATCCCATGAAGCTGAATTTCCCAAGTTTTTGTAGTTTGAATTGCTCTTGCTTTGAGCAATACGCACATGTATTTATATTCTAACAAGTCTCTTCTACCTAGTCTCCCTAGTGATGATAAAAGTGCAAAAAGGGAAGAAGTCTTCAAGTGATGAGAAAACAGAGGGAAATTAATGAGTAGGGTCCGAGTATGAGCTGCTCGTCGTCATCCAAACTTAGATCAGCAATATGACCAGAGAAAGCCGTCAAATTTGAAAAAAATCAGCGTTTGTAACAGTTGGCACGTGGATTTATTTAGCTTTGTTTTTTCTTGGAAATTAGGTCCCTCCATAAAGCCAATTTAAAGTCAGAGAGGCACGTACACACTATGATATGACGTAGCTTTTTCTTCTGTTGGTTTGTAAAAATTTCAGTGGCCATATGCGGCAGTTTTTTATCTGTTACGCGGTGTGCGTGGTATTTTTCACGTTCTTAATTCTTATATGAGTCCGAGTCAAAACCCATCCACACCTCGCTAAAAGAAAAAGAAAAAGTTAAAAACTCTTGACTCAACCAGCATTCCTATTGTTGAAGTTTTCAAGTGACGTTTTCTTCCTTATCCATTGTTTCCAGCTTGTGGTTTACGTTTGAACTCGAGTGGATAATGAAATGGAGGAATTTAATTTCGTAATCTCTTCGAAACTACGAACTGGAGCATCTTTAAGGGAAATGTTAACTTCCGTTCACAACTAATAGCTTGCAAGTTAAAAGATATTACGTTTAGAACTATTCGTTAAAAGATACAAACTCTCACAAAATTTCTTTGAGCAAGTACTTGGAAATGAAATTCCTTTATATACTTTTAAAAATGATAATTTATTCAATTTATCAACTCCTCGTTTTTTGGAGAAAAAAAAATCATCTTCTTTATCAAAAGTTTTATATATTTTTCCTTCCTCAGTACTCCTCCTCCACCCATTGCTTTCCCCAAGACCATAACTCTATCTCTAGAAACCCAAAATGAGCCTAGTTTATTCTCCTCCGATTTTACTGATGACTTCTTTACCGCGTCACATGATAGTAGTTGCATTATGATCAAGCCCAGGATTGTCTATCCTCTCCCAATCTTTCCAATCCTTCCTACCATTCTCCTCAACCATAGCATCCCCTCTGTGAAAAGCACTTGGAGCAGCTGAATAATAAGACAAAGAATAAGAAAATTCAAGGAGATCAGACGGAGACAGATTCCAATAATCCCATGAACAATTGTAAATAGAAAGAGGTGAAATATCTAAAATTTGATTCTCTCTCTCTCTCTCTCTTGGGTGCTGCTCTAAATTCTTATGGATGGTCAAATACGTTCTTTGTGAAATGAACAAAAATGAAAAGTTTGTGTTTTGTAGGACAAGCCTAACAAGTTTGTAATTGTCCACTGCTCCAATGGTAAGACAAAGCAATTTTGCTTTGTTGTATTGAAAGATGTTGACATTTCTAATTTGAGTGAGCAAATTGTGTATTTGCATAATTTTCATTTATACCCAGTTATTAAATCTAATTTTGTATGTATTTGTGCGAGTTTGGTTGAAAATTTTAATTTTAGTGACCTCATTGTGTTTGCATTACGTGAGTGAGAGAGACAGAAAGAGAGAGATGAGGAAGTGGCAGTGGTGGAGAAAGAGAGAGGTGAAGTGTTGTTGATTTGGGCGGTGGAGAGAGTGGCATTGGTTTTTGGCAATCCTAATAATTTTTTTGAAAAAAAAAATACATTGGACACAAATGAATGGTTTGTATGCGTGTACAAAAGTCAAATCAAAAGTAGCAATCGCCGTTGTTAGATATATGCCATATCCATACCAAAAAGTCTTGAGTTAAGATACAAAAAGTAAACTCATGCCCTATAAACAATGGAAACTCCTATAAGAAATTGACTATTTTAAAAGTGACTTCATTGTAACTATCAATATAGAACACAAATAATTGTATCTTTTGCATCAAAGAGCACAAATAACAACTGTGCTCAAAACCAGATATTGTACTTGTGAACGCTCTGAAAAAAATAAATAAAAACTTTAAAGATTGTATGTGTCTGTAAATTTTTTATGCATGATAATGCATTCCGATAATTGATATTGGTCACATTGAAAAATATTAGGTCATCATGTGGTCACTGCTTCTTTTGATAATCAATTCATGCACATGGGGTGATGGGTCCAATCAGACCCACCCGGCGCCGGGTGACACTGACAAAACCAGATATATTTTGCATCACAAATATGTGGTTTAGTTTGGCCCTTCATATTATTGATGAAGGATGAAGCTTCCCGGGCCTTCACTGTCTGAGAAGTGGATTTTAGCGGTGTGTTTAAATTGGAATGGGAATGGAAAATGTGAATGGGACTGTGTAGATCCCGGCGGGTCCAATGAAAAAGACTTTGACTTTCTAAGTCTTGAAGTCTTTCCGTTAAGGACTTTCTAATGTTACTGTTTACGTATTATTAGTCACCCATGGCCAGCAAGTCAACAAAAATCGATTAGGGTTGTTAGGCTTCTTAATGGAAATATTTTTGCTCATCATTTTAATTCAAAGTGTATTCTTCTCTCAATTATTCTTAATATTTGATACGTGTTCATAAGTACAATTATGGTTAATTTTTTATGTTATATTTATGAAACCATGATTATGCATATAAACACGTGTCAAGTGTTGAGAATAGTAATAAGAAAACACCTTAAGTTAAAGTGGTGAGTAATAATGCTTTCGGCTCTCGATACCTAAAATTTTCTGGATAGGACAATATGGTGTTTGGTTGTTAGTGATAATATTGCCAACCCAATGCAATCTTTATATAAGTTTCTATATGTGCACGTCATGCAATAGACCATTGATATATTTATTTATCCCTAATTTTATGTTTGTTAGTACATATTAGTTTCATTTATTTCAGCTCATTAGGTTATTTTTCATATTTTTGTAGGTCTACGAGTCAAGTCTGTGGAAACATTGCAAATAGCTAATTTAAGTCAAGAGTCAACTGGGACGCGTACATCTTTTTTTTCTTTTTTTTTTTTTTTTTTTTTTTTTGATAGGAAAAGAAAAATTACAAGACAAAGCCTCGGGGGCAAGAGCGCCCGAGGAAGTCAAAATAAAAGGGGGTCCTAACAGATAACGGAAGCCCATGCTCCCACAAAACTTGATTAGAAAGACCATGACTTAATTTTGCAACCGCATCCGCCGTGAAGTTGGCCTCCCTAAAAACGTGTTGAACCAGATGCATGTAACAGAAAAGAACAGGGCCCAAATATCTTGAATAATCTGTTGGATACACCAAGGGGGGTTAGCTTTACCCAAGATACTGTCAATGACTAGCTTAGAATCCCCTTCAATCACAATTTGATCCCATCCTACATCTTTTGAAAGAGATTCGTCTATTTTTCTTATATATTGTATTTATATTTCATTTAAAAAATGATTTTTTGTATCATTTTATTTCATTTATGTGCTGTCATGGATCCACCCCAATGCAAACAAGGCTCTACTATGGTATAGTCACATACCAGACAAAAAAAAATGGTATAGTCACATATACTTCAAAAGTAGTTTTTTTCATTTTTTGTCAGTAGGTCGGAAGGGGGAGGGGGAAGTAATACATATGGGGCTTCTCTTGATGTCACCTCTATGGTTCGAATCTGTGCCATGGGGAAGGGGGCAGCACCTCAACCAGTCAGCCCTTTGGCACAGACACTTCAAAAGTTAAGACAATGCAAAAACTGATAAGAGCTTTTATGGTGTTCATATACTATTACAAACTTCAAAATATTATCCACAATATTTCATTCTATATCAGCGGTATTTTTCATTTATTATGGTCTTTTATAGCCAAATAACTCCATGTAGAAATTAAAAATATTTTTTCAAATTTAGAAGAAAATATAAGCGTTAATGTGATATCCCGTTCCTAAATTAATATTTAATTCTTAAAATTTTCAAATAAAAGACAATTTTACCCTGATAGTATTTTAATGTGTTTAAAAATTGAATTTTTTTTTGGGAAAGAATTTGAGAATTTGAATAGCATTGTTACATAGAGCACATCAATACGAGTTCGTAGATACGTAGTGGGCTCAAATCGAAGATTTAACGAAGAAGTTATGGTCAACGGAAGTGTAGTGGCACAACCGTAAATATTTCAAAGTCAGATTTAAAATAGAAAAAACAGATTCTCTCTCTCTCCTCTCACAGACCCCTCTCTCCCCTGTTTTAGCCGCACGACGTCATCATTTTCCAACGACGATTGCGGTGTCATCCGGTCACCGTTGACCACGAGACCACTTGCATTAGAACCAGTTCGACTCCCTCTACCTGTTCCTCCCCTTCTCTGACGATTTCAGCAGCTTCTTCACCGGCGGTAGCTCAATAAAGTTCCGATTTTCTCAAAAACTTTCCGTTATCGTTTCCGACTATTCCAGCCACCAAATTTGTCGATCCAGGTATGCTCTCTCATCCTTTCAACGTGAATTAGCTGATGGTTGGGTTGGTTAGGATTGATTTTGAAGTTTTGGAACTCGAATTACGAATCAAAGTTTTGACCCATTTTCAGCAAGTTTCGGCCACTTTTTGGCCGTGGCCCAAGAATAAAAGTTGCTCCACTAGTTGTCATGATCACGTAGGTATAGATATTGTTGGGTGATTTGATAATTTTCAGGTTGTTGGAATTTTCCCAAGTCACCCATGCGTTGTCGGTGCGTGGGCTAATTTTGGGTGGCTCATTTGGTCATAAAATGATTCTCATGTCATCCCAAGCACGACGGTATGCTCGGATTCGAATTTGGTTATCATTTGACGGTCAAACGGATTTTTACATATTAGGCGACATCCGAGTTAGATATGTTCGGACCGTTGGATTGATTCCATTTACAAATATGTTGATCCAAGAATCTAGGATCGTGTAGGAACTTACGGATCGAGAATCGGAGTCTCGGATGCTCCGATTCAATGATTGAAAAATGATATAAAACAGTGACCTTCCGATCATGAGCTATCCGACTGCTCAATCGAGACCAAACTTGCAGAACGTGTTTAGTAGACTTGGCTAAACCTGTAGGAACTTTCGGATTGGAAATCGGAGGTCGTGGGCCCAGTTGACCAATATGGGAAGTTTGATCCCTCGATTGACCAAAAGTCTTCCGAGGTTGTTTCATCATTCGAGAAGTATTAGAACGCTCTTATAAACGAGGCTTGACTATTATGTGAGTTATTTTGATTATGTTGGGATTATGAGTTTATGTTATAGTATTTTTATGGTATTCTTGGATATTATTTTGATATTTGAAGTTTATGCAATATTTGAAAGTTATGGGATATATGAGTACGGGATATTGTTGATGGGTTGTGAAAGTGAGTCTCGAGACTTGGGACTCATTGGACTATATTTGAGTTCTTAAATATTCGAATATTGGGAACTCGGTGGACATACCTCCTGCCGAACTTCAACTCCCATGGCCCAACTTTGCTTGCCCAAGTGTTGAGAGGAGGGCGCCAAGGTGCGCAGGGAGAAAATTCACCCTGGCCCAGCTTTTTGTAAGACAAGTGGCCGACCAAGGTATTTAAGGAGTACCCAGCCAACTTTTTTAGAAGGAGCATTCGGCCACTTTTGCAAGGATACACTGGCTACTTTTGTAAAGATATGCCCGACCATATTTTTGAGAAGACACCATGTCCTTTGAAGAAAACACCTCAGCCGCATTTTTGAGAAGGCATTTCGGCATTTGAAAAAAAACACATCGGCCACCTTTTTGAGAAGGCGTTGTCGGCTGCTAGGATTTCTCGACCACTAGGAATTCTTCAGTCGCTAGGAATTCTCGGCGGCTAGGAATTCATCGGCCGCTAGGAATTCTCGGCTGCCTAGGAATTCTCGGCCGCTTAGGAATTCTTCGGCCGCTAGGAATTCTTCGCCACTAGGAATCCTTGGCTAGGAATTTTTCACATTAAATTCGGCCGCTTGCATTTTTGGAAGCTGCCCAACTTGATCCGTCACTAGCTCCTCTGGCCGTGCCCACCCGCATTTCTTTTCCCAGCTCTGCGATTGAGAGCCCGGTCGCGACTCTACCAAAACTCGGTTGCGTCTTCCAGCTATGTGGTCCAATCGCACTCTCCAGCCAAGCTCGAACACAGCCCGGCCCATTCTTTTAGCCATGCAGCCTTGCCTATTCTCCTAGCCACGTAGCCCGACCGCATATTAGCAATTCAATACCCGGCCGCCTATTCTCCAAATCTCGAACCATTACGGCCGCAATAGACTATAGCCCGGCCGCTCGTGTTTCCGAAAGGTGCCCGGGTTGGGTGAATTTTCACCACCCCCAAAGACTTATCCAAAGCAAATACTACGACAAGGAGTTCTTTTTCATATGTAGAATAATTCATCTAAGCACTGTTCAAGGTTCTGCTTGCATAATGGATGACATGTGGCTTCTTATCCTTTCTTTGCCCCAACACAGCCCCAACCACATAATCACTGGCATCACACATAATTTCTAAAGGTGAAGTCTAGTCAAGTGGTTGCATAATTGGAGCAGATGTGAGCATTTCAATTAATTTCTCAAAAACTTTTTGACATGAATCAGACCACTCAAATTTACTATCTTTTAATAAGAGATTACACAAGGGTCTAGATATCACACTAAAATTCTGAATAAATCTCCTATAAAAACCAGCATGACCTAAAAATGATATGACATCTTTAACAGTTTTTGGAACTGGCAATTTTGAAATTAATTCAATTTTTGCTTTATCCATTTCAATTGCTTTAGATGAAACAATATGACCAAGAACAATTCCAAAAGAAACCATAAAATGACACTTCTCCCAATTTAAAACAAAGTTTTTCTCTTGGCATCGAACCAATACTTTTTCCAAATTACTCAAGCAATTATCAAAAGAATCACCAAAAACAGATATATCATCCATGAAAACTTCAAGAAATTTCTCAACCATATCGCTGAAAATACTAATCATGCATCTTTGAAAAGTAGCAAGAGCATTACATAGTCCAAAAGGCATTCTACGAAAAGCAAAAGTACCAAAAGGACATGTAAAAGTAGTTTTTCCTTGATCTTCAATGGCAATTTCAATTTGTTAATAACCCGAGTATCCATCTAAGAAGCAATAAAATTCATGACCGTCTACCCTTTCTAAGATTTGATCAATAAAAGGCAAAGGGAAATGGTCTTTTCTAGTTGCAGAATTTAGTCTTCTATAATCAATGCACATGCACCAACTTGAAACAACTCTAGTAGGTATCAATTCATTTTTATCATTTTCAACCACAGTTATGCCAGATAATTTCTTAGGTACAACTTGAGTAGGACTTACCATTTACCATCAGAGATGGAATAAATAATACCTGCATATATTAATTTCAACACCTTAGTTTTAACAACATCTTTCATGATTGGGTTTAACCTACGTTGTGCCTCCCTAGATGATTTGGCTTCATCCTCTAAAAATATTTTATGAGTACAAATTCCCTTAATGTCAGCAAGAGTCCAACCAATGGCAGATTTGTGAGAATTCAACACATTAAGTAACTTACCTTCTTGCAAAGAGTCAAGTTCAGAAGATATTACCATTGGAAAAGTGTTGTTGGACCTCAAGAATACATGTTTAAGTCTCGTGGGTAAGGCTTCAATTCTAGCTTAGGAACTTCCACATTTGATGGCAATGTCTTTTCCTTCAGAGGTGGAAGTGTATCAAACCTTGGCCTCCATCTATCAACCTGCAAGGGATTTAACAACGAATTAAGATCAGCAATTTCTGGATCCTCAAGTAATTAAGATTCTTTAGAATTCAATAAAAGAGCCTCTAAAGGTTCAGAAATACTAGTCTTCTCAAATTGATCCTGCACAAGAGCTTCAATCAAGTTCACCACTGCATATTCATCATCTTCATAAGGCCGCCTAAAAACATTAAAAATGTTAATTTACAATGTCATGTTACCAAAACTTAGTTTCATTACCCCATTTCTACAACTAATGTGTACGTCACATGTAGCAAGGAAGGGACGTCCTAAAATGACAGGAATTATGCTTGGCACTTTATTTCGCGGCCACCAAGTTGCGCCATTATATGCTTCCTTCGGTCGTTCAGATCATCTCCAAGACCGACCTCATCAAATACATGCTCACTCGGCCGATCATACGCGGCCGGATCGGGAAGTGGACAATGGCATTGTCCGAATTCACTTTCCAATATGTGGCATGGTGTTCGAGTGCGCGATGACGTGTCGGAAGCCCAGAAGCCGTCGTTTCATTTAACGAGATGAAACGACGGCTCGTGCAATGATGACCTGCAAGACATGCTTGCGCATTAAATGCGCCAACCGACCTACGCATTTAAGGCGCTCAATCACTTCAGGAGGAATGCAAAGGGTCCATCCCTTGGAATCCATTCGGCCTCTGCCCAGGCCGCGACCGAAGAATCCAGGGATGTGGGGGCAATGTTTGTGCCTAATAAATCACGATCATAAACTGACTAAAGGGACTTCCTCTCGGCCCTAGCACCTACCGTTTCGTTAGCCATTTCGCCTTCCTGAAAACAAAAGAAAAGCTGCAAAGGTAGAATCCTCTCGGCCTCGCGACCGTGGTATTATAGGCCAAAGCTGAAGGTCGTAAAAGGCACGGCCGAAGATACTGTGGTTAAATCGCCACGTGGCCTCAGGGTCCCACGCCCCATTTAATGAAGTAATGCCTCTGACTATCGCAGCAAACCCACTAGTCGCAAGAAGCATTTAATGCACGAGGGAAGAAGGGAAGTGACTGAAGTCAGGATTTGGTGATGGAAATCAGAGTGGTTAGGCGCAAAAATTCTCAAAAGTATTCTTACAACTTAAGGTCAGATCACCAACCACTAGACCAGGGCATTAAATGCGTTCCCACGGCCAAGGGGCAGAACCCACGATCAGGGCAGTGGCCGAAATTTACCTGGATTTATGGGGGTCACACCACCATGCTTCACGATCCCAAATGCTGACTTGACTACCTACTTGCCCCGATCAAGCTCCACCACGCAGATATTTTCATCCTCGATTGTCCCTCCAAGACTCCCCCTATAAATACTAAGCGCAAGACTACATTCAAGGGGTTCAAACACCAAACCAAAAGCCTCCCACGGAGCAAATTATATTTTCCTGTAATGCACTTTCAATACCTTTATTTGATTTCCTAGGAGTAGTGGTAGATTGTAAGGAAAATCCATTCATCAATATATCATACGACCCTTGATTTTCAAGGCGCCGGAGCACCATCTCTGTTATCATCTCATTCACCCCATATATCATACGACCGTCGCTCTCTGAGTAACGCGCCGGAGCACTGCCTAAAACCCGCCACCGACACCACCACTAAACAGCCTTGTAGCTTAGGCCGTGAACCTGACGGTTGAGATCAGTTCCTCTCTCGGCCACAATCGTTTGATTAGGAGTCGAACTCAAAACAGGCGCATCATTTAACCATCTTCTACCCAAACCTCATCACCTTCTCGACGCACGGTAGACCGTGCTGGCACGCCCGTGCACAACCGCACCGCATCCAAAAGAAGGACGTCACGTGTTAACGCACATCCTCTCGGCCCGGAGCACCAGGCCTTGAGATTTGCGTAGCCAACAGTTTAGTTCATCATTATTCCTAGACTTTTCAACTTCCTTTGGTGAAGGTGGGTTATCAATTATTTTACCACTTCTAAGAGTAATGACAGACTTAGCATGTTCAATTTGAGGTTTCACACGAATTAACATTCTTTGGATTTGGTTGAGTTTGAGAAGGAAATTTTCCTTTTTCATTTATTGCAAAAGAATTTGTCAATTTAGAAATTTGGCTTTTAATTTCTTTATTTTCTTCAACTAATTGACCAAACAATGTATCATACCTTTGATTTTGCTTCTATTGTTCCCGCATAAATGCTTGAAGTGTATCACTCAAAGAAGGTCTAGCATTAAATGCATTAGTCGCAGGAAAATGATGATTGAAAGAATTTCTATCACTTACTTGAGGTTGTGGCTCATTGCTCCAACGAAAATTTGGATGATTCCTTGTTCCTGGATTGTAAGTGTTGGAAGAAGGAGAATATTGTTGTTTAAAGTTTCCAACAACAGCACAACGCTCCTCATAAGCTCCTTTCATTTCCTAAAAAATTGGGCAATTTTTAACAGTATGACCAATTTCATAACAAGAATTACATACTTGATTAACATCAGCTTGATAAACAGGTTGAGGTAAATTTGATTTTTCCATTTTCAAAGCAGCTATCTCTTTAGTCAAAACCTCAAATTTTAATTTCCAATCATCTTCTTCTTTTAATTGATAGATTCCTTTATTAGTAGAAGATGTGGCAATTCTTGACCAATCAATGGTCTCAACTGGACTGGGGACAGTCCATTGATGAGCTTTTTCAATAATTTCATCCAAAAATTCTAGGGCATCATTAGGGTCTTTTTGCATAAAATTTTCATTACACATAGACTCAACAAATTGGCGATCATGAGGGAGAAGTCCCTCATAGATATAACTAGCAGGACGCCAGTTTTCAAAGCCATGGCATGGGCACAAATTCAAAAGCTCTTAAAATTTTTCCCAAGTTTGATATAAAGTTTCATTTTCCTTATGAGAGAAATTGGAGATTCTTTTCTTAAGAGCAATTGTCTTGTGATTAGGAAAATATTTGTTAAAAAATGCTTGGGTCATCTCCACCCAAGAACCTATGGACCTAGCCCTTAATGAATATAACCAACTTTTCGCTTTCTCTTTTAAAGAAAATGGAAAAAACTTTAACCTTATGAAATTAATCCTATCATGTTGACCATTGTAAAAAGTACCAATAGCCTCTTCAAATTCCCTAACATGCACGTAGGATTTTCACTTTCCATACCATGAAAAATTGGTAGCAATTGAATTATTCCAGGTTTGAAATCATAATTTGGCATGTTAGGTGGAAACATGATGCATGAAGGATTTGGTGCACGAATATGATGCAATAATGTCTCTAAAGTTCTAGGTGCAACCACTTCTTCTCTTATTTCATTATTTACAATCTGAGCATTAACCTCTCGTTCATTATTCACAATTTCTGCCATGCTTTCATATTTGTCAGATGTTTCAATTGAAGAAGTTGAAGCAAAATGTTCTAAATTAACATTTTCAACCTTTTTAACAAATCGACCTAGATGATCTCTAGGTCGCATAAAGAAAATAAAAAAATAAAAAAAAACAAAACAAAAAACAAAAAAACAAAAAATAAAAAATAATGAGATACGTTTGGAAAGAGTGTACCAGATGTGAAGAATTTCACATAAGCAGCAAACCTCTGACCACGGGGATCTCTGTACTCTTTGACAAGCTGCTCCCCGGCAACGGCGCCAATTGATTTGTATCACTTTGCAAAACCCAAGCGAAGGTGTCGTATAGCAGTGTAGCTCGGAAGTCCGAGTGTCGTATTCACAGAGAGCCGTGTAAAGAAAATAACATAGTTGGAAAAGAACAATTGTGATTGAGAAGTAGATTTAAGCAGGATTTGATTTAAAGAAAATTAATTGATTAAAACACTAAGGCATTGGGGTTCCACTTTTAACATAAGCATGCAACTCTTATTAATTTGATCCACAAAATATTTTCCATTGTAGTTGTTCAAAATAATTAATAATTAAAGCTCTTTTTAATTTCCTTTCGTAGTATTCTAAGCATAACTTGTACCATTAGCAACAAACTATCAAAAAATAATCTTCGTTGAAATTCTATTAATCTTAGTAATTATCTCCTCTTTTAAAAGCATGAAAGTTTTTACTACACAATGGAAAAAAACATGATTAAACCCATGAAATAGATTATCAAACATTCATCAATTAATTAAAAAGAAAAACTACAAATTCACATTAAAGCTTAAGTTTGGATCAAACTAATAATAATTACATACTCATATTAAAAGCTTTCTCCCTAGCCTTAGCTAGGGAGTTAGTTTCCCATAAAATAAAACTAAAAGAATTGGAGGAAGGAGAGAGAGCTCAAGAGAAGATTGTGAGTTTGGTGTGTGTTTTGAAGCTTGAAGACTTCTCTATTTATAGGGCTAAGAAGGAGAAACATCATGATGGATTCCAACACCACCATTCCTATTTTAATGCAATACCTAACTCCCACTTCATCTTGCCTATGAATTGACATTGAATTTGAGCTTCTTTGGAGTGGATGACACTCACAAGCATGTGAATTCAATTTCTTCTTGTTTGCTTCCATCCCATACTTCTTTCCCTTTCTTCTTTTGGCATGGGTGTGGCACTTCATGCATTCTTTGAAATTCTTTTCTTCTTGTGCTAGTTGTACTTCTTCCTTCATCATCATTGCTTCATGGATATGTTGAAGTTCTTTAATTGGCCACTAGTATATTATCTTTGGGTGACACACTTCTTGGCATGCAAATTGAGTTGGTTTTCACAACACACAAGCCTACATAGGAAATCATTGATCAAAGTTAATAACATTAAACCAATTTGACCAAGTAAAAGTATAAATACATAAAATTATTTAATTACCCATTATAATTGCTTTTAAAATTAAATGTTAAGGTAAATAAACATGTATTATTGTAATATTATCACATAGCCAAGACCAAAGACTCACTTTCACAACCCATCGATCAAGTATCCCATGCTCATCCCTTCCATAACTTCAATTATCAAACTAATATCCAAAAATTTCATAAAAAAAAAAAAAAAAAAAAAAAAAAAAAAAAAAAAAAAAAAAACAAACATAATCAAACATAACTCAAATAACAATCAAAACTCAGTTAATAAGGTCGTTCTAAGTACTCTTCGAAGGGTGAAACTACCCCGGAAGACTCACGGTCAACCAAGGGGTCAAACTGCCCAAATTTCGTTAACCATGCCCGTAGGGCCCACGACCTTCGATTTTTTTATTCGAAAGTTCTTACGAATTCAATAGGGTTTATTATACATGTCCTGCAAGTTTGGTTTGAATCGAACAGTCGAATCACTTGCGGTCGCACGATCGGACGATTACCGTTTAACCTAATCTTTGAATTATTAAATTGAAGCATTTGGGGCTCCGATTCATGATCTGTGAATTCCTACACAATCCTAGAGGTGCCTAGATGTATGAAAATGGAGTTGATCCAATAGTCCAAACATATTGAACCCAGATAACGCCTAATATGCGTAATTCGATCGATAGTCAAACGGTAACTGAATTCAAATCCAAGCATACCGTTGTGCTCGGGATGACATGAGGATCATTTTAGGACCCAATAGCCCTCCACAAAGTGGCCCACGCACCGCCACATGCGTCGACAGCTCGTGGGTGCCCAGAGTAAACTCCTACGATAAAAAATATCCAAACCGCTGGTCAAAACATATACCTACATGATTAGAACAATGAGTAGAGCAACTTTTGTTCTTGGACCATGGCCAAAAAGTGACCGGAGATAGCCAAATCGAAGCTGAAAATGCATGATTTTGATCGGAACTTCCCAACCTCAATACGGAGGCGATAACCACCAAAGCCGTTGCACAACCTAGGAAAAAGTAAGAGAGGGGGAAGGGCTACCTGTTGCAAGTGACGGTGCAGCTCGAAGTGGCCAGAAGCATCGCCCGTGGCGGTGGCAGTTTCAGTCGATTTTTCCTCTCAAAACTGCCGCCAAATGCCAGGTTTTTGGTCGGAGAAAATGAATGGGCTGGGTAGAGGAGAGAGAGAGAGAGAGAGAGAGAAAGAATGAGGAAATCTAGTTTTTTTTTAAACCCACTTCGAAAGATTTACGATTGTGCCATTATGCTTCCGTTGATCGTAACTTTTTCATTACAACTCCGATTTGAGTCCACTACGTGTCTACATACTCATCTCGACGCGATCTACGTCATGGTTATTTCCTCAAAGTCCTTCCAGATTAAAAAGTGACCGAAATAACCCTACCCTTGAGGGCAAAATTGTAGTTCCATAATTAAATTAATTAAATTGAACAAATAATGAAAATTGGGTCGGATGTTACAGAGAAGTTGGGAGAGAATTCTTTGGGAAGAGGAGGGAATAATTTGTGTGGGAGTCACCAAATGGAGTCTGATCAGTGTGAGAAACAAAAGAAGAAGGTGTGGGAGGGTATAACCTTGGGTTTTTAAAAAATTTTATTTCTCCAAAAATTTCGATTGTGCCACTACACGTTGACTATAACTTGCTCGTTAAAAGTCCTATTTGAGCTCACTATGTGTCTACTAACTCGTGAGAGCGAGCTCTATGCAATGGTGCAAATAAAACAAAAACTTTATTTTTGACTGAAGTGTAATTCGTGCATGTGAGTATGCCGTGTAGGTTTGGTAACCCAATTACAAAGCATGAGCAGTAAAGCAACCCAAGCCAAGAAAAAATGTGACGACTAGTCGGGTTTTGTGTGTGTTTGTAATTTTGAAACAAATACAATAATAGTTTACAAGTATTAGGAAATTCACAGTTAATCAAACAAAATTATAAGGGTTATTCCCAAAAAGGGTCCCCCAACTTTTTCTCCAGTCTCATTTTGGTCCAGAACTAAATTTCTCATTTCAGTAGTCCTTCAACTCTTCATTTAGTATCAAATTGGTCCTACCGTCAAAGTTTGTCAATTTTGTTGTTAAATTGAGGGGTAAAACCGTCCATATTAATTAAAATCTTAATAAAGTAATATCTTTGTTGGAAAAAAAAAGTGTAATTAAAAATTAAAGTAAAATCTTGCAGCATCTACTTGGACTTAACTCCAAGCGGCCAACAGTTTCTCCTAACCCCACTGCCCATACACTCCTCACATACCCATTCGTCCAAATTCGTAGCTTGGCAGCCGCGCATTCCAGTGCAAGTGAGGTGAAAGCTGTGCTCGCAACTGTCACAGCAAACCACATGGCCATGAACCTCAGGCTTACAGCAGAAGGGGCAATCACAGCAGCCATACAATCACATACCTAAGTATGTCGATGAAAGTGAATTTAAGATAAGTGATGGTGGATAGATAAAAAGACTTTCTCGAAAATCATTAATTTTAATACTCCCCCTTAAAGGGATTTTCTAGAAATCAATCCAAGCTGAGCACGAAAGCCTTTAAAAGGACGTTTGGAGAGTGACTTTGTAAAAATATCAGCAATAGTTCTGTCAACCACGGTTTCCAGAATGAAATGATGCTAGATTTCAATGTTCTTCGTCCTCGCATTGATTATACTTTTTAATTTGATGATATGTTGTGTTTGAATGAGAAAACAAAAAAGGCAACCAAAAAAAAGACTATACAGCCCAGAAAAAAAGGCAAAAAAAGATAAACAAACAAATCTTATATTTGGAAGAAATTACCCAATCAAATGCCACCAACAAAATAATTAGCCAAACAAACGACTTTACGATTTGAAAACAAAGTCCACTCACAAATAGTCCCAAGCTGCCTGATCCTGAGAGGGTCCTGCTCTACTATGTATGAGCGTTCGGAGCACCTATTTCGAGATACGTACCCTTAATTAATATAAAATCACTTCGAAACGAAGATCACAAATTAAATACTTAAATCCCCGAGTCCCCAGTGCGTGCACGTAGAATGAGATATCCTAAGGTCCGACTACGGGTTTAGGAATTACGTCTTTCAGGTGTGGTTCGAAAGGGACGATCGGATCGCTCACAATTGGACGGTTATCGCAAACCACAACTTCGAATTATTGAATCAGAACATCCGGGGCTCCAACTCACGATCCGTGAATTCCTACACGATTCTAGGAGTGCCTTGATCAACATATTTTAATTTGGAAACGATTTACCAGTCAGAACCTATCGAACCCGGATAACACACAATATGCGAAATCCGTTCGATAGTCAAACGACGTCCGAATTGAAATCCGAGCACACCTACGCGCTCGTGACAAAACAAGGATTACATCAGGACAAAATATGGCTTCACCACCCTTGCCCACGCGCCGCCACACGCGCTGGCAGCCCGTGGGTGTGTAGAGTAATTTCTGGTGACGGCAAATACTCCACACCACCGCTCACCCTTCCTACCTTAGGTACTACTCGAGGCAAGGATCACTTTATTCAACTACGGGAAGGTCCAATTTGGACGGCAACCGGCCAAAATTTCACTTTGAAATCCGGCCAAAACCTGGATTTCAAAATCAGTTTCCCAGACTCAAAATTGATCCAATCCTAAGCAACAGACAGCTAGACCAGATAAAAAAAAGGAAGAACCCTCACCTTTTTCACCGGGATTGGGAGGCGGAGGCGGCGGCGCAAAGACGGAGGAAGACCGGTTTGAACCAGTGGATATTGCCGGCGGGATTCGAGTTTTCCGGTCGGGAAAACTGGTGGTTCGGGTTCGAGGCTTCGAGAGGAGTCGATCGGGATCGGTCCCGGCCCTTGCTGTGGCCGGAGCTGAGAGATTCGAATAGAGAGAGAGAGAGAGAGAGAGAGTCGGGGTCGGGGAGAGAGAAAGAGAGGAGAGAGAGGAAGCTGTGCGCGCGAAGAGAGATAAAGAGTGAAAAATCAGATTTTTACCCAAACTCTTTTCGAAATATTTACGGTAGTGCCACTGAGTTCCTTTTAATCGTAACTTCTTCGTTACAACTCCGATTCAAGCTTACCGCGTGTCTACGGACTCGTCTCAGTACAACCTATATAACCATGCCACTCGTTGTCCCAAAATTCTTCCGGATAAGAAAATTACCAAATTATCCTTACCCCAAAGGTAAATTCGTAATTTCACTTAAATAAATTAAATAAGAAATTAAATTTGGAGTCAGATTGTTACAGGGTTTAATAATAATAAGGGAACATGCCACATAACAATAACTGACCATTTAAGAATAGTTAATGGTTTGCTACAATTGCTGGCCATTATTTGGCCAAAGATCTTACGAGCTTCAATGAGTATGGCCAAGGTTTAATCATTGAAAATATGGCTCCTATGTAATCGTGGGTATTATATGTAAATGTACCATTGGCATATGAGTTATACCCTACTCTGTCTTCGCTAAGATTTATTCCTACCCGAATAGGTTAACCATTACTCCAAAATATTACGGGTATTAATGAGACCTTTTAAGTTAGCCATTAATTGGCTAAAATCGTGGAGAAAAATCTTGCTTTATGAAGCCACAAATAAGGCAATCTCTTTCCCTTACTTGCCTAAATAAAACTTGACTATTCTGGGAAAGTATTTTATGCCAAGCACTAAAATCTTTCTTTACTTTCCTTCAAAGCAACATAAATATCCTCCCAGTCAAACTAGGATTCCCTCCATTCTTTTATATAAACCCCAGTGAACTAATCAATGAAGTACATCACCATTATAAGCACCAAAATGTTTTTGGCTATTCTCAAAGGTAAGCCACTTCTATCAACTCTTCTTCAGCTCCACTTCTATCACATATATATCTCTATATTTATTTACTCATTATTTTTATATTTCTTTACTCATTATTTTTATTTTTCCTTTGCTTTTCTGGCACACAATCAGGATTTGGAAGACCACGCGCCATTCAAAAACTCTCTCAAGTTCGTGAGTTTTTCAATCTCGGCACTATACCTTGTTAAGGTATTTATCATTACTTTATATTTGTATATATATATATATGTATCTATATGTATATATATATATGCACGTATACACATATATATATATTTTCTGATCACATGAATATGGACCTGTTGACATCTTCAATATCCCACAATGCATGCTTTTCTTGTAATTGCCCATATGGCCATTTGGCTTCCTTCGTGGATGGAAGGCCATTAAGATGGCTTTGTTGGATGCCATTTAGATTGCTTTGGCCGCAAGGCCACCGAGCTGGCTTTCTTTTTTTTTTTTTTTTTTTTTTTTTTTTTTTTTTATTCGTGTGCCAATTTGAATTATTGTTGTGGCTGTAAAGTTATGCAGATTGCTTTGGCCGCAAGCCCACCTAGCCCTTTTTGCCCTTTTGAAACAAAATAAAATTTAACATAGCATGCAGTTATGACCATTGGCCCAAAAGGCCATTCATTTTGGTCGTGGGATTGTTTATTTGACCCAGCATGTAAGGCCAAATTATATATAATATATATACATATATATATATATAGGAATTTAATATTACTAACAAATAATATTTTGCAGATTATCAATCTCCCGCCTTATTATCGTTCTTCAATGTCTCCTGAAGAAGCAAGAGAGTACAACAATATCTTGGTTGACGCCCTTAATGAAGATGAGACCTTTCTCCAATGACTCTTATGATTTTGTGCCACTGCCTACCACTCCACGCAACATGATCCTTGGTCCCTATTTTTACGACCGTATGCACAGCTCTGTTGTTAAAGTCATGCGACTGCAACAGAAAGACATTTGTTTGCTCGGAAAATACCTTAATTAGCAAGGTTTGGATCGGCCCAAGCTTATGAGGGGTTGGCCTACTTCAGGGCTGTAAAAATGGAACAGGTGGCTTGATCGACTATCAAGCTTGTGCGATACGCAGTGGAGGAAAGAGGGCATCTATGATGCAATCATGCTTTGTAAGTCCAGTTTCACATGTGACCGTAATCTCGTCGCAGCCGGTCTTTATTTTTAGTCAACTTCTACTAATACTATGAAGTTAAGATTTGGGATGATGACCCCAACTCTTCTTGACGTAGCCACCATGGCTGGTTTTCTACCATGTGGTGATGAAGTAAGTGCTTTATCTCCATCAAAATGTGAGGTTGATTTTGGTTTCACCAGGAAGAACAAAAGCTACAAATTTTTCATGGAAGTTAATGCTCAAGAAACAGGGCCACTCACGCATAAAGAACATACAGCTTTTCTCATGATTTGGTTATGCAAGTATGTCTTCTGCATGGCGTCGGCACAAGTTACCTTAGAAGTTCAGCCTCTAGCTGAAGCACTAGCAAAAGGCCATCGGTTGGCCCTTGGGCCAATGGTGTTGGCGTATTTATATTGAGGTCTCTACAATATGGTGTCACTCAACCCAATGAATTGCAATACTACCGGGCTGATTTGGTTGTTTCAATTGTGGCTTCAAGTATACTTTCCAGAAGTACGGCCAGCTCATGATCTATTTGCTACTAATTCTCTTATTGGAGTAAATCTTTTGTCTCTACCCCTTTCTAGTCTCAAAGTTGAAAATTATTTTGAAATTTTATACAACTGTGAAGGCCACTCCCCAGACGAATTTTCTGTTTGTCTAGACCGAGAATTTCCTTCTTGTCTTGGCTGAAACTAAGTTCTCTTCCCCTGCCGATAACGATCGAGATGCCTTCCGTAGAAGCCTTTGGGCTAGCATTTTATTGAGTAGAGACTTACACCTCGGCCTATCAATAGGTACACATGCCAACTACCCATACGGGGTTGAGGTTTATTTCCCTTCTGCCACCGGTCGTCAATTGGGTTTCACCCAAGCTATCCCTCTTCCAATCACAGAATCTTGCAATATGGGCACATCCCACAGAGCTAAGTTCAAAACAAAAGCTGAATGTAATGTGGTCTCCGTGGACAGTAAGCGAATGCGAAAAACCTTTAATCTGCATATCCAAGATGCCAACTTTAATTCTACGACCCACTTTGATACTTGGTGGAAACATGTTACCTGTGACTGGTTTACATCGGCTGCTGACATTATTTTTGCCAAGCTTTTTCAGAAATGGCCATAAACAATTAAGGATGCTACTTCCTGCAACTCGGTGAGCGAAACAGGTATGCGCTATTCATGGCTACAAGTTTGATTTTCAACTGCGCACATTATAATGATTCTCAACAATTTTTATTGCAGGTAACGTGGCCAAAGATATAAGTTCTACTTCGCCAACATTACCAAAGAAAATACTGCACACCAAGCGAAATCACTTAACCATGATTGGTAACGTCCTTACTTCTTTCAGAGCATGTTATTCTCAGGCTTCATAATTAATTGATTATTTGGCTTTAAATCAGGGGATTCATCTAGTCATAGTCAGGTCGCCACTTTGGCCAAGCCTAAAATAGTCTCAAGGCCTAAATCACTTGTCATTCGTAGTATGTCCCTGTCGCTTCTCCCCTAACTTCGTTTCTTTGGCTATGCAATAACATAATAACTTTACTTGACCTGTAGCTGGTCGAAAGACTAGCATGACGTACGAGTCAAGTAGTGATGAAGACGATGATGGAATAGCAAAAGCTCCAACAAAACGGCCCAAGAAAGATCCCGTCATTGAGGTACTCTCACCTAAAGAATTATGCTACCATTTTTATAATATTCTTGCATGGGCTAACCATCATTTTTGTAGGATTTGCCTGACCTTTCCTCACCCAGCCATTCTCAAGAATTTATAGGCTTTGACACCGAAGACCAATTTGATTCGCCGGTCGACAATACATCATAGCTGAGGTTAATGAGGCCGTTGTTGTGGCCTTAGCTAATGACAACCTAGGCAAACATATCTCCCCTTTCAATGTGGTTGAAATAGTTAAGGATACAACGCGGGTAGACTTTTTTCTTAATCAAATCTCCTTCCTTATCCTTTATGGTTGTTCACCCCTTGATTTTTCCGCAGGAAATTAATGTTGGGATTTCAAAAACTGTGGCTTCATCAAAGACTCCAGTCCAAGTTGAATTTTCTCTACCTATTCAAGAAACTACTGCAATTACAGCACATGAAACGAGTGTTCTGCAGCCTAGAAAGGTACTTGATTTAAAAAATATATATATATATATTAAGTGAATGCTCGACTGCCACTATGTTGCTTATGTTATGCATCTTTGGCAGAAAGCACTCCCCTCATAGGCTATATTAGAGTCACTTCAAGGCATGAGAGATTACTTGGCTGCAGCAAAGGCTGCCACCACTTCTTCATACAATTCCTCCTTAAGTATTGTTGCCAAAGCCACCGTCCAAACCATCCTCGACAAAGACTATGTGGATTTAGCTAATGAAGTTCAAAATACTCACCTTTGCTCGTCCATTCAAAGTCTCCTTGATACTCATTTTTTCCCAACCGAGGAGGAACCCACAATCAAAAGTTTCATGAAGCAATTTGTCGACGGCATCCAGGCTTACAACCAAGCTGTGATGGAGTACAATGTTGGCCAAGCCTTGACTGAAAATATTCAATCAACTAACCATAGTTTGGAAGCCCACCTTCATATCTGCCACGAGGGAAAAGAAGAACTGGACAAACTTGAGAAGGAACAGAAAAAGATTGAGGCCAGAAAATCAACCATCCTTGCCAAGATTGACAATGTGGTCCAAGACTCTCGCCCACATCAAGTCGAACTAGAAAAGTTTATGCAGCAACAGGCCAATTTCCAAAAGAAGGAAGACGACTACAAGACCTTGATGAGTGCAAGGGCCAAATTATGTGTTAACTTTAAAACCGTTATCCAAAAGCATCTTTAAAACCTATAATGGTCCTTTTATGATCATTTTGTACTTTTATAGTTAGGCTGCATTTGAACCTCAAACTATTTCTCTTTTATTTAGTTGATGAACTTTTGATTTCCATCAATAAATTTCGGCCTTTACCTTTGGCTTTAGATACTACTAAATTTCTTATTCTTGAAGAAAATAGTATCAACATTTATCCATATTTTGCTTCTAAGTTTAGGCTGTAATTTCGACTTAACACCTTTGCATGTATTTCTTCATAGAAATAATTTGCGGCTAACATAATAGACTTTAGTTCGGCCTTTCTTGTATTGAGAAGAAACCTTTGACGGCTGACACTATTTGGCCACTTTTGTCTGTGAACTTTTGTAGTGCCCAAATTACTAACAAGTTCTTTATTTCTTTCATATATATATATATATATCTATATATATGTGTGTTTTTTTTATGGCCATAATATTAACATGACCTTTATTGGGAACATTGTCGGCCTACTTATTTGGGTAGCGGTCGTTGAAAATAATATTTTTATGGAGACCAAGGGGGTGGCCATCCATGTTTAATTCCAAGCTGTGAGTCCTTCTTATTTTTTGCATGGATTTCGCGATTGCGCAAGCTGTAAATTGGTGTACAAGTCACCTTGGTACGCCCATAACTATTTTTTCCTTTTATGTTGTCCGAATTTCCTTGCCCCCCAAGTCCGCTTGATCGGCCGGACTTGGCCTTCTATTGGGGTCTGATAAACGTGACCATTTCTAATTGTGGTCTAATCACATCTGACTAGTCCCCTACAACCATGTCTATTATGACTGCTTCAAGTTGGGTCGTGTTTAGACATTTCTCTTTTTGATCCTGTTGGTCATTAATTTCAAGAATGGATGTATCAAGTTGGGTCATATTTTGGTGTTCAACCTTGACTGTTTGTTGAATCGCATTCTCTTGGGTGAATTTTTCTTCCTCAACCAACGTGAGAGTTTCAATAGGAAAGTCGATTTGAGTTTTCAACTCTAAGGCCCACTCTTCCACTTCTCTCTCATTCACATATTCCCGACTAACTTCCTTTTTCTCTAGAAAAGTTGGTGAAACGGGTGGCCGGACTGCAACCATACCAAGACTTTCCTCTTCTTCAACCAATGTGAGGTTTTCAAAAGGTAAATGGGTTGGAGTACTAAATTCGAAGGCCAATTCATCCACATCCTTTTCCTTTATATATTGTTGGCCAACCTCATTTTCCTCCACATAGGTAGGTAGAATGAGTGACCATATTGTAGTCACTTGATGGTTTTCCTGCTGTGGTTGAGATTTAAGATTGTGATTAAGAGTTTGCTCTTCTACCACAAGTTGCGAGGCGATTTCACGCAAACCTTGGATCAAAAGTTAGTTGGAAGCATGAAACTCATCCATCATATCTTTCACTTAAGATATTTCCTTTCTTTGTCCATGCGGTCAACATATGGCCTTTCACCTATGTTAATATTATTTTGGTCGTTACAGCCAAAAATATGATTAGCTTGGTGGAGGCCGTAACTAGGCTAATTATAAATATTGACCGAATTATTTTGTCCTCCAGCCACTTGATTGTATTGGCCATTATAGCCATGTTGGCTATTCACATAATTTGATATATCACATTATTTTGGTCATGATTGTTGTTTCCGTCATGTTGGCCATTGAATTGGCTACCAGAGCCATATTGATATGTAGAATCGTATTGATTGCTATAGCCACCTTGATTGGATTGGCACCAAAGCCATTTTGATCATTTGAACCATTTTGGTTCATAAGATCATATCCGCCAATATAGTTGTGCCTACCATATTGGCCACCAAACTGACTACTTGAGCCATATTGGTTGTTATGCCCACCTTGATGGGTAAAATTATATTGACCATAGTATTGGCCAATGGATTGGCTATTCGAGCCATAAGAATCATAGCCGTTGTAGTTCATCGGCGGATAGGAATGTTGCCATTCCTTTCAGTCGCTCATAGAGTGTATCCCATCGGGCATGCCAAATTATGTTTCCCTATTTTCGGCCAAGTAGGCCGATTGAAGGAGTTTTTGGTCCTTCTTTAATTGAGTGCGGGGCGTGCCACCACCAAGCCACGAATTAGGCTTGAATGGAATGTAAGTAGATGATGCGTTCGAAATCTGACTTTAATCAAATGATTGTTCGGCCAAGCAAGGAACCTCCTCACGGCCTAGGTTCTTTCATTACCTCAGAGTCAAGGCTTTATGTGAGCAACCAAATGATGTGGAGTGGGTGGAGATGAAGATTGAAGGTGAAATGTAACAAGCCCTGGTGAGCAGATTATGTAATATGTTTGAACTTTCAATTTATTAGGTAATTGTGGAATGTAATATTTGACTTAGGAGTGTTGAGTCAATATTAACATTGTGGATTCGGAACAGATTGTCTTGTAGTAAGGAAAAAGAAAAAAAATTTCTTCTACTTTTGTTGAAGGTTTCGAGCTACGCGTGCCGGATTGGTTTGCTTGTAATAATTCAAGGATTATTTGTGGTTGAGAATTCATGGCGTTTTTTGTTTGCTCTGATAGAGAGACAAAACCTTGGGTTAGCTCTATGAGAATGGTAAAGCGGTTGGCTCTGGAGATGAGTAGTTGGTTGGCTCAGAATAGCTATTGGTTAGTTTGGTCAGAGTTATAGGTTTGCTCTAAGAGAGTCGTTGGTTGACTCTGGAAGAGTATTTGGTTGACTACGAAGAAGAGCAATGGTTGATTTAAATTGAGCTTCTAGTTTGCTCAGTTGAGTCGTGAGTTGTCTCCGAGAGAGGTCTAGGTTGCAGAGTAATGGATCCTCTAGACTAAAAGTTTGAGTAGGTTGGTGAAAACCTTGATTTCATAAGAATGGATCCTCTGATTGTTGTTGTTCTTTTCAAAATGATGTTAAATTAATACGTGTTTTGCCTCAAGTTGGTATGCATGTATTTATTAACTGTTGTCTTGTCTTCTGTGAGAGACAGAGACCGAGGCTGGTGTAGTTGTATAGTTTTATCATATAATTAAAGTATATCAGATGATACCGAATTTTGAAATCAAAGGGTTGGTTTTTACTGATGTTGAGAAGAGAAACTTAGTTAATTTCTCTTGCAAGCCTTAACTTGCGAGTGGGGTGGGCTTCAGCCTTTTGACTCGGAAGGTGTTACTACTACAAATGTGAACGTGTTCGTAAGATCAAGCTCCATTTTCCAGTCAAAAAAATCATATTTTTCTCGCTTCAATTTCTTGAACATCCATTGAAAGATTCATTAATTTTAAATCTTAACATTCTGGCATTTTAGTCCAAATTGATATTAAACTCACTTAATTCAATTATTTTCACACCAAACCAATTTCATAAAATTTTCATAAAATTCCTAGAAATATTATTCTCCTTATATGATTTTTTGTAACATTAATCACATCAAAATCTCAATTTTGAGATTATTACAACAACGAAAAAAACAAAAACAAAAAAAAGGTTGGATTTTAAGCTAAAATTTTTAGCTAGCCCACCAGTCTTAAATTCTTGATTTCGCCCTTGTACAAGGACATAGATTGTGTAGGGAGCTATCTCATTAGCAGTAAAATTATTTCATGACTCCATCCCTCTTTGAAATGCAAGCTTTGTGTCAACCTCGTGTTTTGGTTATTTTTCTTCAATATCGCTTATATAAAATAAATAAATACAAAACACCAAAACATGAGGTTTAATGTCGTAAAACAAATAGGAAACAAAATTTTCATTACAAATACAGGCTAACTGAGTTAAACAAAGGGAAGGGATCATCTTAAGTTTTTGAACCACCACACCTTTCGAAAAAAACTCAACACCAATTAACCTCTCTACATATATACTCTGTTAATACCTCGCAATCTCTTCACACATGCATATAGATATATAATTTGTTACAATTGGCTAAAGCCTAAGAGAGGCCTAAAACCAAAACCGCGTGCAAAACTTTCTCCTTCATCATATCACACAACTTCAACTGCAGTGCAATGCAAGCCAGGCATGGCCTCCCGCAAATCAAAGGTCAGCATGGAAGCCTTTGGCTTGGGCGGCCCGTTTGCAAATCTGACCGGCAAGGACCCTGGCGTGGACCTCTCGAACGTCCCGAACCACTTGGCTTGCATGTACTTGTGCTTCCTCCATGGCCCCAAGTGCATTTTCTTCTCCTTCATACATTTTTTGGCTGCGCAGCACAGAATCTTGATCAAGGCTCTTAGTCTTTCGGCTTTCCCGACAAACACTTCGGGCAGCCAGCTGATTAATCTGTTGTAGTTTTCGCTGGCTCTGGCCATCTCAAACTCAGCTCGGAAATTCAGCTCAATCACCACCCTAATCTCCCCTCTCTTTGAACTTGTGTCCAGCACTTCCAAATAAGTATGCTCTCCTGTTAATTAATCAAAAACCAATTTTATCCCCAAAACAAGCACATAAAAAAAATATGCATTGTGTCCCACATCCACATAAGAAGTTTTTTTTTATAACTCCGGCAAGGCGGTGAGTATATGTGCCTTTACAACAAAGTTTGAGTCTGGTAAATTAGATTAATTTAGAATAATTTACACTGTCGCTTGCATCAAAACAAAAAATTGAAAAGTTCAAATTAAATTGAAAATTGAATATACCTGCTGGGGTACTTGTTGAGCTTCTCCATTTGGACTTGCAAATGACACAATTGTACCCAAAATCTATGAGCCGATTGCATAATTCGTTGCGCAAACAACTCCGGCAACCGCCAAACACAGGCTTTGAGCACACGCAATATTCTGCGGCCGACGAGTTTATGTCCCGTAACGCCTCCTTGGTGGCCTGCCGAATTTTGGTCTCAATGCCACTGCTCTTGCACAATGTTGCCTGCAATTCCAAGCACCCCATATACATTAAATAAATAAATAAAATGCCAATATTTGCGAAGTAATTATGAAATTAACTATTAGTTTTAAAAAAATTAAAATTAAAAATTCACCTGGAGAAGTTGGTCTTGTTCTTCCCAAAATGCCTTGTTCTCTTCCACAGTGAAAGAATTCTCCTCATCCTCATCGGAGCCAGAGGTAATATTCTCCGGCGACACCTCGACTTGCTCGATGAAACCCAAAACCATGTCGGCGAGACTTGCAGCGCTGCCGGGAAATTCCAAAATATCGTCGGAGCTCCGGCGCATCACCGGAATTCTAGCCATTGCTCCGGCCATATTCTATTTTTAGAATCTCCCTCTCTTCTCTCTCTCTCTCTCTCTCTCTCTCTCTCTCTCTCTCTCTCACTTTGTTGTTTGTGTCAAAATGGTAATGCACGTGGTCTTGAATGGTTAGGAAACCTGTGGTCCAATTTATAGGTCTATGGTTGGGGCCCACGTGTCCTACGTGGACTAACAAGGCGTCGCGAACATAACATCTTCGTGTTACGTCTGTGGGTTGAAGCATTCGGTGTGTTTCGGGTTTGGACAGCTAATGTCCACGTCCGCATTGACCAATAACGTTGAAGCAATTGAGCTCGAGAGTTATCCGAATATTCCATTTATTGCATTTTTCCTTTTCTTTTTTATTATTTTTTAGTAATTATAATAATAGTGTCTTTTTATCGTGATTAAACAAGTAACAAGATGTAAGCTTTATCCTAATCTTTCGAGGTGCTGTGTGGTGGGGACCACTGAGGTTAAAATCTGCCCGCGGTCAGTGGGCACAATCAAGCACAAAATACACGTGGCTTTTTCTAAGGATTTGATGGCCATAGGCTTATCCCATTCTAAGTGGGACCCACTGTCTATCCATAGTTGTTGTGAAATTGTCCCCATATTCCACGATTGTGCAAAACTTTTTATAGGGAGGTATAATGATTATTAGCATCAAAAGCACCAAGGTACACTCCCTATTTCTGGAGTTATTTACACTGATAGTTCTTAAGGTTCAAAAATCATGCAGATATGACTTAGGATAGTTAATCAAGATAGTGAACTCAGCTTTATACACCTAAATTAGTTTTTTGTAATAAAATTAATTTAGTTTAGTTTAAATTATCGCTTATATCAATAAAAATAAAATAAAATAAAAAACGACATTAACATTCTTTGAGGTTTCAAACTGTTTTCATAAAGCTCCTACCATTAATTTTCTGTCCCAAACTTACTAACGTCATCAACAAAATTTCTTCGAAAACTAGTTTAACAATAGAAACTAGATTGTACTTACACTCCTAAGGTCTAATATTAGAAGTTAATTTTGTTATATAAAAAAAAATTATAGCATAATCAAATTTTAAACTGAAAACTAACGAATTAGGTTTTGTGAAAACGGTTTGAAACCTCATAGATTTTTAGTATAATTTCTTAAACCTCACAAGTCTTGTAAAGTCACCTTTTCTTAATAATTGAACTCAAGTTAATAGACTAATAAAACGATTAACTCAAATTTTTAAAATACATTTTACACACATTTTTTTGACCATTGTGTACGCGGTGAGGTCCACCAACGTTGATAATTGCCATGTTGGCCAACACTGCCATCTGCGCCATGGCAAAAAGTATATATAATTAATTCTGTTCTCATCTCTAATGATTTGGTGCAAGGGTAGCATTGTAATTACAGATTTTATTAAACAAGAAGTATTCTGAACAGAAAAGTAGGTACAAATTCAAGTTTGGTGTCAGAAAATCCTTCTCTTCCTCCTGCCGATTTCATTGGGTCAAAATGTGGTGGAATTTTGAGTGGTTTCCCATCTATAACAAATCATAATACCAAATTATATTGACCAAAACTATACCTGAAATTTAAGAAGTAGGTACAAAAGGAAGCTTCTTGACACAAATCATAATGCCGAGTTTATTGGACAAATATATGTACCTGAAATTGGAGCTTATTACAACAAGAAGAATTTGTTGTCAAGGGCTAACAAGAATGCTACCAACCTTCAAATTACCCACAAAGAAAAAAAAAAGTTAAAACAAAAACTGCCAAACTTGTTACTCGCTTACTACACAATCGACCCTTAAGCCTTCCATTGTCACAGTTATTTACACTAACATTTCTTGAATATTTTAATTTTTTTTCCACAAAAATTCCAGAAGTTTCAGATATTACATGAATACTTCTTGAATGTTTTAAATTGTTTTCACAAAACCCCTTTTACATTGATTTTTTTGGTGTAAAGATTGATGATTTTATATATACAAAATTTCTCCAAATGACAAAGTTAACCTTTGAGATTATATTGCACATATATTCATTGAATACAATTTTGTCATTTGCAAAAGTTTTTTTATATATGAAATCATCAATTTTTAGACAAACAATCAATTTCATTATAATTGCAATCCAACTAAACTCAAGTGAGTTTTTTCTTATTTTAAATTTAATAATTGTCGTTGAAGATATTTGAACTGAAGACTTCCTCAAATTAAATGTAGACAAGGTGATATTAGATCAAATGATCAATGGTAAAACTAATTAAGCAACATTTGGATATGTAGATTTAGAAGGGGGGTTTTGGCTATGGTGGTATTGAGTTTAATTACATTATTACCCACTAAAGATAATGAGCCTCTAAATTTAAGAAAAACTTAACCTTTTTACTATAATGGTATTTCTTGTTCAAATATTGGAAGGTTCTAAATTAAAACCCCCTACTCTCTTTTTTCTTTTTTTGTTGAGAAATTGTAGGATTGCATTTATAATTCAGCCAAAAAAACCACTAGTTACAAAGGGCCAATACAAACTAGCCACAAAAGCCCATTACAATAACAGAGCGGTTTAGCATCAAAATTAAGATAATCTAGTACGCCTCCATAAACTATCACATAGGATCGAAGAAACTCTAGCTTAGGCATCCCAACTAAAGTTGTATCAATTCAAAAAAAAAAAAAAAAAAATAAAAAAAAAACAAACAAAAAAAAAAAACAATATAAATAAAACTATCATAAAGAAGATATGAAAGGCTCTCACAAATTAGAGGTGAAAACTACACATTAAGAAATCGCAAAAATCGAAAAAGGATGGTGGAGATCCGACACAAAAATGTAGGTGGAGATTCGACCTCGAAACACAACCTCCTGTGATGGTTAGAGGAAAATCATAACAAAATGAAGACAAATAGGGAAAACCTTTTGTCTTTGAAAATGAGGGGAGAAGAGAGGGAGGAAGAGAAGAGGGGAGAGGAGAGGAAGAACAGTGGCTTCCTCCCCTCTCGAAGTGAAAATAGCTCTAGGAGCAACCCCCTACTCTCTTAATAAATTGTTTTTCTTGATACAAGCAATATTGGGGAAGGGGGATCCAAATGCAGGACCTTGAGTGCAAGAGTAACTCTCTTAACCACTTAAGCTATCAGTCCCTTCAAATTGTTTTTAATTTAATTGGCAGTATCAAATGTAAATGAATAAATAAAACATAAAATAGCAGTTTGAATACTTTTCAGTATGAAAACACACCATATTTAAATGATTTATGGAAGCATTGCGATGCTCAGGGGCGGAGCTAAAATTGTAAAATTAGGGGGGCCAAAGTAGAAAATACAAGTATATAAACATCCAAATATGCAATAATTACATATTTAAAGCTAAATTTTTCTAATTGAGTCATGTCTAATTTGTTTTAGAGGAAATTTTAACTTAATTTATAAATTATTGATTACAAATTCTACATATTATATATAATATAATAGAGGAGGGATACAAATTTGGGGGGGCCAGGGCCACTCCAGGTCTGGGAGTGGCTCCGCCACTGGCGATGCTACCTTTTCTTTATCAATAGATTGAGAAGATAAATACCTATAGCAAGAAGAACTAGTTGATTCCTCTCAATGCCACTTAAGCTAAAGTTTTAGGCTATCCAAATACAAACTTAAGGTATGATTAAAATATAAAAGGTTGCACCCTATAATTTGGATTACAAGCCCAAGGCGAGACATCGGAATGGGGTCCTCAACTCTCCACACATCAGAAAGGAAGGATTTTGTGAAAACATTTTAAGGGGTGTTAGTGTACTTTCTAAAATCTCAGGAGTTTTGTATGTCGGTTTAGTAGTGAATTTCACTTTCACCTCAATTTCAAGAGACCAAGATTTTTTTATTTTTTATTTTTAGACAATCAGACATTTGAAAAAACAATGGGAAAATGTTGTGCCAGATTGGAAAAAACGTACAACAGAAATAAAGTTGTATCATTGAATGGTTCATAATATCTTGTTGGTAGGTTGTGATCTTGATTAGGATTGATGCTAACAGCCAAGGCCTCTCCTTCGATTTTTTGGCATATTCTCAAATGGGAATCTTATGTGGCACGTATCAGCCAAGGCCTCTCCTTCATCTGAGTTTTCTCCATCAGGTAAAACCATTACTGTCGTTGTCAGTTGATAGAACGTAAATAATAATCTTCTTGGCTTCATTGCAAAAACAGGGTGGTGCATAGATTCCCTTATAATATCTATCCCTTCAAACAAGTTTACAAAATCACAAATACTGGGTGTGATCTTGTGAACCGTTGATTGGTGTGGAACTTACTGTGAAGCGCACGCTAATCAACCATTGTCAATCATCCATGTGCATCTAAACGATGAAAGATGACAACATACCGGTTAAAAGATGATATGCGTTCAAACCATAGAAACAAATCTCTGTGATGCAAATTAGATCAGTTCTCTTGAAATTTTGAGTATATTATATTTCATGCTGGTGAAAAGTGCGTAGAAACAACTTTCATCAACTTGTTGGAAAAAAGAACTTTGATGTAGATTAATAATATATGAAATGTTAAAAGAAACAAAGATGACAACGGACTGAACAGATACACTTATCCAAAAGATCATATCATCAGTAAAATAAACAGATACTTATCCAAAGTGCCTTCCTATGACAATTTACAGATTAGTTTTTATTCAACTTGTCTAATTATTTAGCTATTAAAAAACAATGAAGTCAAGGTCTTTTGGCACTTTTACAGCTTGGAGAACAACTTTTCCCTTTTAAAAGAAACAGATACTTTGTCTCCTATGCCTTCCCATGGGACACACACAAAGCTAAAGCCTACTTGCAGCTTAAACAGATGATCATAGATGAAATCAAATAAGATATTCTTTACACTCACACCACAAATACAGCATGGGATTTGCTCAAGAAATAATATATAACAGAGAAAATCCCAAAAAAGGAAAACCTAAAATTAGATAGATTTGAAGATCTGTTTTACTGGCCATATCATAAGATCCACAAACTCTAAGCATCAGTTGAGGATAGACATGAACTATAAACATCATGCTTTTACTATTCTTCTCCCTAAATATATATACCCTTTCTTTAACTCTTTATTTACCCTGGTTTGATATTCAAAAAACCTTTCATATCTTTCTAACAGAAGGTTTTTGGGAGCATAAGTATGCAAACCATGGTAGTGGATTATCCATGCCAGTCGGTAGAGGACGCGAACTGATCTTGTTACCGGCGAGTTGATCCCGAATGCTGAATTTCGAATCAAGATACCAGAAAAGACACAGCTGTAGATAGTCCATGGAAGCCTGCTGGTACAAAGATAAGAAGTGATTTAAATAAGTTATTGATCAGTGACACAAGATAATGAAGAGTAAAAGGTGCAAATGTAAGAATAGATCAAACACCACCACTTGATATTTAAAATAACAATGTTTATTATATGTTACCACTTGAAAGCCAAATGAAAAGATAGCTACAAATTGACAGGCACCACTAGCTTAATAAACTTATAAAACTTGATGCTAAGCAAGTGGAACATAGCAGAGAATATTATTGAGGTCCACTCTGATAACTATTCAATAAGGACTGATGATGATGATGAAGACGAAGTTATGATGCCCCATTTTATTGATGTTGAAATCATTATAAAGCATACCTTCCACTCTCAGAACACAAAATATCAGACAGGCTTTGTCTTTACATGGAAATTACAGCAAACGGACCACACAGTTTGTAGTTGTTTGAATTAAACTTACTTTCTTTTTACAAATTATCCATTAAAAAATGCATGCCATCTGCTGCTCATTGTTTTTAAGAGACACTTTCAACAAGTTGTTTTATGAAATCATAATAAAAATTGCATGGGAAATAAATTAAGATAAGCAGCACTAGACTAATGTTCTTGGCATGCAAGTTGCGACTGGTTTTATTTCATAACAAAGCTAAGCCTTGGAAACATAGAACAGAAGTCAAATTGAAACGTCATGCGAAAGGGGAAGTGATAATGACACAAAAATTTCTTCATTAAAAAAAACACAAAAATTTTGCAACCATGCTTTATACTAATTCCCCTTTGCCAGCCTCCTTCTGTGTCTCTCAATGTTATTGTTAAGCCATATGAAATGGGAAGATAAACTGTGGAAAAAATTCTACAGCATGCTTTGTCCTAATTACCATTCGCACTCGCCGTCTCTGTCCCTCCGATGTTTTAGCAGTGTTTTTGAAGATGACATGCTTATTTTCGAAAGACGTCGAACATATTAGTTGAAGAGTGATTCCCTTGTTGTCATCATTCAGTTTTCGATAGTTTTTTTGTCACAAAATGCCAATAACTAGCATCCTGACATTAAAAAAAGACTTCAAAAGATTAGGTTATCTAATCATCAGGAACCCTTCCTTTGCAAGCCGACTTTATAAGGCCATTTCATACTCAAAACCAAAAGATGATCTCTTATTGAAAATCCCAAGCCAAAGAGAACATTATTTGAGTATATAAATGATATCACTACTTGAACAATGAGAAATCATACCCAACAATAAATGGAAAAGTATCTTGCGCGCTGATAATCTGTTTATGAGAACTTAGCAAGGAGACTGAAACCAAGGACAGCATGCATCATCAATAAACAATGTTACGCATGAAAAGATAAATAAATTTACACGAAAGTGATCAAAGAATAATAATTCAATGGATTGGAAATACCTATCTTCAAGAGGAAGAGTTAGGATAGAATGAAGGTTTGAGAAACTGACTGTGAAGACAACACAAAATTTACATGATGATGGGAGTGTTTATGAGTTGATGATGACAGACTAATCATGTTCTACTTGTAACTATTTGTAAAAAAAATCCCTTGAAGATAAACTGTTCTTTTCAGTTTTTTATTTTTTATTTTTAAGAAACCTCTAAAAAAATCCCTTGAATGCTGAAAAGTAATACTTAATTACAGTCATGAAATGATGAAGGAAGCTGCAACAATTAAAATACAATTCGGTTACTTGCCAATGAGCCATGGGAAGGGTTCTGCACCATTTGCAGTTGTTCTAATATGTTAGTTGTGCACCATGATTGGATGGTTGTGAAGTTAGTACAAAATAAGAGCCAATCCATCATCCATTCATGTCCAGCCAGTAGCATGAGCCCACAATCAAGTTTCGACATGCAGTTTCTGGAAAGTCAACAATTTTCCGATAACTCTTTCGAGAATCAGATTAGCTTGCAAGACTAAGGAACTTGTTTACCCCGAAAAGGACCCACTGGCCATTCGCTTGGGTTTTGGCCGTGGAGTTTGCTTTTTGCGAATGCGAAGGTGTGCCACTGTTGGCAATGAAAAACTCCAACAGACTGAAAATGGTAAGACTGGAAAATGCACACCAATATTGACTTTAATCAATCAATTGTGGATTGGGCGAGGAACTGACCCAATACAAGGTTCTTTTCGATGCCTCAATTAAGAGGACTTCAATATTCATCTAGCAGGAAATTGGTAACTGTCAAAAGCTGAAATTGAATGATGATGGAAATGACAGAAGTTTATCGGAATATTTATCCACTACTACATTTTACACTTTGCGCGACGAAGAGAATTTCGTCGCGCAAAATACATTGTAGTCGCACAAATTTCAGCGCGACAGAAACTTCGTCGCGCGAAGATCGTGAAGAAAGACTTTGCACGATGAAAAAATATTTGTCTCGCAAAGTGACTTTGAGCGACGAAACATATTGGTCCCGCAAAGTGCGCAAAGTGACTTTGCACGACGAAAAAATACTGATTGCGCAAAGCAACTTTGCGCGACGAAAAAATATTGATCGCGCAAAGTTTTGCGCGACGAAAAACATTGGTTGCGCAAAGTTTTGTGCAATGAAAAAATTATAAAAAATAAGAATAAAAAATTCCCGCGTCCCATTTTTGGTACCCACCCAAATTTTTAGAGTTTTGCGCGAGGAATACTAATGTCGCGCAAATATTTGCGCAACGAAATATTTTGGTTTTTGACTTTTTGTTTTATTATTTCTTTAATATTAATTTAATTATATTAATTATTTCGAATTTTTACTTTTTAAATTTAATTTAATTGTATGATTTTTTTCGTTACTTTAATTTAAATTGATATTAATTTATTCAAATTTTTACTTTTTAAATTTAATTTAATTGTATGATATTTTTTAATTACTTTAATTTAAATTGACATATTCAAACTAAAATTACATATGAAAAATAGTGATCAAATTATCCAATAAATACATATATATAATATTCAAAATGTACACATAAATTAACAAAGTACAATAATAAAATCCTAATACAAGCGTATTATGGTGGTAGTGGCGGAGGATATGTTTTGATAGTTTCCTAATCCTCAACTTTAGCCGTCAAAGTCTTGATGATTCCCAACAAAAAAAAAAAAAAGGGATAATCTCCCCTAAAATTGTTATACCACAAATCCAACCCAAACTCCAATCCCTCCCCACACAAACTCAAAACTAACTCCAAAAACACATATTAATGAAAAAAATTTAAAATTTGGAGAGAATATACCTTTTGGCAAGATTGAGAGTGAGTGAGAATGAGAGAGAGAAGTGAGTGTGAGAGAATTAGAGAAGATAGTGATAGAGAGATGAGAGAGTGAGTGAGAGTGAGAGATAGTGAAGAGAGAGATGATGAGAGATTAAGTGAGAGGAGTAAGTGTGAGAGAAATGGTGGGATTTGGGGAGAGGTAAGAGAAAGACATTGAGAAAATGGTGGAGGATTTATTTTCATTTTAAAAACCGTATCACTTTGCGCGACGAACAATATTGTTGGTCGCACAAAGTTTTGCGCAACGAAAAATATTGGATTATTGGTCGCTCAATGTTTTGCACGATGAAACATATTTGTCACGCGAAGTTTTGCAAGACGAATAAGAGTATATTGGTCGCGCAAAGTCAAAAAAAAAAAGAATCCCGAGTCCCATTTTTGGTACCCGCCCAAATTTTGAAATTTTTGCGCAACGAAAAATATTGGAATAAAAAAAAAAAAAAAAAAAAAAAAACCCGCGTTCCATTTTTGGTACCCACCCAAATTTTGAAATTTTTGCGCGACGAAAAATATTGGAATATTGGTTGCGCAAAGTTTTGCGCGACGAAATATATTGGTCGCGCAAAGTCAAAAAAATAAAATCCCCATGTCCCATTTTTGGTACCCGCCCAAATTTTGAAATTTTTGCACAACGAAAAATATTGGAATATTGGTCGCACAAAGTTTTGCGCAATGAAATATATTGGTCGCGCAAAGTCAAAAAAAAAATCATCGCGTCCCATTTTTGGTACCAACCCAAATTTTGAAATTTTTGCGCTCCGAAAAATATTGGAATATTGGTTGCGCAAAGTTTTGCGCGACGAAATATATTGGTCGCGCAAAGTCAAAAAAAAAAATTCCCCACGTCCCATTTTTGGTACCCGCCCAAATTTTGAAATTTTTGCACGACGAAAAATACATATTGGTCGCGCAAAGTCTACAAAAATTCCCGCGTCCCATTTTTGGTACCCGCCCAAATTTTTGCGCGACATATTTTTCGCGCAAAGTCTAAAAATTTTTTTTTAAAAAAAAATCCCGCGTCCCATTTTTGGTACCCACCCAAATTTTTAGAGTTTTGCGCGACGAACTGTTGGTCGCGTAAACTTTTGAAAGACGAAAAATTAGTTCGTAGCACGATATTTATAAAAAGAATTGCTATGAATAATAAAAAATAAATTTATTTTATTTTACCATTTAAAATATAAATAAGCTTAAAGCTACTTAATAAATGTATATACTATTCAATTTCTTAATTGTTATACGTACAAAATAAATAAATTTAAAGCTACTTAATAAGTAAATAAATATATATATACACACACCATTCAACGATTCAATCGTCAAACTTGTTTGTATATACTTCAAGATCGTATACCCCAAAAATCGCAAAAAACAAACATTCAGAGACCTAGTAACGGGATAAAAAATTTCAACGGTTATAAATGAAAAATCATGATTTAACGGTTATTTTAACTCCAATTTTGATGATTTTTTACAGATACACTCTTTGACCCTATATGAATACAATGAACTAATTCGATTGTCAATTTAAAATATTTACACTAGTGGATACCACAAAATCTTATGTTATATTTAACAAAAGTATAAATAAACTCTTAATTGTTAGTGAATATATTGTTTTGATGGCATATGCATTCTACGAAACTAGTTTCAACGATCCAACCGTCAAACTTGTTTGTTTATATTTTGAGATCATATACGCCAAAAAAAATTGAAAAAAATAAACATTCAGAGATCAAGTAACGGGACAAAACTTTACGACGGTTATAAATGAAAAATCACGATTTAACGGTTATTTTAACTCCGATTTTGATGATTTTTTTACAGCTACACTCCTTGACCCTATATGAATACAATGAACTAATTCGATCGTCAATTTAAAATATTTACACTAGTGGATACCACAAAATCTTATGTTATATTTAACAAAAGTATAAATAAACTCTTAATTGTTAGTGAATATATTGTTTTGATGGCATAGGCATTCTACGAAACTAGTTTCAACGATCCAACCGTCAAACTTGTTTGTTTATACTTTGAGATCATATACACCAAAAATCGGAAAAAATAAACATTCAGAGATCAAGTAACGGGACAAAACTTTTCGACGGTTATAAATGAAAAATCATGATTTAACGGTTATTTTAACTCCGATTTTGATGATTTTTTTACAGCTACACTCCTTGACCCTATATGAATATAATGAACCAATTCGATTGTTAATTTAAAATATTTACACTAGTGGGTACCACAAAATCTTATGTTATATTTAACAAAAGTATAAATAAACTCTTAATTGTTAGTGAATATATTGTTTTGATGGCATACGCATTCTACGAAACTAGTTTCAACGATCCAACCCTCAAACTTGTTTGTTTATATTTCGAGATCATATACACCAAAAATCGGAAAAAATAAACATTCAGAGCTCAAGTAATGGGACAAAACTTTTCGACGGTTATAAATGAAAAATCACGATTTAACGGTTATTTTAACTCTGATTTTGATGATTTTTTACAGCTACATTCTTTGACCCTATATGAATACAATGAACTAATTCGATCGTGAATTAAAAATATATATTTTCTAACAAAAAGATTTTAAAAAGAATTTTATTATTTTATTATTTTTATAAGGACTTTGCACGACGAAGTTCATTGTTTTGACGCGCAAAGTGACTTTGCGCGACGAATTGTTTTTCATCGAGCAAAGTGACTTTGCACGACGAATAGTTTTTCGTCAAGCAAAATTTGGTCGCTCAAGACTTTGCGAGACGATGTATTGTCGTCGCGCAAAAGTTTCTTGCGCAAAGTGATTTTGTGCAACGAAAAACAATTCGTCGTGCAAAATTTTGTCGCCTAAGGTTTGTAGCGACAAAGTTTTGTGTTTCGTAGCGCAAAGTGACTTTGAGTGACGAATAATTTTTCGTCACGCAAAATGTGGTCGCGCGAGGGTGATTTTTTACTAGTGATCTATTCAGAAAACTTGAAAAAAAAAGGAAGTACATAAACAACACAACTTGAAAATTTCTCTATTCAGACCTGGTACATAAAATTAAAATGGAGATTGAAGATTTCTCTATTCAATCTTGTACAAGGAAATATCATACCAAGAGTTGGCAGAGCAAGATAAAGAAATTCCTCAGGAGTTGTCAACTGGGAAATTCAGAGAATGAAAAAGGAAGGTTGTTTCAAGCTTTTGAGCTGGGTTTATAGATGTTGAGTTTGGTTTTTGTTGGTTGAGTTGTGTCTGTTTTGCTGATGATTTCTCCTTCAATTTATAGAGAATGGAGGTCGATTGAGTAGACCAGCAGTTAATTTGAAGTACCCACTTGCCATTGGTTTTGGTGAGTGGGTTGTTGAAAATGTAAGTAAACCCAAAAAAGTTGCTAAGAGGCTTTGATGTGATTTGACAAAAGATATCACTATTAGACTAAAAGAAATCCAAACTATTAGTCCACTTGCCATTGATTGATGAGTGACAGTCAAAAGTAGCTGACTAAAAGACAAAAAGAAATAGAGAGATAATGACAACCATCTCTACTTCTTTATTTATTCATTCTTTAAAACCATTTGCATATTATTTTATTCTTCTTTCAACCTTTGTGTAGACTTTTCACATGTTGAACTTTGGCTTTGTTTTAATATTCTTCACAGAGAATATTAAATTGTTTCCATCTACCACATCTTCATTTTATTCTTCTTTGAATCAACTCACTTGTGATGAAGTCCCTCCATTGATAAAGTGAAACTTGATTTGCAGTCACTGAGTTTCTCCTCCGAACATGCCTTGATGCATAATGAACTGGGAATGGTAGATTGATCCAATTGCTGCAAATTTCGGATATGTTGTTCTCCACATAAGAAGGAACAACATTCATGAAGAACTTAATTCCATTTGAGCAATGGAAAACCTGATTTAGCATGGTTGCAACTGACTGGTCGTCATACACTGTTCTCACGAACAGAGATCATGATTAGTGTTCTGAAGATTCAATACTTGTGCAAATGACGCCAAATTCGGATATATTGTAGTAGACATCCAAATGAACAACTTTCATGAAGAACAAATATTCATTTGAGCACTGGAAGCTGGCCCGAATTGGGCCATAATTAGGCCCGAATTGCCACTGTTATCAGCTTTCGCTGTTGCTGGTATGCCTCTGATGTTTTCAGCTCTTAGGATTCAACATTTGTCCGAATAAACCCAAATTTGGATATTTTGCAGTAGACATAGAGATGAACAACTTTCATGAAGAACGAAACTTGATTTGACCGCTGGAAGTTGAATTTTGGGCTCACTCCATCTGTCTGCAGCAATGCATGTCTAGCCATATTTTGGCCATTTTGATGTTCATGGAACATTATCTTCCATTTTAGGCAAAAATACAATTTTTGGTACAAACAGAACTACACAAAACTACATATAAGAAATAAATGCATTTGTTCTCATAAGGTTTGCAATGTAGTCTGCCTCTTGCTTGTTGATTATTCCAACAACAAAGGACTATGCATACACCAGCTTAACATAGTTAACAACGTGAGTTAAGATTCACAAATTGATATCTTCCTATAAACTTAATCAAACATCAACCCATACTCCTTCCTTCACGCTCTTTCGCCAACCACGGTAGGTATTTGACATTATCCAATGTATAAAATGAAAACACCTGATTTTGATCACAGAGAGTCAATTACTCAATTCCAGAGGACACTTTTCCTATAAGAATTATGTTTTCAAAGAATTCAGGGTTCACTAACTTCAGTTGCTGACTGAAAACAAGAAACTCCTCAATAGTATTAGGTCTCCTCAGGGTAAAAAGTCTCATATGGTTAATAGAAAAAATTATAGTCACTGCAATGTTTGAATCAAACTGGCTGCCTCCTAGTATCCATAAACCCTAAACACAATGTCTTGGATCTCTTAGATGCACTTAAATGGCTGGAAACCCTACAAGGTCTGCTCAACAAAAAAACACATGTACCAATTATATTTTAACTAGCTAGGGTGGGACAAGTTATGGAAAATTAAGCAAATAAGCACAAACCTAGCAGAACAAGAATTCAGAAGATTATCAGAAGTCAAAAGAAATAAACTACCAACTACTCTAACAGCTGATAACGATAAGAGACTTACTTTTAATTTGCCTTGGATTTCTTAAATGCAATTAATAAACCCCGTTCGATCTCTCTTTCACCGATTAAAAATTTATTTACCACGAAGACTTAAAAGTACCATTCATTCCAAGGTAAGAGTCCTGCATTGCCAGTGAGAGACAATTGAAAAACACTTACAAATGAAGTAATGGATGGCTGATGGATGAATTGATAGGAACTCTGAATCTATACTTAATCGAATTGTTAGAACTTATCCCATTTGGTTGAGCACTTGAGGAAGTGTACAACCATAGCCAAAAAGATAACCTCGAAAAGTTTAACAGACACTAAAGGGGGCAAGACTAAATATGTGTAGAACACTCTACTGAAATGTCCCATCTTTTCAGATAATTGTACAGAAGTTAATCAACAATAATTGACAATTAATTAAACACAAAAGTCGACGAGAAACTCAGCAAAAGTGGAGGGAAGATTCCCAACCTTGGTGATATTTGCTCTGTTTTCTTAGTCAAAAGTATACACAGAAAAAGATTAAGCAGTCCTTTTGCACAGTTATGTCAAGTTTTTTCTATTTCCTTAAGACCAAGAGTTCCAGTTATATCACAAAAAATTAAAATTGTTTCATAATTAAATTGACCCTAAACCATGTTCTCCCTCTACACAGTGGCAGATCCAGGATTATGTGGCCAAGGGGGCTTAGTGTAAAAGTTCTGAAATTTTTCTACAAAGAAAATAATGCTAAAAAAATAGAAAGATAATACTTCTATTCATAATTCATAACAAAACCAATAATACACGTTACAATTATCCACGACGAGTTTTCATATTCTGAAAACGTTGCATTATAGTTTCGTTATCAATACAAGCAAAAACATCTCTCTCAATGTAAACAATCAAGCTATCATTCAACCATTGATCTCCCATTCTGTTGCGAAGTGGATTTTTAATAATATTCATGGCGGAAAATGCCCTCTCCACTGAAGCAGTTGCAACCGGTAAAACCAAAGCCAATGTAAGAAGCAAATACACATAAGGAAATATTTCATGCATTCCTTTCTCCACCATTTTTTCCGCAAGACTACTAATCCCTTCCAATTGAGAAAAATCAATACTCGAACGCATATGATGAACATAAACACCAAGTTGATCTTCAAGCATCAATAAGTCTCTATCCGAAAAATCATAAGGATAAAATTGAGCAAGACGAACTAGCTTTCGTTTGTCAAAAGCTACAAAGTTATTTTTCGGACTCAAGCATGCCAAACAAGTAAGTAACTCAGTACTTACCTCGTTGAAGCGATCATTTAGTTCCGCAAGTTGTCCATCAATTACATGAATAAAGATCTCCACACAATAATGATGATAATTTGTCTTCATTGGAGCATTACGCCGTGACCTCCCTGGAATTACATATTCCTCATCCATGGTAGGAGCTATAATATCATGTTTGTAACAAAACAAAGATGCTTGCTCAACCAATTCTTCAAACTCATTATCCCTCATGAACTGCAGGTTTTCCTTGCATGTTGTCACTAAACTCATTGCACTCACAATGTCTTGATTTTTCTTTTGCAATGCTAGAGACAAAGTGTTTGTTATTCCCAATATAGCTTTCATTAAAAATAAGTGAAACACAAACTCAAAAGATTGTATTTCTCTCCATAACTTATAGGTTTCACCCGAACTATCATTAGGATTATCATCAACAATCATTTGAAGCACATTCACCACAGATGGGAACATAGAAATGATACTAATCAACGTACCATAATGTGAGTTCCATCGTGTATTGCCGGCACGTTTGAGAGTAGTTTCTTGATTTAAGCCCCGCTCCGTTATCAGACAATCTTCTTCAAAAGCTCTCACAAGCTCTTCTTGGTATTGTGCTCTAAGTGCATCCCGACGCTTACAAGATGCTCCAACAACATTAACCAAACTATTAGCCGTTGTTAAAAAAGAGTTGACATCAATGTTTTTCTTTGCTACCGCAACAAGAGCTAGTTGAAGTTGATGAGCAAAACAATGAACATAAAATGCACAAGGTTGTTCTCTCAAAATCTTTGTCTTAAGACCATTGAACTCACCTCTCATATTACTAGCTCCATCATAACCTTGTCCTCGTAACTTGGAAAAGCTCAAATTCGCGGAAGAAAAGAATTCATCAATGGCTTCCTTTAGTGCACTTGAAGTAGTGTCGGTCACATGTTGAACCCCCACAAACCTTTCAATTATTTTTCCTTTGTCATTCACATAACGAAGCACCATCGCCATTTGCTCCTTTATTGAAACATCCCGTGCTTCATCCACCATTATTGAAAAATATCTATCTTTTACATCACTCAAGATAAGACCAATGGTTTCTTTAGCACAAGAATTGACAAGATCTTTTTGAATTGAAGGAGCTATTAACTTCAAATTTCCTGGAGCATTTTCCAACACAACGGCCTTAACTTTTTCATCATGATCTGCAAGAAATTGCAAGAGCTCTAAATAATTCCCTCTATTACTTGATTGTGCACTTTCATCATGACCATGAAAAGAAAGACATTGTCGCAACAAATACCTAGTGCACTTAAGTGATGCATTCAAGCAAGTGCGATAAGCCGTACGAGCTTGGCTTGTTTGCTTGATGACAATTGTTTCAATGTGTGTAGTTTGATGCATCAAATTGTAAGCAACTTCTCTAGCTTGGTCTTGCATTTGAAGATTAGCTAAGATCTCATCTACTTCAATTGGTCTTGCATTTGAACTACCCAGATTAGACGGAGAAGGACTATCCGTAGACAATTTTCTTTTAAAGAATCGTTCCATAAATCTACAAATCAATTAATTCAATCAATCATTAATTTTTACCCAAATTATCATATGAATATGAAAATGTCAATAACCCACTCTCAAAATTCAATGTACTCCCTAAACCCATATCAATCAATATTCAATATACTAAATTATCATATCAAATATCAATTAATATTCAATATACTCAATCAATTCACATTTCAATCAAGCATAAACTCAATCAATCTACATTAATATGATTATCACTATGATTCATATCATATCCATAAATTTCATTACATACAAAAAATATCAATATTATTCATATCCATAAATTTCAAGCATTAACTCAATAAAGCATAAATTCAATCAATCAATATGATTTATATCCATAAATTTCATTACATAAAATAAAAAAAATAAAAAAAATCAATATCAACAACAATATATATTATCAACATATCCATAAATTTCATTGTCAAGCTTACTTGTAGTTGAAGGGCGGAGGGAGGAGGACGGCGACGAACGGCGGTGATTGGTGGCCCAGCGAAGAGTTGATGATGGAGGTTGTTGGAGGTTGGGAGGTTGAGGGAGAGGTTAGGGTTTGAGAGGGTGGGGAGAGGAAGTGTGAAATTGGAAATGAAGGGTTTGGGGTTGCTGTGCAGATTCGCAAGGCTGGGTTTTTCTGGTTTTTAAAATTTTTTTTGAGAACCCAAAAACGACGTCGTTTTGAGGCTAGATCATTTTAAAAAAAATTGACTGAGCCTTTGCCAAATGACGTCGTTTGGCAAGGCAGTTTAAAAAAAAAATTACTCTCAGCGCGCGCGCGCAAGGCACAGCGCAGCAAGCTTCGCCTCCTCTCCTGGGACTTTCATCGAGCAGTTGGCGTGCATCCAAGGGGGCTTCCAGCAGCTGTCCAAGGGGGCTTCAATGGAGTCCCAGGGCATTTTTCCAACCTTCCAAGGGGTCGTCCGACCCCTGTTGTCCCAACGTGGATCCGCCACTGCCTCTACATGCTTTCATTTTGTCTTCTTTCTCTTACAGTATAAACGTAAAAGATTAATAAATAAATTAAATTAAATTAAAAAAAGAAAAAGGGAACCTATTTCTTGTATAGAAGAACAGAAAATTCCATCCCCCTCTACTGTACTTGTAAAACCCAAGTTCCAAATGAGCCAGCATTTGCAGCAGCCATCAACCCTTTTGCCAACCAATGAAAGCAGTTTCACAGAAATCTTTGAACTAAAGAAAGCAAGCAACGCATAAACTGCTACATGCAATCAGCCTATTGACAGATAAACAATGACGACCCACATCAGTTCCAGATTCAGAATGTTGTCTAATTCAAAAGATTTGTACCATGGAACACAGTTTTGGTTTGGAAGCTTACCTCTGAGCTCACCAAAAAGGAAAAAACCCATTTCCCTTTCTTCAATGCAGAAATGTCGGGAAAGAAGGATCCCGTGTTTGGTTATGGTTTCTATGTAAAATGGAACAAAACAAAGAAACCTCTGCTGTTTCAGGTTTCGGTCACAATGTCGGGAGACAAAAAAGGTTGGGAAAAAACAAATGCACCAGCCGGGAATCGAACCCGGGTCTGTACCGTGGCAGGGTACTATTCTACCACTAGACCACTGGTGCTTGTTGTTCAATTGCTCTTCCAGATGGTATAAGAAGAAATGCGCGTCGAGTTGGTGGCATTTTCGTTTTATAGGCCAAGGCGATGTTGAGACAGGTTTCCATCAATTTCACCTATTGGTGATTGTTACTTGAGGATTTATTTGTGTAAGGATATGCAATGATTGGCTCCTATGAAAAGCTAACTAGTGTCTAAGGGTTTTCAACCGTAGTTGTTCGTAAACTTATACCCGAGTTTCATTTTGATTCTTCAACTAATTTCCTGTTATTTTAATCTTCCAAGTCTCTCATTTTTGCTATCAATGGGGTGTTAGTTGGATTGGTCTCTTCGGTCACATTTTGTCAATCTAAGTGGTAAAAACATCAATTTGAAGTACAAGTAATCATCTAAAATGTACAAAAAAAAAAAAAAAAATAAAAAATTTAAAAAAAAAAAAAAAAAAAAAAAAAAAAAAAAAAAAAAATCTTAGAGCTTTCTTCAATCTTCTCTTTTTTTTTGTTTTTCTATGATTTAATTGTCTTTGGCTTTCTATTAATGAAACTTGATTCCGACCAAAAAAAGGACCTATCTAGCTCTCTACTACCCATTTCACCCAAATTGGAACCATAATTCACCTATCTATCCAATTTCCCTGAAATTGAAACCCTAATTCAAAAAAAATCTCTAAGTTAAACCTTAACCCGTCAACAGAACCTCAATTCAATTTTACCCTAATGCTTGCTGTTTTTTTTCGCCTTCTTTTAACCGAATGCTTACTGCTGTGCAACTGCTCAAGGTCGTGGATTAGAAAGACACTCTGCATGTATATTCTTCTTTTTCTTTTTCTTGTTTTCTCTTTCTTTTCAGAGAACATTTCAGAGAGCTGCGTTTGAGGTGGTTATGAAAACTGCATTTTTACCCTTTGTGTTGTATGTTCATAGAAAATAGTACGAACTCAAATCTGCTATAACATGTCCTAACACTACTTGAGCACAAAAATGAACAAATGATTTGTATTAAAAGAATATAAATAGTCCTAATGTTTGTCAGAGCACACAAAAGCAGAACAAACAAATCAAACTATCATTATGATACATGAACTGCAACTAATCATCTACCGACTCTAATTATATCTGATCCAGACAAAGATAATGAAGAAGATAAGGAATTTTTCATGTCTTCAAATGTAGGGTGTCCCTGTCCTCTCATGTTCCAGCGATAAGTGGACCACATTGGAGTTGTTCTAATGTTGTGCAGCAAATTTACATTCATCCCTTCCCCTTCAGATTGATCATCAATGGCATCACTTGCCCCTTCAAGTACCTTCATAACTTGCCTCATTGTTGGCCTTCTATGAGCTTCAGGATATGCACAAAGCAAACCCAAATGAAGCAATCTCTCAACTTCCTCAATGCTATATCCACCTTTAGTCTTCAGCCTCTCATCAAGAGCAAAGGCCAATTTACTCCTCTCCATTAGCCTCCAAACCCAATCAACCAAGCCTGGCTGCCCAGCTTCTATCGGTCTCCGGCCACACACCACCTCCAGTACTAGTATCCCAAAACCAAACACATCAACCTGAGGTGAGGCTCGCCCGGTTCGAACCACTTCTGGTGCCATGTACCCTGCGGTCCCAACGACTTGAGTGGTGGCGGTCATTTCCCCATGTTGGTGCATTCGAGCCAATCCGAAATCCCCCAACCTAGCATTCATATCCTTGTCAAGTAGCACATTGCTTGCCTTGATGTCTCTATGCAAAACCTTAGATTCCCAACCCTCATGCAAATACAATATCCCAGAAGCCACATCCTTCAAGACCTTAATTCTCTCTTCCCAACTCAACATATTGCTCTCAAACAGCCTCTTGTCCAAGCTCCCATTTTCCATGTAATCATAAACCAAGATCAGGCTACCCTTCTCTTTTTTACACCAACCTCTCAATCCTACCAAATTCCTATGCTTCAATCTTCCCAAGCTTGAAACCTCAGCCAAGAACTCTTTCAACCCATGTTCACTCTCATGTGAAATTCTTTTAACTGCAACTTCTACTCCCGCTAAAAGCCCTTTATAAACCTTCCCATTCCCTCCAATCCCAATCACATTTTTCTCTGCAAATCTCTCCGTTGCTTTTCGAATCTCTTCGTAATCAATCCGGTGAGGCCAATAATGCATTTCCCAATCTTCAATTTCCTCCATCTCCTCCCCTTTTTTCCCCTTCCTCCTCTTTCTCCTCACCAAAATCACATACACCAAGACCACACACCAAACAACTAACACACCACCAGCACAAAACCCTACAATGAACCCTTTTGATCCAAAAGCAGAGTCCCCTGAAGCCACAAACGAAGGCAAAGTCTGAGTCACCAAACCGTCACCAATCGAAAAATTTGAATTACTAAAACTCCAAGCCAATATCCTATGGCTCTCAACCAATGCTCCAGTTGCTCCACAAAACCCCACATACATTTCATCCAAAAGAACCCCAGAAAGATCCACAACCTCGCTTATCAATGGCTTCCTGGGCTTTTTCACACCAGCAAGAGCCATGGTGACATTAATTTTTGAATCCAAAAAATCAATCCACACTTGATAATTGACCCCATTGTTAAGCTTCAACTCATTGAAATCCTCATCAAACTCACCACTCCAATACCCTGCAGTGTATGAAGCATTAGATGTAAGTGAGTTCAAGTCCACACCAACATGGTTATCATCAGGATCCTGGAATTCCTGGTTTTTGAACACATCAAATTCAACACCAAAAATATGGTTATTGGGGTCACCATTATTGGTGAAGTTGAAAACACCCAAATGCTGAGCTGAGCTTGCACCGGCTAAATCTGGCAAGGGTAAGAAGACAAAGACAAAACCATGGCCAGGAAGAAGGTTTTTGAAGGGTGCAAGGGAGAAAATGAAAGAGGTTGAGAAGGGAAGTGGGGTTGAACTTGAAGAGTTGGAGGGTTTTGTGGGGATTTTTTGAGGGTACAAGGCGCGTCCCAAAGAGAAGGCGGTGGTGTCATTTGTGAGGCTGAGAATGGAGGATTGGATTGTGGCGTTTCCATAGAGGCTGAGGCTGGTGGAGTTGAAGTTGGTGTTGAAGATGAACTCTGTGGTGCCTGAAACTGAGTTTGGGCTGAGGATTGCTATGATTAGTATGGTCCAAGTGTTGAGGAAGACATAGAGGATTTGAGAAGACATTTGTGAAAGAGGGAGATTTCAGAGAACACTGAGTTTTTTGTAAGGAAATAAGAACATCGGCTCTAGCCGCCTTTCGTCGAGGGGGTTCAAATCTCATATACTACAGTCTCTGTGTTGTGTTGTGGAAACCAACCAAAAAGGAACCTGTATTTCAAAACAAGCTTGTTTCTTGGAAACATGCTTTTGTTTTTGTTTGGAACATCCTTTTTTTTTGTGCTTTGGTTTTTGTTTGAAACATCATCATGGTCATGTGGTACTTTTTTTTAATTTTATTATGATATTTGAAGGTACCTTAATTGACTTCTTTGGTGAAAAGGTACGTGTAATTGCACTTGTGTCTAGAAAGATATTTGTGTATTTTTGCTAACATGTAATTGCTAGATATTTGTGGTTTTTGTTTTCATGTTATTGGCTAGATTTACTGGAAACAGTGTATCAAGTTTGAGGTGGTCTTAGTCTCCCAGACAACAGATCATGGTCATAGATTGCAGCCGGCAAATTGTTAATGGGAATATTTGAATTTGAAGGCACCTTTATTGACTTTCATGCCCATTGACGGCTGCAAACGGAAAATCAAACAAGTTGACCTTGCAATCAAGAAATGAAGAGTAGTAATGTCCATTCAATCTAGTTGTATTAGAGTTGTGTCAAAGTTCAAATCTGCAGATAGGATTTTGATACTTGTTTAGCACTTTACTTGCGGAAAGATAAATTCAAAATATCCAAGCTACGAAGATATAGACAAACATCACATTATGTAGAGACCATCGCACTGCTTTGTTTGTAATTCTTTCATATGTAACAGTTCTAAATTTTCAGCTCATCGCACGAAGAAAGTCTCTGAACAAAATTTTCTTAGTCAATCGCCCGACTGGTATGCGGCTATCTGCACTCGAGGATTACCTGCTAGAGAAATGTAATGTTTAAAGATAAAATCGATGAAGATGTTCTCTTTCGGGAGCCCGATTTACTGTAAACTAATTGTTGAAAATAATATATTCAAAGTATAGACGTCTAGATCCTTCAACGCCCTCAAAAAGACTTCAGATCGTATTTGATTCTTTAAAACATGTTATAAACTGTTTCATTCTTTAAAATAATTGTTGGAAAACTCTTTATTCCGGTTTGAAATGGTAACCATTTCAATGTTTTGAAGTTCAACATATTTTGTTTTATTTCTGCTGCAAATGCAAAGAGAGAGACCTGTTAAAACGAAGGCTAACCCTTTACCCTAATGTCAGGAAAAGCAACACACCAAATTAAATAAAGAGAAATTTTAATTTACATCATGAAGAATTTTGTATGTACGAAAAAAAAATTGCTACAAACAGAATAACAGATTCTTTCTGAATTGGCTTCCAGAGGGATTTGGACTTATATGCGGGTCCATATATAGAATATGGTCTAAAGCAAAATCCACTTCTTCAAAATTGGCCATTCAGATCAGATAAGTTATCTACCAAGTAAAATAGTGGAACTAAAGAAAGACCATCTCTTACACATGTGATCACTGTACAGGGAACAATACCATATTTGAGAGGAGCTTAGCTCCTTCTGTGTGTTTGTGTGTGTGTTTTACGAGGTTAACGGGTTCCAGGGATTCAGCTCCATGAAGACCATGAAAAAATATGTTTACTTCCATAGCTTATCCACCTCAACGCCAAGAAGCAAATGTTGGATTTTCTGTCCCTTGCTTCCCAGGTCTAATCTTGTCAAGTCGTGCTCGCCGAGCATGTTCTTGGATCTGTCGGTCATGTTCTTTAAGCATATTATCAACATTGTTCGACGAAACAAGTAATGGACCAGACACATAAATTTTGTTTCCCTTCGGCCCACGACCATGCTGAAAAGAATTTTGAAGAATAATTTAGGTTCAGCTAACAAAAACTGAGAATAATTATTTGTGATATGAAATTAGAAAATTTTATTAAGAAAAACGAAACTAACCATATTTGGTTCTTTAATGCAGGCTTTCTCATCTTCCATCTGACGAGACCTAGCAATTCTCTGGGAATAACGCATCCGCTCCTGATTTTTTGTGGATTCCTCCACATCAAATGACCCAGGAACCCCGCCAACTCGTTTTGTTGTTTCTGGCCCTGACAGACCAGGTTTCTCTTGTTGGTCTTCAGACAACGCAGTCCTAGCCAATACTAAACCAGACAATTTTGACAAGTTGGCTCTATTTGAACTCATAAGAGAATCATTACATTCCTTCCCAGACTTGGGCCATCCGGGCCCATGGACTAGTGGTCCCGAAACTGAAGTCCTCTTATTGTGGTACTCCGATAAATCTTTTCTAGCATCTTTATCTGTTCGCAAATGTTTAGTTGGATCAACCAGAAAACCAGAAACAGCTTCCTCCCTGTGAGGGTTGAACATTTCACTTCGCATCTTTTGGTTAGAATGGCCTTGTCTTCTCTGTAGTTAGAGAGCAAATGATGTCAGAAAGAACTAAAATGTATGTAAACAGAGAATAGAGACCTTTGTTATCAAAATAAAGACCAGAGAAATTAAAGTTATTTAAAAATATTGGAAGAGAAAACCTCCATGGCACTGAACATAGACTAGAGAAACATGAACCAAAAAATTAATTTTTCCTAAAGCATGTCTTGACAAGTTTTATGTAAATGTACATCCAAGCAATTCTGTAAGAACCTTCCGTTAATATGAATACACATTATCGGAATAACAGTTCATAAATTCCTCCACCTGCAAACATATAAAGCTACTTGATTTTTAAGTGTATCTAGACACTCAGTACAAATGGCAATCTAGGCCAGTAGCCCTCTAATGTGATTTACTTAAATACAAGCCTCAGATCCCTAGTTATTTCTGCTAACATCAGATATGAATTTCAAATGTTGTAAATTTAAAGATCCACAACCCTGAAACAATTGTAAGTTGTAAGTGAAGGATTCACTGCTTGGAAAAATACAAAAGACAAGAAGCCCAAAATAGAGATGATTAAGCCATCAACACATTCACCAAGTCTTTAAGTACAAAATGTAGAAAAATAAGAAGTCCAAGAGTTCAGAAAGGAAGGGGCCATGTTCTATTGGCAGTCACCACAAAACTTGGCCTAGCATGGCACAAAAATTAAGAACTCATTTGGTAACAATTCTGTATTTGGTTTTAATTTTTTATCAAAGATGTAGTAAACAGAGAGAATGGTAAGAAGGATAATAGATGTGAAGGAGGGAGGACAAAATATATATGAAATGATTCATAAAACGAAAAACAAAAACAATTCTGAATCAGCTTTTCTTAGGTTTTAGTTTTAAGGATTTTCCTTCGTTGGTTCATCACATCACATGTCTCCTAACCTATCTGATCTCCCTTTCTCCTCTTCCCATATATTTTCCCTCAACCAAAAGATAAAACTAAAAATCAAACACACAAACACTATCGAACGGGCCCTAAGTTATCTGACTCATGCGCAAAGTAAAAATACTCAAAACAAAAGTCAAGCCAACCAGCACTGTTGCAAACTGCCATAATTTTTCATCTGAGCGGCTTGAATCAGTAGACAGATAATCTTAGACGGCAGAGTTAAAAGTTCCAATCCGACGCTCAAAATTCCAAAATAAGTTCAAACATCATTTTACATACAAAATTACGATTTCAATTTTCACCAGAACTTACAAAAAAATCTTTTGGTCTTTGGTAATTCACTTCAATGTCAAACAAGATCAGACTTTAAACCAAATTGAAACACCAAGATTCAAAACTTATTTGAAGTTACCTGGACTGACGCAATTAACTCAGCATTAGCATTTGCTCCTGTAACTGCTGGAGGTTGTGGTCTCCAGCCCAGGTCTACCTTCTGACCCCTTCCTCCAATTGCTCCTTTCCTAAGAAGTGCACAAACAAAGATTAACCTTTGCATCATCTTTGTCTAAAAGAGTATTAAGAATAAGATGTACCTTCTAGCTTCTTCCTCTCGCAATTTGGCATCAATCTCTTTGCTGGGAGGGTACTTGGGTAAACTTGAAGGATCACAGGGAAGAGGCTTTGTGGTGAAGAACTGTAGAAACAAAAATATATTAAAACAATTTCGAGGAAGAGGCTTTTTGTAACTACCAACTAGGAATAAAATGAAAATTAAAACAAAAACATATATACATATATATATATATATATATATAAATTTCCTAAATTTCCAGGGTGAAAAATATGAATTTAAGAATGCCTGCAAACATTTAGGAATCTCATATATCAGCATTTCGTATTACTTTTGTTGCAGTTTTTACAAAATAAATCCTGCACACCTCACTCTCAAGAGCAATAGCAGCAGTTCCTCGATCAGTAGGATCAACAGAAAGTAAAATTTCCATAAGATGCACAGCAGCAGCAGGAAGGTCCTTAAAAGTCTCTGCCAAGCATCTTCTATAAGGCTGTGGAGGCTTGATCACTGTTGAATTTCGTAAGTGCAATTTACGCCAATACTCCTCAGATGGCGAACCACAGAGCTTGAAAATTTTATGCAATTGTTCAACCTACAACAAGAAAATACAAAATTAATAGACACCATCTGAATATCATACTATTATGATACATTTAATGAAAGACGTAACCAAGGATTAAAATATCGGCCATGCAGATAATATTGGGCCTCCAATTTACAGATATTTCGGGGGATATATCGTTATCGTTTTAGGTATCGTGAAAAAATCAACAAAAATAACAGATATAGGCATTGAAACGCATAATTTTGGTGTAAAACTTTCATAAATGTTATGTACATTATCAATGAATGTATTGAACAAATAAAACTCAAAATTTACTAATAATAAGATATACATATGATGAAATATAAGTTGTATGTAACGCGCGTAAATGAAAAGTTTGAAAATAAAATGTTAATTAAAATGAATAAACCATGCATAAATTCATAGTTTGTTTAAACATTGGATTACAATTTAGATAAGTCTCCATCTACATAAATGACAAGCTCCTATGAGGTTCAAACAATGAGGAACAACCATCTAGATTCATACAATAGTCATACCAAGTCATGTAACCCGAGCAGTTTGTAAGCCATGTTTGAACATGGTGTACATAGGTCTATCTTGAGCTCCCTATTGCCTTCCCATATATGGGATAGTTAGGATTAACCAACTAGTAGGTCCATAATCTTTTTTTATCATCTTGAGCTCCATAACTAGTTCCATTATAATCAGACATGACATAACCATAGTCATCATAAGATTCATTTGAGTTAGTACTAGGTCTAGTTCATATGCTCATAGATCCAAAACTGATTGCCATGTCCTCTTCATATGGATTGGAGGTATGTGGGCAGTGAACTATGCATAGATTCTTCATATTAATAAATTATAGGGTTATGGGCAAGGATTAGTTATTTTTGGGTTTTAATTTGCTTCAATTGCCTTCAAAACTTTTGAATTTTTTTTGGGTTCTGTTATGAGTATCGGAAAATATCAGGGATATCGGCAAAATATCGGGGATATCTGCAAAATATCGGAGATATCGCACTTATCGGGGATATATCGTCGATATAGGGGAAGATATGGCCTTACCCCCCAATATCGGTGTCGACAGTTGAAAATACATATATATCAGTGTATCGGCCGATATTTCAATCCTTGGACGTAACCAAAATATTTCTTTACGTATGTGTTTATGTGTATCTCAGAAGACACAAGAAGAAGAAGAGGAAGTTCACTTTAATGTGAAACAGACAGTGAGGAGAAATGTAACTGGAAGAACAGGAATTGTTGCCTATGCCTCACACTAACCCATGGAACATGTCAAACACATGCCACAGACATAAGCTTGCTACCCAAATAAACAGTAGATATACATCCCTGAGAAACATCAAGACCCATAAAATCAACTTAAAGTTTCTGGTGTAGTTAATTCAGGGGTAGGGTGGGGGGATATGAGCATATATGGTCCAATCTGAAACTTCCTGAAATAAGTTGTCATCATATCATAACAATGATTAGTTTCGTACGATCAAAGAATTGGGCACAATTAGTCATATACTCAATATCATCTGCAATTTTGAAATAGAAATCAAGAACTCGAAGAGATCTTTCAGTTCTATTCTCATTTTGTAATGATTTAATCTGTAATAATTTTATAAGAACATGAAAGTAGTCAAATAATAATTCGATGTGGCCCATAAGGGCATGAAGAATGCATGGACTTCAGAGGGTAAAATTCTTAAATATCTTACCTCTGTTTTTCCTGGCAGGATAGGCTTTCCAGAATACAATTCTCCTAGTATGCAACCCGTACTCCATAAATCCACTGCAACCCCATATTTAGAGGCTCCAAGTAAAAGTTCTGGAGGTCGATACCAAAGAGTCACCACACGGCTTGTCAATGGAACACTGTGATGAGGATCATAAAAGCTTGCCAAGCCAAAGTCCGCAATTTTCAAGATGCCACTATTGTCAATTAGAAGATTTGACCCCTTTATGTCACGATGCAAAACACCATGACTATGACAGTGATCAAGTCCACTTAGAAGTTGCTTCATGTAACATTTGACCTAAAATGAAAAAAATTTAAAAAAAAACCCTAGAATTAGATATCAAGTAACAGGCTAAGTAAACCTTAAATTAATTTCTGTGATAATCAATTATACAGGGGCCTCTTTTCCATTCTGTGTTAATAGGCTATTATATTTGCACATATATATGGTAGAGGGTGCATTAAGAATGCTCTATCCGCATTTCTCCTTTAAAAGACAGTACCACAAAGATAAGAACTGTAAGAGAACTGTAAAAGCAATAGACTACCTGAGGTTCAGAGAACTTAATGCTTGGGCTTGATCCAAGTCCTGTAAGATCATGTTCCATGTATTCAAAAACAAGGTACAAGCTGCTAGATGTCCGTGCTGTGATCAATCCTTGCAACTTTATTATATTAGGATGATCAAGCCTACGCAAGAAAAGGATCTCTCTTGCCATAAACTTGACACTCTCAGGATCAAGATTATCAAATCTGACTTTTTTTAAAGCAACAAATGTATTGTTCAAGACATCACGAGCCTTGTAAACACTACTATAAGTTCCTTGGCCGATCTGAAGGAAGGAGATGCCACAACATGCACACAAAAAAAGGCAGGAACTGATAAATACCAACACGAACAAGAGTAATTAATCAAACAATCGAAGTAACTAGCAAAGAATAATCATATCATTTAGAAGACAGACCAATTTTTTTCCAGTTCTTGTAAGTTTATTCCCCACACAATGCAATATTATAAGATACATCTCGTAACAAGTAAAGAATCAGACATACTTTATTTAACTTCTCGAAAGTATCAGCACGCCGTGGTATCCATCCGTTGATGGCTTCACCGGCAGCTGCAGAGAGCCAAGCTGGCCATCCTGCAGCAACTTGCTCAGCCACTGTAGCATTCACAATTCTTCTTGAACCCGGATGATCCAGAACAGCAACATCAGACTTCTCTACCTTCTTACTCTTATTCTGATCATACAATCGCATTGAACCACTGACTTTCTTATCCATCAACATAACTCTCACATCACTACCACCACCCAATTTATCTTTAGTCCAAACCGCCTCCTTTCTTTTTGAAGAATTCAATCGCGAAGCCTTCCTCTCCGAGCCTTGCTTACTCAAACTTGAAGATGATCTCTTTGGTGGGCTTTCCCGGCTATCTTCAACGGCCGAAGGCTTGGAACATATTAAACCCATTTTGCTATATAAACAAAAATACACACCCCCACAAAACCCTCCTTGACAAGCAAAATCTACCACTCGAAAACAATCCAAACCTTCACAAAACCTCCTTCTTTACCCAACTCCATTAGAAAGAATCTAAGGGATAATGAACTATGCTTAACCTTTCCAAAACCTCATCCTTCACATGACAAACATTTGACTCAACTTCACACCTCCAATAAACTTCTATTATTTGAAAACTTCAAATTTACCCAATACCCAAATTGCCAAATTCAACAGGACCCTTAAAGATACGAACTTGCAAAAGAATCTCGATTTATTTTTATAAAAAATAAAAAATAAAAAAAAAGTGAGCAAACCCAGAAAATTATAGGCTCTGCTTAGTGCTATGGATTACAACTACACTAAGTGTATGTATGAAAATTTTGGAATAAATGAGACGAATAAATACATAATACCTTGTACAGTGAAATCCCAGAGAAGCGATTGAGAAATCGATTGACAAAGGCTTGAATTACCTAGAAGGAGACTGGCTTTGTGTGGTTCTGGGTTGATTGTTCAACGCGTATTCAGAAGTTAAATATTAATAATTAAAATTTTAAATAATAGGGGACGGCAATTGCCGGCTATTTTCTCAGTCAACAAAACACACACATACACACACAACACAAACACACTCCTCTTCTCTCTCTCTCTCTCATTGAAAAACAGTTGAAGTCGGTTGCGTTCAAGATGCTTAATGGGGGTTGTTTGGCACTTGAATGTTTACATCAACGCGTCTTTATTGAAACCCGTCCATCCCCGCTTCTTAACGAATAGCGACCTTCAATAATAAATAAGTAAATAAATGAAAGATCATAGTTTCTTTCTTTCCTTCTCTTTACCCTGCGATATTTTCATTGGGGTGACTTTTATATGTTTCCGATTTTGGCTCCTTTTTTTTCAAATTTGGTCTCTATTTCTTTCAAATTTGCTATTTTCAATCTTAAGACAATTCAAAATCTGTCAACTTCATTCTCATAAATAAATAAATAATCCTGTCAATTAATTAGATGTGATTTTGGAAACAACAACTCGTTTGTTTTTCAGAAAAATACTTTCTAGAAATTGCAAAGCCATCTTATAGAGAAATCAAGCTATAAAGAATTTGTTCAGTTTTTTTCTTTCTTTCTGAAGATCAGTCTAAACCCATATTGACCATTTTTGGTAATTCTCGAGTGAATTTTATGAAACAAGTTTTTACTTGTGAATCTATATATATAAAGCAAAAGGTGGAGAATAGTGAAACATTCAAAATATCAGAAAAATTCCTTGGTTAATGTAAACATTAAGAATTGAAATTATTAATTAAATGAGGATAATATGGTAAATTCACACTTTTTCATCTTAAAAAAAATTAAAATTAAAAGAAAAATTAGATAATGTATCCTATTTTTATGGAACACAAATACTCATTATCTTTTTTTAATTTTAAGTATCCTATTTTTATGGAACACAACTACCCATTATCTTTTTTTAATTTTAAAATAATTTTAAATTTTTTTAAATAAAAAAAAGCCTCAAGAGGCTAGGTAGAACAATTCGAGACAAAAAATATTCATGTTAGGTGCGGTTGGTGACCCCCATCTTTGAAAACTTATATCTCTCATTATAGCTCATGGTTATGTGCAACCTATTCTCTATTATTATAAAGCCAGACCATAATCTGTGGTGTCACGAGTATGCTTCACCAAAAAACATTATGACAAAAATGTCCACAAACCAAAAATAGTGAGACATCCAATAGTCTACAAAAGGTTATTTTTGTATATTTTTAACCCAAAAAATATATATATATTTTGCCTCTGACAAAGTCACTTTCAAGGTACAAAAAATTTCGAGAAAAAAATCAGGGTTAACCTATGAGAGTAGATTGCATACATTTATTGAGGTTGATTTTGTCATTTACATACATTTTTTTATTTACGAAATCATTAATTTTTAGATCAACAATCAACGAAAAGAGTTTTTGTGAAAATAATTTGAAATATCAAAGGGTTCTCGTGTTAGTTTTAGAACCTCAAAAAGTTTTGCAAAAATACCAAAAATCTCATGACGTGTTAATGTAAATAACTCTTATAAACACTAATACTATACATGGAATTTTCTCATTTTCCAATTATCACCAAGATTTCACCATAAAAAGAAAAGCATTAATTATCACCAAGTTTTTGTCTGCTAGCTTGGTTGAATATAATTGGTCATTTAACTTATTGGGACATTTTGAAAAGGAGAACCAACCAAAAGCATACACATGAGTCGTATTCTTGACTTAAGTTAACAAATTTATTGGTTAGGAAATCGAAAGAAAGAAAGAAAAAAGGAGCAATATGAACTCAACTCACACTACTTTCGACTTTGATAATACAGCCAAAAGAAAATCTTTGTCAAAAATAATTTTCTAGAAGAAAAAGAAAATGAATATTTGGGGGTTTTATTTGTCTTTTTCTTATAGGCAAGTTTTATTGCAAGCCTTTGTTGATGTCCGAAATTGGATTCAATTTAGATAGAAGAAGTGTGGAGTCATCAACATGACTAGGGGGTTGTGGACCTTCGGAAAGGGAGATCTTCGGTCACAAGGTCATCCTGCAAAAGAAGGATGGAAGAAGCAATCGTCAAGCTTCCGGGTACCAGTGTGGTACCTGATGAAAGCTTTTCAATGCTTAAGTTAGCAAGTGTGGGGTACACAGTAATTTTAACAGAGTAATAGTAAAGGTGAAAAGTAGTTATCTTTTTACTTGAGCACTATTCATTTTTTATAAATAAATGAAAGTTAAGGTTTACACAAAGTTTCGATGTGGGACTTTGTGCAAATCACGGTGGTGGCGACATGTGTCTAAGGCTTAGGTTCTATAATTGAGAGATTCGACAAACAATTGCCACATCAAAGGAAGGTGTCTTCGGTAGTTTAGATCATGATGATGTCATCAGTGTTCAGGGATTCCCAGAAGTGTCTTGCCTTTGGCAAGCTATAGGTATGCATGCGCGGTGGTCTCCAATGTAGAATGTGCTCGGTTGATTATGGTATAAACAGTAGTCCCCCAAGTTGCCTATCAAGAAGTAGCTTATGGGTTGGGAACTTGTAAAATATAGAATAATCAGATCGAGTGTTTCGGCATGGGGGATGCCATAAGCAGTCCCTCAGTCCCCCAAGTTTGCAAGCTAGGAGTCGTTTCGGCAAGGACATAACTCAGTTAAGTCATAAATTGGACATTGGGCAAGTAGGCAAACGATCGACATAGGTTGCATGAGAGACTTCCCCTCACACAATCGGCACAGAGCCTATTGATTGGTAAGGGGTTCCGCTAGTCGCCCAAGGGAATCCCCCCCTTTCGCCCCCCACACGATTGACAGGCCTTGTGCCAATCGTGTAGGGGGTTGCCCGAGTCATGCAATAGACTTCCCCCACACGATCGACACAATCGATCAATAAGGGTTAAGCTAGTTGTGCCAACAGACTTCCCCCTACACGATCGGCATGGAGCCTACCGATATGTTGGGGATTGCTCGAGTCACACAAGAGACTTCCCCTTACATGATCGACATGGAGCCTGCTGATCGATAGGGGTTTACGAGAGTCGCACAAGAGACTACCCCCCACACGATCGACAAAGTAACACTGGCGAACCACATGGTGAGCAGCTGGGTTTGATGACTCCTTGTTCAAGAAGTCCTTGAATTTGCTTCTTGATCTCGTCAGATTCCGTCACAGAAGTACGATACAAACCCAAGTTTGGTAGAGGTGAATCTCCTACCAACTGGATCTCATGCTCCACAGCTCTCCGTGGTGGCAAACCCTGCACATCATGAAATAAGTCCTTGAACTTCTCCTGTAATTTCCCTATGTCTGAGCATTGTGCAGGAGATAAAGACAATGTAGACAATGTCACAGCTCTAGAACTCTGATCTTGCGGTCGAATCATCAACAAAACGAATCGCCCACATGAATTGACTAACCTCTTGGCTTGGTTAGCTGTCAGCAAATTATCTGTAAGCAAATTATTTGTAGCTTGAGGCTTGCAAGCGTTGATGTGGAACTCCTTCCCATCCTTCACAAGTCGATACTTGCGAAGCCTTCGATAATGGATGGCATCTCGGTCCCATAAATATGGACTACCTAATATGACTTGGCAAACATCCAAAGGAACCACCTCACATGTCACCTCATCGATATATCGATTGGTGATAGCAAATTTGAAGGTACATTGCTTCGTGATCTGTAAGTCAACATCCTTCTGAATCCATCCTAACGGGTACGGCTTAGGATGTGGTGTGGTGTTTAAACCCACTGTTCTTACTAAAGCCTCTGAAATCAGGTTTTTCTGACTTCCAGGGTCAATAATAGCTTGTACAACACTTTGCTTCACCTGGATATTCACATGAAACAGCTCTTCACGGTTGTACGTGTCTTCAGTATCTGCTGGTCTTGTCATAAGGGTAAGTGTAACATCAGGTTGCTTCAACTCTGGAAGCTCTTCTGCCCGTTGTGCAGTTAAGGTGGCTTTTCTGTCATTTCTCCCCTGGTTGTTTTTCTCGCGCTTTGGCCGTAACTCTGGATGGAGTATCCAGCACTTGTCTTTGGCATGTCTGCTGGTTTGACAGTGATCACAGTAGACATTCTGTGTCTGACCTTCCTTGCTCTGCTTCCCCTTTTTCTGCCAGTCAGTTTTGTTGACAGGTTTTGATCTGTCATCCTTCTTGTCAGTTCTTTTATTTTTTTGCCTCAATGGCTATGGCCTTCACAGTAGCATCTTCAATAGTATCTACGGTGAACAATTTTAGTTCTTTCCGTATGTAGTCGGCAAGACCTCCGGTATACTTCATGAAAACGTCGTAGTCGTCAACGTCAATGTCCAGAACCATAGCTTGGTTGTGGAACTCTGTTGTATACTCTTGTACAGGCTGCCCAAATCTTTGTCTGAAGTGTTGCCACTTATACCATCTTTCATCTTCATAGCCAACTGGATAAAATTGTTTTCTCAAAAGCTTCTTGAAGTTCTTCCAAGTCAATTCTGAGACATCATACCGTCTCTGATAGGACTTCCACCATGTAAGGGCATGGCTTGAAAGTTTCAAACTCGCATATTTTATTTTTTGCACATTAGAATACTTATAAACTGTGAAATAAGTTTCTAATGTGTCTATCCAGTTATCTAGCTTTTCAGGATCAATATCTCCTTTATAAATAGGGATGTCAACCTTAAAATCAATCTTTAAGGTATCAATAGAATTTTTATTGTCACCTGATTCAGCTTCCTTTTTCGTTGGATCAGCTTGTATGTCGTCTTCATCTTCGCTATCCTCAACAACCTTTTTCTTGAGCTTTTGATCAGGCTCAGATGAAGTTGATGGACGTGAAGATTTTCCAGTCTTCAAACTCTCCACGAGTTTAAGGATTGATGCAGACAAGTTTTCAACTTGTTGCTCAAGTTTAGTGATGCGATCGCCATCACTAGATGTATCCTGTTTGTTTTCTCCAGTCATATTGTCTCTCTTGGACCTTGGCTTTCGGTGTACGAGCAAAGGACCTAAAAGTTCTTCTCCAGAAGCTTTGCGTTGGTTGCGAGTTGAGACCATAAACCACCGTCACCCTCTCGGATCTGGTGCTCTGATACCACTTGATCCAAAACTTCTAGTCGATAGAACTATGAATTCCTAGTTTATAGGAATAAGGGAACGAGAGGAATTTTAAGACAATTTAGAGAAACAAAAGGAAGAAGCTAAGGAACTGCTTTGAGTTCTGCCTGTTTTAATTCATTCAACTACAATGGTTTATATACAAGCCTGAATGCCTAGAATAGAAAACTAAAAATAATAAATGAATTTAAACCACAAATGTTAAATGGTTTAAATTCTTTAGGTAATTCAAACCATTAATTTTAAATGGTTCAGAACCATTTCTTCTTAAACCATTCGAGTCGAATGGTTGATAAATTATTTAATTTAAATTATATTTATTATTTAATTATCTTGAAAAGATCCACCTGGATCACAAAAATAGTGAGAAATGAAAGCTTACCTTTTGCGTGCAATGAAAGCTTTCTCTCGGATTTTGGTGTTTAAGTTTAGAGGCGACGACGAAGACAAGAGGAAGACGATGAGATACTCTGACAGTGCTCTGACAAGGAAAAAAGACGAAAAGTTTTCTCTGGGAGATTGAAATTTTTTCTCGGGTTTGGAAACAGTGCATGTGTAAGTCAGGTAGACGAAAAGTTGTATATGTATACAAACCGTTTCAGAGTAATAAGACGGCGGTTTACATAGAACGACGACGTATTAATAGACAAACTACGACGTTAATTTCAACTTATGACGTGGTACATAAATACGACAGTAGTGTTGTAGGTACCGCCGTAGTAAACTCCTAAATAAAAGTCGATAACTCAATATCTCGCGTCATGGTAGAAATATTTAACACGACGGTTGTTTTAAATTTACGACGTTTATTTTTATAATATACGTCGTTTTATTGTAATATACCGACGTGGATAACACTAAACTAAAACGACGTATTATTTTTTTCACGACGTGGATTCGTTTTTAAACGTCGTTATGTGTAATATAACCGACGTGGATTTTATTTTTTTATTATAAATATAATTTTTTTCCCCTTTTTCTTATAGTTTATTTTTCAAAAACAGTGCCTTATAGATATAGTTTTTTTTCCCGAGGAAATTAATGTTCTAGAATTTGTAAAGTTTCTTTTCTAGGTGACTGATTTAAATCAAATAAAAATATAAAACAACGACTGTTTTTGTTATACCGTCGTTGTTTCTTGTCGTCTTAAGTAAGAATAAAACGACGTAATGTATTTGTTACCGACGAGGATTATTTTTGTTAAACGTCGTTATGTGTAATATAACCGACGTGGATTTGGTTTTTTAATTATAAATAGGGTTTTTTTTCCACGGGTTCTTTCAGTTTTAGTATTCGATTAGGGTTTCAACTTCTTCTTGCCCCTTTCTCTGTCTCACCTCCTCTCTTGGGAGGCAATTGTTTGAATGTTGGTTATCTGTGGCTGATTGCAAATCACCAATTTTCAATAAATTGTCTCTCTGATTGCAAATCTGTGGCTGCCGTCGTGAAGTTTTAGGAGGCAATTGTTTGGATGTGAATGTGTGTGTGCGTTTGTGTAGATACACAAACGCACACACATCATTCACTTCCAAAAAATTGTCTCTCTGATTGCAAATCTGTGGCTGCCGTCGTGAAATTTTAGGAGGCAATTGTTTGGATGTTGATGTGTGCGTGCGTTTGTGTAGATACACAAACGCACACATATCATCAACTTCCAAAAAATTGTCTCTCTGATTGCAAATCTGAGGCTGCCGTCGTCAAATTTCAGAAGCAATTTTTTGGATGTTAATGTGTATGTGCGTTTGTGTATCTCAAAGACACAAATACACATACATCATTAACCTCTAAAATATTGTCTTTCTGGTAAGATTATGATGAGCAACAGAGTTCCATCTTGTAAGATTTCCTAACCCTTGTGATCTCAGAATAATCTGATTATGTCGGCGGTTTTCTATATAAACCGTCGTGGTTATTTCAATTCTTGTCGTTAAGTAGATCTACCGACGTAGGATAACAAAATCCAAGAAATAAATTGTTAAAAAAATTCTTATTCAGACGACGGTTTAAATATAATGTATGACGTATAAAGTGGACAAATACGACGTTAAATTCTATAATACGTCGTTATATGAAAACCCCAACTTGGTAAGATTTAAAGATGTCGTCGTAGAAATACGAGAAAGACGTCGTTATATTTACCTTTGCCGTAGTTGTACATTAATTTAATACGGCGGTATTTTGTATTTTACCGCCGTGGATTTATTTGTAATTATACGGTGCCTTATACGAAAACTTGGTCGTGTTAATTTCTGGGTAAAAACAACGGCTTTTTTTGAAACCGTCGTCTTTACTTTCTACGTCGGTCGGTTCATAACTTTCGCCGTTATTTGTTGGCTATGATTTTACCTCTTGAAAATCCTATTTCAATATGACGTCGGTTTTTTAATTAAGTACGTCGTGTTTTAGGAACAGCCATTTGAAACTCCATTTTTTAGTTGTCTAATGTGTTATTACAAGGCGGTTTTATAAAACCGTCGTCTTTTAAAAAACAACGACGGTTTTCACTTAGACCGTCGTGTTTTTCTGGTCGTCTTTTTCACTTTTTGTAGTAGTGAAAGTAGGGAAAATTGACTGTCAACATGGAGAATAATTAGGATTAACATGCTAATGGTGTGTTTGGATGAAGTAATTCTAATTTCCATGGAAATTGTAAATGACGGAATTTCCAATTACATCATTTAAAAATTTCGTCAATTGCAAATTTCAGCGTTTGGATGTCATATGCGGAATTTAAGAAATGATAGAAATTACAATTTCACTTGTTTGGATAGTCATCACATAATTATAATTTACGTTTTTTTTTTTTTTTTTATTTTTTTTTTTTTTTTTTTTTTAATATTCTTGTATCTAAAATTTGTATCTAAAAGGAATAATAATAGGCATAGTTCAACACATTATATTATTATTATATATACATATATATATATATATATAATTAGAAAGACTTGTGATGTACGAAAATGTCTAACATCACATACCTCAAGTGTTACTAATGTAAAGAATTGCAACTGTAGCTTGTCTAATTAAAAAAAGAAGCATAAATCACGTAATTAAAAAAAATGAAGCTAATCATCCCAACCAATGTTTCAACAAAATAGCAAAAATTAAAAATGTCAACTGAATATAAAATGTGTCTACGCTTTTGGTGAAATAAACATCAACACCATTCGCTTCTTTCTCTCAGTTCGAATTGTCTTTAACATGTGAAACTGTTTCTCATTTTCTATAAACCAAGAGCATGCCTTCAGTTGTTCATCTGGAATTGCAATGACTTCATTATATACTTTTATTGGATCAAGCTTTTGTGTAGTAGAATTGATAAAGTGTTCCAGTTGTACCTCTCTTTTTTGGTGGGGGAATATCATAAGGTTTTTGATTTCTTCTCTCTGGACAACTAGAGCTGGGTGAAACATCATCAACCTAACAACTCTCAAAACCTTGAGTATCACTTTCCAAATCAACAATATTATTGGGATCACTCTCAGGAGTCATAACCTCAGCAGCTTCTACACATGTTTCAGCACCCTCTCCCGTAGCTCTATCTTTGCCACATAAATCCACTATATCATCCCAGTTTGCAATCACTTTAAATTGAAAAGTTCTAGCATCTTCATGAGACTATCAAGCAAAAAATCAAAGTTAGCCATTTATTTACCACAATTTTAGTCATACAAAAAGATATAATTGCATTATATATTACCTTCACATACTCATCCCAAACATTGTCTTCATCTACATTGATCATCTTCTTTGTTGCATCCCAATTGAATCCACTCTGACTTAATATATCACTAACTATACCATAAAACCTTTTCCAAGTTTTTAACACGATTTCTTATGTTATCAGCACTTACTTCAATATCAAATTGTGCAGACAATATGGCAGCAACGGTGTTATAAGCAACTGCTTTCCAACCACCATCTCCTTTGTGACCGATCTGACGTTCTTCTCTAAGTATATCCGTTAATGAACGCTCCATTTGTATATTCCATCGAAAATAGGTTTTGTCATCTCCTTCAATGTCATTAATTTGCTTGTCTTTTCTTCTCCTCTGCTTTATTTTGTTTACTTTTTCTGTCATCTTATGTGTTTAAAATGATTATAACAACAATATTAATAAATATGATCAACATATATTTGCATCAAAAAATGAGCAACATATATAACAAAATAGACACATAAAGATGAATAATAAGAAAAAATATATATCAATAAAGAAGAGTACACATTTATTAAAACTGATAAGAAAAAACATAATTCAAATGTTTATAACTCCATACATAAATTTAACTTGAGACAGTTCCAACTCAATTAATATATAATTACTGAATATCATGAATTAGTGGCGCCTCGTGCTTGATAATTAAGAAACATCTGCATTGCTAATGTGTCACGAAAAGTAGTCCATTAATCAGTGACTTGAACACTTGAAATCCTATTTGTGTTACCCTCTACTATAGAATGATTTGATATCTCATGATCCACATAAGCTAAAAACTCCAGATCTTGATCTTGTAACATGTAGGTGTCTTTTTATTCCAGCATCCTGACTAATGAGCTTGGGCTGCCGAAAAGAGAAACAGGTGAAATTACCCCTTGTGCCTGAGTTCAAGAATCAGGCCCCAAGAATGCTTCGAAAGGGTAGTGAAGCCTTAGGAAACACCCTAGTCACCTTCACCAACAAAAATAACAACAGCTTACAGGTAGATTCTTAGCTTGGCATGAGAAGCTTGTGGCATGAGAGTAAAACCATCATGAGTTTAGCATAAACAGAGAGAGAGCTGTGAATTCTTATGAAAAATAAGGGTTTTAAGACAAGGGGGAATGGATTCTAAGAGGGTTTGTTGAAGAGGGAGAGAGATGGGGGTATGATGGGTGTGTTGAGTAGTTTCCAACAGCTTGACGAAAAATTTGTCAAGCTCTGGAACTTTTTAACAGAAGAGAAAATGGGAGGAGATGGAGGAATAGGGCACGAAATTGCAAAGTTTTGGAAGTAACAGAGGAAGCTTGCTCTTTAGATGTGGTTTGAGTGAATTTCTAGTTGCTTGACCAAGCTTGGTCGCACTCTGGATGATTATTGTTGCTGGGTAGAGGAAGCTCCATTTATAGGCACTTAGAACCCTAATTCTATCAATCCTCCATTCCCACTTTTCCTTTGCTTCTTTCCATTCACTCTTTTTTGGTGAAATTTATTTAACCAGAGCGGATGGGTCACAAGCTCTTTGGGGTTCTAAGGTTTTTTGTGAGGCTGGACCTTCCTATGGGGATAAGGCGCCACCTACTTTTCTTCTTGGTTTCTCTATTAGAGCTCGCAAAGGAAAGGAGAATGGATAGAGATTTTGCCTAATGGGTATTCCTCCTACACGTACGAATTCCCTTTGGTTTTTCTAATGGCTTACGTTGGGTTTGTCTTTGGCCATGTGTTGGAGTCTCCCAACAACCTGAGCGTACAAATATCTCCTGGTTTTCTATCGTGGTTTCATCTCAAACCATGTGCTGGAGATTTTTTGGATATTTGGGCCTTCCTAAGGTGATGGAGCCCATTAAGAGAATGGACCAATTTCCTAAAGTTATGGGCTATCTTATTAAGGTGATGGGCCAATTTTTTCTAGAGAGTATCGGGCTAATTCTTCTCTCTTTTATGTTTACCCACATATTTGGGCTCAAGAAAGGGGCTTGAGCTTGGGGGCTCCTGTTTGTGCCTAATAAATCACGGTCATGAACTAATTGAAGGGACTTCCCTTCGGCCCTGGCGCCTACCGTTTCGTCAAGCATTTCGCCCTCCTAAGAGCAAAAGAAAAGCCGCAAAGGCAGAATCCCCTCGGCCTCGCGACCGTAGTTTTGAAAGCCGAGGCCGAAGGCCGTAAAAGACACGGTCTGAAAAAGCTATGGTTGAATCGCCACGTGGCCTCAGGGCCCCAGGCACCATTTAATGAAGTAATGCCTCTGACTTTGCAGCAAAACCCACTAGTCACAAGAAACATTCAATGCACGAGGGAAGTGACTGAAGTCAGGATTTGGTGATGGGAATCAGGGTGGTTAGGCGTAGACATTCTCACAAGTAATCTTACGACTTAAGGTCAGATCACCAACCACCAGACCAGGGCATTAAATGCGTTCCCACGGCCAAGGGGGCAGAACCGACGATCAGGGCAGTGGCCGAGATTTGCAGAGATTTATGGGGGTCACACCACCATGCTTCTTAACCCCAAACCACCATGCTTCACAATCCCAAATGACGATTTGACTACCCACTTGCCCTGGTCAGGCTCCACCATGCAGGTCTTGTCAACCTCGAATGTCCCTCCAGGACTCCTATAAATACTAAGCTCAGGACCACATTCAAATGGTTCAAACACCAAAACCAAAAGCCTCCCACGGAGCAAATTATATTTTCCTATAATGCATTTTCAATACCTTTATTTGCTTTCTTAGGAGTAGTGGTAGACTGTAAGGAAAATCCATTCATCAATATATCATACGACCCATGATTTTTAAGGCGCCGGAGCACCATCTCTGTTATCGCCTCACTCACCCCATATATCATACGACCGTCGCTCTCTGAGCAATGCGCCGAAGCACCGCCTAAAACCCACCACCAACACCACCACTAAACGGCCTTGTAGCTCAGGCCGTGAACCTGACGGCCGAGATTCGTTCCTCACTCGGCCACGATCGTTTGATTAGGAGTCGAACGCAAAATAGGCGCAACATTTAAACCATCTTCTACCCGAACCTCATCATCATCTCGATGCACGGTAGACCGTGCTGGCACGCCCGCGCACAACCTTACGGCATCCAAAAGAAGGACGTCACGTGTTGACGCACATCCCCTCGGCCCGAAGCACCAGGCCGCGAGATTCGAGACAGACCAACACTTTTGGCACGCCCGGTGGGACTCGTCAAAAACTTATGGTGGAAACTAGGGCACATGCAAAACTCAAAAACAAAACAGTCGAAATGACTTCCGAGGCTCCTGAGTCCACCTCACCAATCACTGTCACCGAGACCGAACACGTGGTCAGAACCTCGGCCAGCGGTCCAATAACGACGGATCGCACGGCCAAGTCCATGGGAGAGCAAGCAGTCGTCGAAGATCTGATGGTGAAGCAGGCCTACAGGATAGAAACATCCTTTATGGCCGCAATGGACAGATTCTCCGCGGAGCTACGGACTCTTTTTCAGGAGAGGATGCCGGTGACATCGTCCGCAACGCTTCCCAGAGCCGGACAGAGAGGCCAAGAGCGCGAGAGGTTCGAGCCCTACGGTGAAAGCAGCAGCCTCGGCGTCTCTGGCCGCACCCAAGCGTCAAGTTATGGCCAGCATTCACAGCCGCTGACAAACAACTGGGGGCAATCCCAGCCAACATGGGTAAATCCCGGACCGACCTACCCGGCAGAGACGACGTACGGCCCACTCCATGCTTTGGCCATGTCACTGGGGCAAAGCAGCCCCGCACAGTCCGCGGTCCAGCAACTCGGCCCAGTCCACACTGTGGCTGTCCAGACCCATCCCGGCCCAAGAAACTCGACCGCTGCTTCGTCACAGCAATACGGTCAGAGCAATCCGACCGTTTCACCATTACACATGTTGTTATTGCCGTCAGGCTCCCATCTTCAGTACGGTTCGGCTATTCCAACTACAACCCATACGAACCTCGGGCAAACCTACGGCGCATATCTGGTACCACCCAGCTCGGTCGCAACGGCCGAACCCCGGTTCAAGTGGCCCAGCAGGTAAGGCCGTAGATCGAGGGGCAACAAGTTCCATGGCTAGTCGCGGCCTAGCAAGAGGCGCCCCCTCAGGGGCTCCGATTCGAAGACGTCCAGCGAATGATCGAGGACGGCCTGGCTCAGAGGCTCCCGAAAGCGCCAAGGTATACCAAACCATACCCGCCAGAAATTGACCGAACCCCTCTTCCCCGGAACTACCTGTTGCCAGAATTCATTCCATTCTCTGAGGATGGGCAGACCTCCTCCATCGAACACATAGGCCGCTTCACGGCCCAGTGCGGAGAGGCCGATTCGGACGCCCAGAAGCTCCGTTTATTCGTTCACTCTTTGACCGGCGCGGCCTTCTCGTGGTTCATAAACCTTCCGCCGAATTCGGTGAGGGATTGGTCTGACATGGAAAAGATATTCCACGAACATTTCTACCAGACCAATCGGGAAATAACGATCACCGAGCTGGCAAGGATGAGCCAGGCGTCAGACGAATCACCTCGCGACTACCTGCAGCGGTTCAAAACGTGTAGGAACTGGTGCCGCACGAACCTACCGGAGAAGGAATTTGTCAAGATGGCCGAAGAAGGGTTGGAATTCGAAAACTGGAAGAAATTCCAGGGGATTGAATTCCGGTACATGCACGACTTGATCAACAAGGTGGACCGATATGCATCCTTGTTGAAAGAAGAGGTGCAGAAGAGGACGGCTTCAAAAGGGACTTACTATCGGAATCTCGTTGTCAGCTATGCCGAGACACACAACCCCACAGAGGCCGAGGGCGACGAAGTTGAGATGAGCTCAGCCGAAGTCAGCATAGACAAGCCATTTGTCTGCAGAGGACTTGTCAAGGCCGACAATAACCGCACAAAGACTCCCGACGCCAAGTTCGCGACTCGAGAAACGAAGACCTACACTTTTGATTTGACCAGGGCCGAAGCTATCTTTAACCTACTGTTAACCGAGACAAAGGTCAAATTGTCTTTTGGCCATAAAATTCCGAAACCCGAAGAGCTCAAAGGAAAGACGTTCTGCAAATACCACAGTTCTTGGTCTCACAACACCAATAATTGCGTTGTTCTGCGAGACGTCATCCAAAAGTTGATAGACGAAAAGAAGCTTCAATTCCCGGAAAAGGCGGCCATGCAAGTCGACTCTAAGCCATTCCCTCCGCATGTCATCAACATGGTCAACGCTCAGCTCCGGGCCGAATATAGGGAAGTTCGTCGGCCTGCAAAAGGAAAGGAGTCGTTGGCCGAACCAGAGCCGGTACCGTGCAGTCGATGCAAGTCTGAGATCGGTCAGCTCAGACTGCCAGAAAACAAGAGGAAGGCCATCGAGCCGTCTCGACCGGCTATGAGGAAATTCGGCGGCCAGTACGACCGTCAGCCAGCGCGACCATCGGCTAGCGAGAAGAGCTGTTTTCGAACCACTAGGGGCACGAGGCCCCAGTACTTCGGCAGGCCACAAAGACGGAGTCGCTCCTAGGCCGGTGAAGACTTTCAAACCACCGGTCGTATGGGATGACTGTTGGTATCATGCTCGACCTGGGGGCAGCACCGAACCTCTGACAAAGACCCAGCTGAGAAGGATGCAGAGGCAAGTTCAGCAGGCCAGGATACAGACGGCCCAGGTCGAGGGGTTAAAACGCCAAAAGAAGATGGCGACTGCAGACGAAACACCATCCGCGCCAATCGTTCCCCCTACAGCAAAGGTCGCCAGCACCAAGCCTCCAAGGGCGTGGCGCCCTAGGCAAGACGGTGATCCTCGCGGAATGGTGGCCGTTTCGCTCGAGCTAAAGGCCGCGGCCTTGGAGGGAGCAGATGAAGGCATCATCGATGTCTACCACGGGAGGAACCCCCCTTTTTCGGCCAACGGTTTGTCCTTTCTCATGGAATTCCACAAGGACCACTCGGCCATCGACCTATACAGCATGACCCCTGAAAACCGTGAAATCGTGGAATTGGCTCTCAGAAACGCCAAGGCAGAAAGGCTCCTCATTACCAACGAATCTGACTCGGCCATTAAGGCCGTATACCAGGCGAACCGAGAGGCCAGGGCAAGAGGGGTGCCAGGTTACCAACCCGAGCAGGGAAAATTGGAGGTCAAGGCCCCCTTCGGCAGAAGCGATTTGGAATACCTCCGCCGATATTTTACTGTGACCCCAGCCGACACCATCTTCGGTTTGACGACCGAAGAAAGGGCCCGGGTAAGCCGGCTAGACGATTACTTAGCGGCCAGGGATACGTTAGCTAAGGCTAGGCAAGCCCTCGAGGAGGAAGTCGGGACCTCAGACCCCCCTAAGACCAAAGCGGCCACAGACGATACCCGTGGGACTGCAAGGCCTATGGCCGAGGGCCCCGGCGACCTTCTCTTTTGTCACGAGGCCGAGGATGACCCCCGCGTTGGGAATCTCCGATGACGACTACGATGGGATCGTCAGAATGATTGAGGGAAAAACCCTTGCCAGTGACGGCCGCGAGGTCAACAAAGAGGCTGGTAGGGGAAACCAGCGGAAGCCAAAGGAGGTCAGCATGAACATGGTTTTGGTACTACCGTCCGAGTTTTCGGCCCCAAGAGGCCAGACCAATGGCCTGGATAATGACGTGGCCGAGGAACAGCTTGATCAAAGGCCAAAGACAAAGGAAGAATTATTGGCCGTGGCTTTTAACGAGGTAATACCCAAAGACGAGCCAAACAAATACCGACACCTCAAACCGTTATACATCTCGACTCATGTGGAGGGTGTGCCCGTGTCCAAGGTCTTCGTTGACTGTGGGGCGACGGTCAACATCCTTCCCTATTCCCTGATGAAGAAGCTGGATAAGTCAAAGGAAGACCTCATCCCTAGCGATGTGGTCATGAGCAGCTTTGTCGGCGATAAATCTAAGACCATCGGGGTGTTGCCGTTAAAAATCACCGTGGCCGACCAGACGAGAGTTGCAGCCTTCTACGTGGTCGAATCCAGCATAGACTACAATATATTGCTCGGTCGTGACTGGATCCATCAGTCTGGATGCATACCGTCCTCCCTCTTCCAACTGTTGTTCTTCTGGGATGGCCAAAGGGTGTCCATACACCCGGCCGACAAAAAGCCCTTTGAAACCAACATCGTGCAAGCACGAATTTACGACGACGACGTTGGGTGGGTTGTCCTCACCGGCCACGATGAAAGCGGCCGGCCAACCAGGACAACGGCCTAGAAAGTGCTGGAGTTAGGCGCCGAGAATGTTCGACAGGATTCGGCACGCGAAGTATTGATCGACCTCACTGACCTGTAGATGACAGACAAAGCCGCTAGAGAGGAGGGAGCGGTAGCTGTGACCGACCTGCTGGAAAGACTGCTGGAACATTGGGCAGAAGAATCCTTACAGCCAAACTCGCCGATCAACCTAATCGAATTCCTCCACAAGTCGGATGAGGCAGACACTTTGGCCTTTGACGACTTGGGAACGGCGCCCGTTGAGATGGAGGATGACTACCCCGAGGTCCAGGACCCGTTATTAGAAATAAATGTGGGAACCGCCCCCGAACCATGGCCTCTTTTCGTAAGCCAGTTTTTGAGCCCTGAATTAGCCGTCGAGATTATCGGCCTGCTTCATGAATATAAGGATTATTTTGCTTGGGTTTATCATGAGATGCCTGGATTACCAAAAAGTTTGGTTGAGCACGAACTAAAAATTAGGGAGGGGTTTAGGCCTTTCCAACAGCCGCCGAGGCGATTCTCGACCGAAGTACAACTTAAGGTCAAAGAGGAAATTGAACGGCTCCTTGAAGCCGGCTTCATCCGCACGGCTCGGTACGTTGAGTGGCTGGCTAACATTGTACCGATGTTGAAAAAGACTGGGGCTTTGAGGGTCTGCACCGACTATAGAAATCTAAACCTCACGACCCCCAAGGATGAGTATCCCATGCCTGTGTCCGACCTCCTGGTGGACGGAGCCGCGAAGCGCGAGCTCTTTTCTTTCATGGACGGCCACGCTGGCTACAACCAAATCTTCATAGTCGAGGAAGATGTCCAAAGGACGGCGTTCAGATGTCCAAGCGCAATCGGGACTTATGAATGGGTAGTCATGCCATTCGGCCTGAAGAACTCCGGCGCAACGTACCAACGAGCTATGAACCTTATTTTTCACGACTTAATTGGCCGAACGGTCGAAGTCTACATCGACGACATTGTTGTAAAATCCCCATCCAAAGCCGACCATGTGGGGCATCTCCGACAAGCTTTCAATTGCATGCGGGCACACGGCCTAAAGACGAACCCTAAGAAATGTGCTTTCGGCGTCACCGCCGGGAACTTTCTCGGCTTCTTGGTCCACCAACGGGGGATCGAGGTAGATAAGAGTAAAGCCACGGCCATCATGACGGCACCCCCGCCGAGGACCAAAAAGGAACTCCAGTCTTTCCTCAGTAAGGTCAACTTTTTAAGGCGGTTCATATCCAATTTGGCGGGAAAAATCCGGCCATTGACTACTTTGCTCAAACTGAAAGACACGGAACGGTTCGTGTGGGGGGCAGAACATCAAGTGGCCCTCGACGACATCAAGCAATATTTATCTCAACCGCCAGTCCTTATGCCGCCGAAAAGAGGAAAACCCTTTAGGCTTTACATTTCGGCTTCAGAAGGCTCTATCGGTTGTCTGCTGGCCCAGAACAACGAATTTGAGCGAGAGCAAGCAGTGCATTATCTGAGCCGCACCCTCAACATGGCCGAGCTAAACTATTCACCAATCGAGAAATTTTGCTTGGCACTTTATTTCGCGGCTACCAAGTTGCGCCATTATATGCTTCCTTCGGTCGTTCAGATCATCTCCAAAACCGACCTCATCAAATACATGCTTACTCGGCCGATCATACGCGGCCGGATTGGGAAGTGGACGATGGCATTGTCCAAATTCACCTTCCAATATGTGGCCCAGAAGTCGGTCAAAGGCCAGGCATTGGCCGATTTCTTAGCCCACCACCCAGCTCAGGGGCAAGAGGGGGAGTTGGAGGTTGAGATCGGCATGACCCACATGGAGAAAAACTACTGGACCATGTACTTCGATGGCTCCAGTACCGAGACCAGGTCGGGGGCCGGGGTCGTGATCGAATCCCCCCAAGGACAAAGGTGGCAATTTGCGTTCCAGCTTGATTTCAAATGCACCAATAATTAGGCAGAATATGAAGCACACCCTGCCGACTTTGGCTGAGCGGGGAATGACCGCGCAGGTATCATCAGCTGAGATTACCAACGAGGTCGAAGCAGCCGAAACCGACTGGCGCTACCCGATAGTAAAGTATCTGCGCGAGCCCTCCGGCAACCATGAAAGGACTACTCGCTTCCAAGCTCGGTGTTATTTTATTTATCAGAACGAGCTGTACCGAAAAGGATCAGACGATTTATTGCTCCTATGCCCCAGCACCGAAGATATCAAGGTTATCATGGTCGAATCCCATAAAGGGATTTGCAGCGCTCACCAGTCCGGCGTTAAGATGAGGTGGTTGGTCTGGAGGCACGGCTATTATTGGCTGACCATTTTAAAGAACTGCATAGAATATGCAAAGGGGTGCATCAAGTGTCAAATCTACGGCCCCATACAAAGGGTACCGGCTGACGCCCTCCACCCGGTTACTAAACCTTGTCCGTTCAGAGGATGGGCCGTGGATATCATCGGCAAAATCCACCCGACTGCGTCCAACCAGCACGCCTAGGTTTTGGTAGCAACTGACTATTTCACTAAATGGGTCGAGGCGGAGTCCTATCGGTCCATGTCTAGCACACAGGGGGTCAGATTCTTCGAAAATCACATCGTCCACAGATTCGGTATACCCGAAACCATCAGGGCCGATAACGGCCCGGTATTCGCATCAGCTGAGACTCGAGAATACGCTGAAAGGATGGGGATCAAATTGGTCCACTCGACGCCCTACTACCCACAGGCTAACGGACAGGCCGAGGCAAGCAACAAGGTAATCAAGGGTATCCTCGAGAAAATGATTGAGGAAAAACCTAAGGCGTGCCACGACTTACTCCCTGAGGCCCTCTGGGCTTACCGAGTCTCGAAACGATCGGCTACTGGCACATCCCCTTATGCCTTAACCTACGGTCATGACGCCATCGTTCCGATGGAGCTAAAGGTTCGGTATCTCCATGTGACCGAACGACCTGGGCAGGAAGAGAAGGACTATGCGCAGGCCATGACTCAGGAGTTAGAAGATTTGGAACAATCCAGGCTCGACGCCTATAACCTAATGCAGACACAAAAGCAGGTCGCGGCGAGGTCCTACAACAAGAAGGTGAAGCAAAGGAGTTTAGCCGAAGGCAACTTGGTATGGCGTGCCGTACTTCCTATCAGGACTAAGGACCCTCGGTTCGGCAAATTCTCACCCAATTGGGAAGGGCCGTTTATTATCGATCGAATCCTTGGCTGAGGCGCATTTCAGTTAAGAGATAGGGATGGGAAATGGCACAACTTGCCAATAAACGACCAATATTTGAAGAAATATGCCCCGTCATTGTGGGAGACGGCCAAGAATGGGTTATGAGGTTTTGCAATCGACAAAGATAAAAGAAAAACCATACATTTGGTCAGAAGAAAAAGGGGTTATACTTCATTTAGATTAAAAGAAAGGAGGCACGGTTACAAAAAGAACGGCCGGTCATGGCCGAATGAAACATATAAGCATACATATGCAAAAAGTAGAATACATCCTAAATCTATGAACGGCCGCTTCTTAATCCCCTTGCTCGAACAGGTAGATGATTCTTCCCTAGGCGGTCCCTCCACCGCCCACGGTTCCACTGGCCGCGACCGAAGGCAGGACCGTCACTCTGGACATGGGTGAGACGGGTCGCAATCAAGGCCGTCATTCAGGACATGGCCAGGGCCGTCACTCGGGACACGGGTGCAGCCGGCTAAAATCAGGGCCGTCATTCCAACCATGGGTGCGGACGTCACTCTGGTCATGGGTGAGACCAGGTCGCGATCAAGGCCGTCGCTCTGGCCATGGCCAGGGCCGTCATTTTGGACACAACTATGGCTGGGTGAAGCCAGGGCCGTCACTCCGGTCATGGATGCAACCAAGGTGCTAGGCCAAACGGACATGGCCAAGTTGGAATCGTCATACCAGGCCCTTCCATCTTCATCGATCGCATTGCGGTCTCTCCGCGGCCTCATACGAAGGAAGGTCATTCTCCCCCAGGGCTGGGAAGGAATCTCAGCCACACCATGGCCTTGGCCCACGTCGACGTTCCAGAACGAAGGATAGTTGTTGGACAGCAGGAGGGAGAAAACCATCTGGATCAGGCCACGACGCAGGGATCCGCGAATATGGCTCAGCCTTGGTTCTGGAGAAGCTACAAGGGGGAGGCCACTGGAGCAGGTTGGATTGGAGGAGAAGAAGTGGAGAAAAATGAAGAAGGCCAGACTTTTATATTGGCGCTAGAATATGAAACGAAAGGGCATGGCTCTCTCGAGAGACGTAGCGATCTGACTGCACGTTCGCACGCGCGATGACGTGGCGGAAGCTCAGAAACCATCGTTTCATTTAACAAGATGTGCAATGATGGCCTGTGAGACGTGCTTGCGCATTTAATGCGCCGATTGACCTACGCATTTAAAGCACCAACTGTCAATCACTTCAGGGGGAATGCAAAGGGTTCATCCCTTGGAATCCTTTCGACCTCTGCCCAGGCCGCGACCGAAGAATCCAGGGATGTGGGGGCAATGTTTGTGCCTAATAAATCACGGTCATGAACTGATTGAAGGGACTTCCCTTCGGCCCTGGCGCCTACCGTTTCCTCAAGCATTTCGCCCTCCTAAGAGCAAAAGAAAAGCTACAAAGGCAGAATCCCCTCGACCTCGCGACCGCAATTTTGAAAGCCGAGGCCGAAGGTCGTAAAAGACACGGTCTGAAAAAGCTGTGGTTGAATCGCCACGTGGCCTCAGGGCCCCACGCTCCATTTAATGAAGTAATGCCTCTGACTTCGCAGCAAAACCCACTAGTCACAAGAAACATTCAATGCACAAGGGAAGTGACTGAAGTCAGGATTTGGTGATGGGAATCAAGGTGGTTAGGCGCAGACATTCTCACAAGTAATCTTACTTAGGTCATCACCACCAGACCAGGGCATTAAATGCGTTCCCACGGCCAAGGGGGCAGAACCCACGATCAGGGCGGTGGCCGAGATTTGCCGAGATTTATGGGGGTCACACCACCATGCTTCTCAACCCCAAACCACCATGCTTCACAATCCCAAATGCCGATTTGACTACCCACTTGCCCCGGTCAGGCTCCACCACGCAGGTCTTGTCAGCCTCGAATGTCCCTCCAGGACTCCTATAAATACTAAGCTCAGGACCACATTCAAAGGGTTCAAACACCAAAACCAAAAGCCTCCCACGGAGCAAATTATATTTTCCTGTAATGCACTTTCAATACCTTTATTTGCTTTCTTAGGAGTAGTGGTAGACTGTAAGGAAAATCCATTCATCAATATATCATACGACCCTTGATTTTCAAGGCGCCGGAGCACCATCTCTGTTATCGCCTCACTCACCCCATATATCATACGACCGTCGCTCTCTGAGCAACGCGCCGGAGCACCGCCTAAAACCCACCACCAACACCACCACTAAACGGCCTTGTAGCTCAGGCCGTGAACCTGACGGCCGAGATTCGTTCCTCACTCGGCCACGATCGTTTGATTAGGAGTCGAACGCAAAACAGGCGCAACATTTAAACCATCTTCTACCCGAACCTCATCATCATCTCGACACACGGTAGACCGTGCTGGCACGCCCGCGCACAACCGCACCGCATCCAAAAGAAGGACGTCACGTGTTGACGCACATCCCCTCGCCCGGAGCACCAGGCCTCGAGATTCGTGACAGACCAACAGCTCCCAAGCAGCCCAAAACTTCCATTTCTCGGCTCATCAATGGGCCTCATGAAAGCTCGTTACCATCCATACCACAACCCATTCAAGCAAGCCCGGGGCATTTTGCGTGACTTGGACCCACTTAAGCTTGTAGTGTGGCTAGGTGTAATAATAATGATTTTTTGCTTGGCATTGCATGTCGCTTGACGTGCTTGAATTTTGTCGCTTTGAAGAGGGATATGACGCTTGACGGGATAATTAGCTTGGGCTCGTAAAGCCAGTGCTTATTTCAATTCTTAGCATGATAGATTGCATATTTATTTGGCACGGCACATGGATCATGACTCATGCAAGCGTGAATGACAAACTTTCACGTGCTCCAAGTCAAGTCTTTTCTTAATAAGGCATTGCGTTGGGCCGAGAATTTATTTGGGCCCAACCCTGAATTTTTGGGCCTCAACATAACACATGGTCATTGTGTTGCTCGATTCGAATGAAGTTATGCAACACAAAGCATGCATTTATAATCCTAGTTTGTGTTTTTATGTTGAAAAATGAAGGTGTACGTAGTATATTCCATTGCTTTTTCAACAACCCAAATGACCTTTCAATTACGTTCCTTGCAATTGAATGACGCAAGTTAAATAACTCTTTGTAATTTTTAGGACTATTGTTTCCAGTCCATTCATTTAAGTGATATCTAGTTCCTCGATAAGGTGCTAAAGAACCAGGTCCATTAGCATAGCCGGCATCCACAATATAAAAAGTTTAAAAGAAAAGTTAGTTATTTATACCTAAGTTTTTTATTATTTAACAACTAGTATAAAAAATTACCACTTGGAACTTGAAACGAATTATCCATGGCCAAAGCATCTCTCAGAACACGAGAATCAGAAGCAGAACCCTCCCATCTAGATAGTACATAGATGAATTTTAGATATGGATCACAAACTCCTAAAACATTGGTGGAAATGTCGCCCTTTCTATTTCGATATCTTGGTCTATCCTCAGCAGACACTGTTACTGGAATGTGAGTTCAATCAAGTGCTCCAATACAATTCTAATGACATTGAAGAAGAAAAAACAAAAATAATTTTAAGATAAGTGGTAACATTATAACAAGAACATATTTTCCTAAAGTTATAAGATTATCTCAAACCACTTCCACTTGTCTCTTTCTGAACCACCAATATCACATGGCTGAAGTTTCAAATATTCTTGACTAATTCTCATCATTGCACGCAACACACTATTAAATTGCCGGCTAATTATTTCCTTAGAACGATAATAGTCAAAACCAATGACCCTAAACTTCAAGTTATGAGCAAGTATATTTAAAAAGGTAGCAACGGATTCTTCAATTGAAACATTTCTTGTCCGAGCCAATCCACCCTTTTCATGCAAAATAGTGCACAAACTTTGAAATGCTCTTACTAACTCGTAGTTGTTCAATACAATCAACTTCCTTCCCATTATACAAAATGATTCAAGCGATATCGCCTTTCGTCATCCCAATCACGTGAGGGCTCTTTAACCAAATAATTTTCATTATACCATGCTCCAACAATGGCAATGATACATGTAATGGTACTAAGAATAATTGTCATTTTCTTCTTATTTTCTTCTTCGTCTCTAGCACGCTTGCGGCTTAAATGGGCCAAAAAGTTATCTACATCATCACTAGCCATGTCTGTTTATATGTGTATAATTTTATTATGTAAGCAATCTACTTCACCTAAAAAAATATGACTCAACATCAACACACATAAAAAAGAGGCCAGCAAGATACCAAAAAGAAATTCTTTGCTTTGAGGAACAGCAGGTTCCAATAAATATTGGAGGATGAGTTCAGTGGCATTTGTGGAGAAAATTTAAAACTAAGGTATCACTCTTCCACACTTGTTACTATGCACAATTTAAGCTCTCAACCCATAAATACGACAGCAACAACATATGTTCAAGGAAAACAATTATTCACAGTTACCAGGATGTCCAAATCATAGTGCAGCTCCTATGATTAACACTATGCAATGAATTGTGTCCTAAACATAAGACAACTCAGAAAGGATATGCCTAATGATGCTGAAACAGGTCTCAAGAAGAGGAATGCTGCACTACAATATGTTCCTTTCACTTCTCATCATGAAACTATCAATCCCAATTACTAGTATATAGTCCACAATCAAGTTAACTTAACTTATAGGCATTAAGGAACAAAATGAAATATTAGATTATGAAAATTAATGACTTCATCATTACCCCCAAAAAAAAATCTTTAAAGCATATACAGGTATTTTCTGAACCTGTTATACATGTAAAATCTCTTGCTTTAACATTTTTGAACTGTCAAGCTTATAATTATGTTTAAGTTCACTTCTCATTCAAGAGTTTGAAATCTCCTTCTTTTTTTTTGGTCTAAAATTCATGTTGTATTAAAAAAAACCCAAAACAGGGAATAGAGATACAAACAGAATGCTAATGCCACGAGGAGCCAACATAACACAAGAACAAATAACAAAAGCAAGGACAGACATAGCTAGATTCCAACGGAGCCTAGAACAACAGTCCTTACCCAGCAAACTAGCTACTAATAGGAAATTAAAACTAAACAGCAGATGCAAACTCTTGAAAGCAGTTTGAAATCTCCTTCAAGTTCTAATTTTTAGCATATAACCTAGAGAGTTTTTTCCTTAGTTTTTCTCCCTTGGGTTTCTGCTTTAGACTGATTTTCCATAGGTAGACCTCTATATTGTTCCTGGTCCTACCTAGAGACCAACCTTAATTTCATCAACTTGTTATGAATATGATCATTCGATCCGTCTTTTTCATTGGCTTTGTAAAAGGAGCATATATCAATATTTCTAGAACGTGATAGCAACTGCTTTCCATTCCAACTAATCAACAATATGATCAATACAAACACAAATATAACACAAAGCACAACCAAGCACATAGCAGGGGCAAGCACAAGGAGAAGAACAAAGAATTATTATCTTGTAAATAAAATTCAATTAACCGAAAAAGGAAAAATAGATAAAATATGCAAAACCCATGTCTTGTTTTTGACAATGATCAAGAAACGGATTCAGTTCAAGGAAGAATCAGAGAAAAAGCAAATAGGAATTCAAACTAAAGAAATTTTGAATATGGACATCGATTCAGAGAAAAAGAGAAAGAGAAGCCTGAAGAAAACACTTGTGAGAGAGAGAGAGAGAGAGAGAGAGAGAGAGAGAGAGGACTTACCGAAAAGTCAGAGGCACTTGAGGAAGAAAGGCGTTTGGTGAATGGAGGTGAGAAAGTTTGACCTTGCATATGTATATGTCTCTACACTCTGTCTTTCTTACCTTGATTGGAAGAGCAAATATTCTTGTTAGATTGAAAGACAAAGAGGAGAAATAAAATAAAAGCAAAACCTTGGTTCCACAGATGAAAATAATCAATATAGCAGACAAAAAAGAGGGCAACGACAAGGAAAGAAATTGAAAACTGAAACTCACCAGAAAACTTAGCAGAACACCATCAAGAGAATACCTATGGCGCGCAAGCTTGTTCTCTTTGAAGAAGATAGGTTATTCCTGAAATTTTGGCAGGCAGAAGATGAAAATTTTGGCCAGCAGAAGATAGGTTATCGCGGGCAAAAGATGAAAATTCCCTCTCTGTTGGGAATTGTACAATTCCACCTATTATCATGGAATTTCAACTCGGGATTTTAGATGTGAAATTCCCACGATATTTTCTACGTGTAATTTGGCAAATCTTGAGTTGATTTTGCCAAACGTTGAACTTTCCCTTTTCCATGCTCCAAATCCCGACTTTTATTAAAATCTCGAGTTATTTTACCGCATCCAAACACATTGTAAGGGAATTAGGTAGAATTGGCTATGGTGAAATCGGAAACTCTAGTGCTCTCATAACTTGAATTTATTCATTGTTTTAGTTAATTAATCAATCGAATCTCATCATTCAATTGTTTAGATAAAGTCTTGGGGTAATGACAATCGGTACTTAGTAAATTAAATCACTCTTCGAGGGAACGACACTTCACTTATCATTATATTACTTATGCGAATTTTGCACTTGCAATAATATCACATTACTAAGGCTACAACATAAGCTTAGTCTTCACTTCCCTAGATAAAGTTGTCTTGGAGTACGCCTTCACTTCAACTTCCACACCTCCAACAAAGTGGTAGAGTATAAAGCACTCTTAGCTGGCAATTAGCTAGCCAAAGAGATGGAAGCTAAGTAGATTCAAATATTCAGCAACTTCCAGCTCGTCGTTCATCAAGTCAATCAAGTCTTCCTGGCCAAGGATACCTCCATGACAACGTATCTTCACCCATCAACTTCTGAAAACTTCCAGTGCTTATCGCATCAGCCAAATCCCACACGCCCTAAAAACAGCTATGTTGATGCCTTGGCAAAGTTGGCTTCAGCAATATATCACAGCATCGATTGCAATATCCACGTGGAACTCCTAAAGACACCTAAAGCCCAAGCGCCAGTCATTTGCACTATTGACCACAATCCCACATGGATGGATCCTATATTCCAGTTCTTACAAATCAAACATTGCCTATAGATCCTACCAAAGCACAACGTGCTCGTTATCGTTCCACTCGATACTTGATCATTAACGGCGCCTTGTACAAACACAACTTTAGCCTACCCTACCTACCCTAGAAGAAGACAACTACGTCCTTTGGGAGGTCTATGAAGGCATTTGTGGAAACCACTCCAGGGCTAAATCTCTCGCCTACAAGATTATTCAGCAGGGATATTTCTGTCCCTTTATCCACACCAATACCTAAGCCTTCACCCAGAAATGTGACAAATGTCAAAGGTTTGCCACCATTCCACAACTCCCTGCCAAACCATTGACACTGATGGTCAGCCCATGGTCATTTGCTCAATGGGAACTCAACCTCATCGAACCTATACATGAAGGAAATGGCCAGGTTAAGTATGTCATTATCGTTGTAGTCTATTTTACCAAGTTGGGCCGAAGCTGAAGCCCTCGCTACCATCACAACAGCTTGCATTGAGACATTCGTTTGACAAAACATCGTCTGTTGCTTCGGCATACCCTAAGCAATTGTCACAAACAACGGTAGGCAATTTGGTAATGCCAAATTCAAGCAATTTTGCTCCAACCTTAAGACCCACCTTTGCTTTGCCTCTCAAGCCCATCCCCAGTCCAACCACTAGGTAGAAGTTGTGAACAAAATCATTAAAAAGACTATGAAGACAAAGCTTGACAAAGCCAAGGGTTGTTGGCCAGAATTATTCCCAAACATCCTATGGTCTTACCACTCCATCTTCCGTATTTCTACAGGCGAAATGCATTTCTCCCTTTCTTTTGATAACAAAGTTGTTATTCCGGTAGAGATCGGCCAGCCCTCCTACCGAACATTCACATATAAAGCTGAAGCAATCGACGAGCAATTGGCCTTGAACTTGAACCTCATGGACTAGCTTCGTGACCGGGCCAACGTGCGCAACTTTGCCTATAAGCAGCACATTGCCAAATACTATGACTCTTGCATGATGCCTTACGCCTTCAAACTTGGAGATTGGGTGCGCAAGGTCTTGCTGGCCATAAAAAAACTCAGCCGAAGGTACCCTCAGAACAACATAGGAAGGTCCCTATGAAGTCATCAAGGTTTGCCGCTCTGGCACTTACCAGCTTCAAGGTCCCAAAGGCAAACCCCTGCCTCATCCATGGAATGCTGATCACCTTAAGTACTACCACAAATAAACGAGCCAAGATCTTTACCATCATCCCCTATTATCTTGTATTTTCCTATGCCTTCAGTATTTTTGTTTTATGCTTTACTAAGCTTCGTGTGTATGTGTGCCTTCAGCATTTAGCTAATGACAAAAACATGCCTTCTTTCCACCTACACAAGTGCCTTATCACAAAAAAAATTTGTTATGCACACAATACGCTAGGATAAAATTACTAAAATTACCTTGCCCTATGGCTATGCAAAATATTCATACCCAACATGAGTACCATCGACAATCCCTAAACCCTTTTCGTCATCTGACGGCCTTTTCCTTGCCGCCCTTTCAGCATCGCCTTTGTCAAACTTCTTGGCCCGTGCCACCTTCTCCTTCTCCCTCCTCGCTCTTAGCCACCTTTGGTTCTCGGCCTCGTCAATTTGCACCACCACTTTCGTTGTTCCCTTCACAACACTTGCCACTGCCAAATGCAAACACAATCAGTCAACTCAAACAATATAAGCACAAAAAACAAATTCATGTAGCTTCGACAACAAAAACAACAAATTCTTAAAATAAAACACACACAAGCAACAAAACCATAAAAGTTGCGACCAAAGACCTATCGACTGAAAATGGCTAGGAACATGTTTGGTCATGGTCTTTCCCAGCGCACACTCCCAGTCATCTAAGGCCAAACACCACTAATTCCTCCAAGACTTTTGTGAAGAAGTCAAACGCCCTATAAAGTAGCCTATCTCCCCTGGCTTTTGGCAATTTGCTTGCACCCAGCCAAAATTCCCTTGTTGCCTAAACACTGAATACAAATGCATGAACTACCCAAAAGTTGGCTTCCCCAACTTCGCCAACTACCATGCAATATAAACCTATGAAGAAGAATCCAAATATTGGTACTAAATTGCCTCGGTGCATATCCCAGCTTTGACAACATCATTTGTACCCACGAATGAAGCGGCAGTCACAACCCATGTTTATACATATTCGTGAAAATCAACACGCAACCATTTGCAAGATATCTCACCACATCTGTCGCAGTAGGTAGCCTCAACCCTACTAAAGGCGGAATACTATAATTGGCCCTGAGCTCTACAATCTCCTCGTCAGTCATCTTATTCTTCTTCGGTAAAGGGACACCCACTTGTACTTCCAACCCTACCGAAGCAAATGCCACAACCACATCAGCTGACCCTGATGGTCCTGCTCGATTGCTTGAGCCTACCTCAAGAGTATGAGGCAAGGCAAGAACCCGATCGACTATTGCTTCTAGTACACTGTAGTTCCTCTGCATCTCTCTATAATCCTCATCCTGAGAATCTACTCACTGCTTATCTCTCTCACCCTCACATTCCCACCATCATACTCTCTATCACACCCTCTACAACATGCTCTGATTCGGTACTCTCATCTTTGGAACCAATAGAAAGGCTACACTCATCACTTTCAGTCTCCTCCCCACCGAAGGCAGGGGAATCCTGACTTTCTTTACCAAAACTCTCGGACATCTACAAACACAAAATATAGAAAACTATGCACAAGCGAAAATCAAAAGAAAGATACCTAAAAGGGACGAGATGCCTACAAGTTTCTTACTCTATGAACGATACTCAATGTTTATACATTCATTCAAAAGGGTCATGAGCATAATCATCGAAAGCATACATTTCAATCCAAAACACAAGGGAAAAGAAGCACAAACCTTGTTTTTGCCGCCTTGCAGAAGGATCAGAAATAGCTCCACTGCAGAATTGTTGCAGGAAATCGCCTCACCAAGAACAGGCAAATCGCTCCGCCGTGCACACGCCTCGCCGAAAATCTCTCCACCGCAAGAATTTTTGCCGGAAATCGCCTCATCTCAATTCTCTAAAACTCATAAGTGTTTAGCCTTCTTTACCTCATGATACTATTTATAGAAACTCGAGGTGCTAATGCCTCGACTTACGCTTTGAAACCCTAAAAACAGTTCAAATGGCCACATCGATATTCACGATACAAGTGCGACACAGTCACCCTGCCGATCGGCAAGGCCCGTGCCGATCCTGCTTGATGATTGCTTATTCCCTATTTCTCCTACAGGATCTCTCCTTGCCAAAGATCTGCGACCCTCTTGTCCTGTTGAAAACTCCACACTTCTTCCACCTAAGTTCACACTCAATTTTGGGCATCAACAAATGTTTAAATTATCTTTTCAGCTAAAAAAACATGTGTAAATAAACATGGATTGTTAATTGAAAGCAAGCACAATTAATGTCAAAATAATCCAAAGTTTCTCATTGGAGAAATGAAAACAAAGAGAGCCTTTAACCATCTGTTGAAGGTTTTGAGGTCAACAGCCTTTTTGTAAAGATTGTAAAGTCTCATTTTCCTCTTACACATTTCTCATCGTATATATTTAACAATAAACCCTATAATTAACGAATGCCTTTCTATTTTGTTTAAGATTTCAATAAATTGAACTATTTTGACATCTATTGAATTGAACTACAATTTTACTTGTAATGGTGTAGTTCAATAGCTTCTGATAAATAGTTATACCGTTTTCCTAAAGTTAGGAACTATTAATTTAATTTGTTGAAAACCCTAAACACTCTATGAGAAAATCGTAAGGAAAAAAGTCTTAATTGCCACTCTTTTTGGGGGTTTGAAACCTCCTTCTCTACCTCCTCCCTTCTCCTTTCATCCGTTCTTTTCTCCTTCTCTCCCTTTTACCTCAAGATGTTTAGTTTATTTTGTGATGTGGAAGGAGTCCCCGTGAAACAATGTCATCGCCATGATATAGTCACTGTATTTTGGCCCTCATACACAAAGAGTTGGCTCCTTCAGACATAGTTTGGAGCTCTAAAGAGGGGAAGATGTCTGGTTGGGTTCGGGTTTAGCCAGTGCGGGACTATGGATTTAGCTTGTATGGCGCTATGAGTTTCTTCAGGTTGCTCGGAATTTTTTTTTTTTTTTTTTTTTTTTTTTTTTTTTTTTTTTTTTTTTTTTTTTTTTTTTTTTTTTTTTTTTTTTTTTTTTTTTTTTTTTTTTTTTTTTTTTTTTTTTTTTTTTTTTTTTTTTTTTTTTTTTTTTTTTTTTTTTTTTTTTTTTTTTTTTTTTTTTTTTTTTTTTTTTTTTTTTTTTTTTTTTTTTTTTTTTTTTTTTTTTTTTTTTTTTTTTTTTTTTTTTTTTTTTTTTTTTTTTTTTTTTTTTTTTTTTTTTTTTTTTTTTTTTTTTTTTTTTTTTTTTTTTTTTTTTTTTTTTTTTTTTTTTTTTTTTTTTTTTTTTTTTTTTTTTTTTTTTTTTTTTTTTTTTTTTTTTTTTTTTTTTTTTTTTTTTTTTTTTTTTTTTTGTTGGGGTGGGGCATAAAAACCGATAAACCGTCAAACCGACCGAACCAAACCAAACCAAACCGAAAAAGAGTGTTTTTTGACTAAACCGAAAAAGTCAACGGTGGAACCAACCGAACCGAAGGTCAACGGTTCGGCCTACGGTTCCAATTTTTTCAAAACCGGTGGACCTGAACCGAACCGGTGAATTTTTAAATATATAAATATTTGACACCTGGCGTCATTTGATTGGCCAAAAAAAGATGCATGTGAGACTGCCTGCAGTGGATCCCTCAATTTTTTTTTCTTTTCCCGTTGCTTCCCTTTCACTCAGCCTTCGTCGAATCTTCTTTCCCTCTTTGCTCTTTCTATTTTCTGAAAACCCTAAGAGGCTGAGAACGGCTCCTCTCTCTCTCGACCTACCTCATCTTCAATCGACCTCGGATCTTTCAGTGAGAGCATCAGCGTCGGGGCGTCACTCCTTCATCAAGCTCTCGTCCGCCAGGTATCATCTATTCTCTCTCTCTCTCTCTCTCTCTCCTCTCTCTCTCTCTCTCTCTCTCTCAAGTCGACCTAAGCCTAACCCAACACCCCTCTCTATTTCAGGCACGCACATCACAGACCTGAGATCAATTCTAATCGTTGCACTATTGAGGCAGCCGCCAAAACCATCTCTCTGGCCGAAGGTAAATTCTCTCTCTTCTGTACATTATAGGGTTTTTTTTTTGCTTTGAAATTTATACTGATATCATAGGGACTTATGCTTTGAACTTGAGAAAATATTTTTGCATTTTTTTTTGAAAGATTCTTCTATTCAATCTGCTTATGCTCAATCTGTTTGTGTGCTATCTGTTTTTTGATAGAATAAGGAAAAACATAGAAAAACAGAGAGAAATAGAGAAAAATAGAGAAAGAAAAAAAAAAGCAAGTTTGATTTTGAGTATGAATTAGCTAATGTGTTTGTGCTCAATCTGCCTGCTGTGTGCTATCTTGAAATGGTTTAAACGGTCTGGACATTATACACTTAATGTTTGAGATAATTTTTACATCAATTCTTAAAATTCTGCATTTTGAACTCAAAAAGTAAATGTAGTTCTAATTCTAGATTAAGCTTTTGTGTTTGTGCGTGGTGATTGGAAGTTGTTGATGTTAAACTCAAGCTCATGTGTGCTTAGTGACTATGAACCTTGATACATATGATTTGTGTCCCCATATGATTTACTTTTTTGTAATTTAAATCTATCTTTACTGTGTTTATGAAACGAATGAAGCTTGTTTGTAACCTAACCCTTTTTTTGATTTCATTCACAGTTGTTTAACGTTGCTGCTGTTGCTGAGCTTTGAAATTTTGGAAAATTGTGCTTAAATGGAGGTAAATATTCACTGCTGCTGCTAATTTGTTTACATCTGTTTTTGTAATCTGTTTAATCTGTTTTTGTAATCTGTTCAAATCTGTGTTTGTGATTTGTTTAAATCTGTATTTGTAATCTGTTAAATCTGTGTTTGTAATTTGTGTTTGTAATCTGTTTTTATAATCTATTTTGTAATATGTTTTTCTAATCTGTTTAATTCTGTTTCTGTTTTTGTAATCTGTTTTTATAATCTGTTTTTGTAATATGTTTTTGTAGTCTGTTTTTGTAATCTGTTTTTAAAATCCGTTTTTGTAATATGTTTTTATAATCTGTTTTTGTAATCTGTTTTTGTAATATGTTTTTATAATCTGTTTTTATAATCTGTTTTTGTAATATGTTTTTGTAGTCTGTTTTTGTAATTTGTAATATGTTTTTGTAGTCTGATTGTTGGATAGGTTATATGTTTTTTGTAGTCTGATTGTTGGATAGGCTGTGTTTAAATATGGTTTTACTCTGTTTATGAATAGGAACCTGTTTCTAATGAGGCTCAAATGCATGGGAATGATGATTCTCTACCTTGTAGTGATGCCGTTGTACCTCCTACAGCAGCATCACAAAATCCAACACCATCACCATTAGAACCTAGTACCGGGGAAAAGGAAACCTTGTAAGAAGGAGAGTGATGTGTGGGAACATTTTGAAAAGTATGATTTGGTATTGGATTTGAAAGGGGTAGATGGGACTAAAAGAAAAGAAATTGAAAAAAGGGCTAAGTGCAAGTATTGTAGTGCTACTTATGCTAGTGATACCAAGAGAAATGGGACTAGCAATATGTGGAAGCATATAACAAACAATGCTTGCAATATCCTTATAGGCACAAGGATAAGAGCACACGGACGCTCGCATTTGATGCATCCAAGGGTAATGCTCTTGTTTCTAGGAAGTTTAACAAAGATGATTGTTTGGATGCTTGTATTAGGATGGTGGTTCGAGATGAGCTACCTTTTAGCTTTGTGGAAGGTGAGGGTTTAGGGAATTTTGTAGTGTTGCATGCCCACAATTTAATCCACCCTCTCGTAGAACTCTTGAAAGAAGATTTCTAGAAATGTACACAAAAATGAAGGAGAAGTTGAAAGTTGACCTTCGTTCACATAGAATATGCCTTACAACCTGACGCAACACAAGCAAATAAGGTTTCAAACGGAAACCTTGAGTAACAAGGAAACTGGAATCCACCAGAAATTAAGAGAAACTCTCTTTGATTAATTTGATTAAAATCTAAACTTCAAAAAACGTTAGACGAACCCGTCTAAATACACAACTCTCAACCCTTGTAACTGCTAGGGGAGTTATTACAATAAAACTGAAAAACAGAATTAATTCGGAGACTTAACTACGTAACTCCGAAACTGAAAAAAAAACAGAATTTATTTTGGAAATTAACTATGTAACTCCGAAACGGAAAAACATAATTTATTTGGAATTAACTTCGAACTTTGAATGCAGTTTTGAAAGGCCAAACGACTCCAGAATGCCAAAATCCATCGTACATCACAGAAAAGCTGTGAGTTTGACTCGTGGCATCGTTCCCTTTCCGAAATGGTATTTTGCTCCCTAATCGGAGCTCGGACGACAATTCTGCAAATTCCCACCACGTCCCTTTTCTTGCTCAACCGCGATAAAATCTGCCATCTGTTCTACATCAGTCCTCTCCACCTCCGAAGAACTCGACCCCGAGTTATGATCTGGATAAAGAACCTCATCTTCACGGAACTCATATAAATCTGCAACATTAAAAATATTGGAAATTCCCATGGAATCCGGTAACTCAATAACATAGGCATTATCATTGATCCGTTTGAGCACTTTGTAAGGACCATATTTCTTCGGTTTAAGCTTGCTGTAAGTGCCAACTGGAAACCTCTCCTTCCTCAGAAATATCATCACAGAATCGCCTTCTTGAAACACTTTAACACGTCGATGCCTATCCGCAGCAGCTTTGTACTTAGCATTTGTTTGCTCAAGTTTCTGCTTGACCTCATCTCGAACGGCTACCACTTCCTCAGCCAAAATTTTCGCTGCCATACTGGTTTGCTGGCCTCTAGGCAGTTTCACCAAATCTACAACATGGTTAGGTATAGCAGTATAAACAATGGAAAATGGAGACTTCCCAGTAGCGCTATGGACTGCACTGTTGTATGCAAACTCCACCTGCGGTAATGCATAATCCCATTGTTTCGGCTTCTCTCCACAGACGCTTCGCACCATATTGCCCAATGTCCGGTTTGTAACCTCAGTCTGGCCATCAGTTTGGGGATGGGCAGTGCTGCTACGATTCAAAGTAGTCCCAAACAGTCTCCACAAAGTGATCCAAAAATGACTCAAGAACTTGGTGTCACGATCAGATGTAATGGATGTAGGAACCCCATGCAAGCGAACAACCTCCCTGAAAAACAGTTTGGCTATATTTGATGCATCGGCAGTCTTTTTGCAGGCTATGAAATGCGCCATTTTTGAGAACCGATCAACCACCACAAATACAGAGTCCACTCCCCTTTGTGTTCGGGGCAATCCGAGGACAAAATCCATAGCAAGATCCTGCCAAATATCGTTAGGAACTGGTAATGGCATATATAATCCAGTGTTTTGTACCTGCCCCTTCGAAGTTTGACAAATGTAGCACTTGCGCACAATAGTTCCAACATCACGTTTGAGCTGTGGCCAGTAAAATCTCTCCTCCATCAATGCAATTGTTTTGTCACGGCCTAGGTGGCCACTCAACCCTCCACCATGCAAGTCCCGAATGAGCTTCTCCCTTAAAGAAGAAACTGGAATACACAGCTGGTTGCCTTTGAACAAATAACCTTCATTAAGAAAGTAATCTGCCATTGGCTCTTGATTAGTGCACTTAATCCAAATTTCCCGGAAATCATCGTCACCTGCATATAATTCCTTCAGACATTCAAACCCCACAACTTCTTGAGTCAGCGTGACTAATAATGAAGCTCTCCTACTCAGCGCATCTGCCACACGATTGGTCTTGCCGGAAGTATGCTTGATAACGAACGAAAATTTCTGCAAAAAAGTCATCCATCTAGCATGCATTTTATCAATATTTTTCTGGCTGTTAATATACTTCAACGCTTGATGATCTGTAAACAAAACAAATTCCTTCTGGATAAGATAGTGCTCCCATTGCTTCAAAGCTCGAACAACCGCATAGAACTCTTGGTCATAAGTACTCCACTTTTGACGTGCATCGCTCAACTCTTCAAACATTCTGTGATAGGTGCAGCAACGGTGCTAAAATGCTTCACAAATCTTCTGTAAAAGGTGGCCAAGCCATGGAAGCTTCGAACTTCAAAAACTGTCTTTGGAGCTGGCCACTCAAGGATTGCCTTGATCTTCTCGTCATCTACCTGGATACCATTCTCACCAACAACAAAACCCAAGAACAGTAGCTTATTTGTGCAGAAAGTACATTTTTTAAGGTTCACATACAGCTTATTTTCTCTCAACACATCTAAAACTTGTCTCAAATGCACAAGATGTTCTTCTTTTGTGGTACTGTAAATTAAAATGTCATCGAAATAAACAACGACAAAAGAACCAATAAATGGTCGAAGAACCTGATTCATGAGTCGCATGAAAGTGCTAGGTGCATTTGACAATCCAAATGGCATCACCAACCATTCAAATAATCCGTCCTTGCTCTTGAACGCTGTTTTCCATTCGTCTCCAGGTCGTATGCGAATCTGGTGGTATCCGCTTCGCAAATCTATCTTGGAAAACACCCTTGAGCCGCCAAGAATGTCCAGCATATCTTCTAACCGTGGAATGGGAAACCTGTACTTGACTGTTATCTTGTTGATTGCCCGGTTATCAACACACATTCGCCAAGTTTTGTCTTTCTTTGGAACCAGCAAAACAGGAAGTGCGCAGGGACTCAAACTCTCCCGGATAAATCCTTTCCGCAGTAATTCTTCATTCTGTTCTCTCATGATGTCATTCTCCTTGGGGCTCATCCGATAATGGGGCAGATTCGGAAGGCTAGCTCCAGGCACCAAGTCAATTCGGTGCTGTATGTCCCGCATAGGAGGCAGCTCGTTTGGCAGATTTTCAAAAAGTAGTTCCTGAAATTGATTCAAAATCTGCTGCACATCTTGTGGAATGTCACCTTCTCCTCCGCCAATTTTCAACAACCCCTTCAACACCAAGGGACAAAAACACTCCGCTTCTTTGACAGCCTCGTTCAACTCCTGCTTGGGCTCAACAGATTGCTTTGCGGGCTGTGTGGTTGCCATTGCAATTTTCCGGTTGTTCCAAGAGAACAGAATTACATTATCTCGTCCCTTGAAAGTTGCATCCACATCAAATTGCCAAGGTCGCCCTAACAAAATATGGCATGCATCCATGTCAATAACATCACATAATATTTCATCTCTGTAATGCTTACCAATTGACAGTGGCACTCGGCAAGTCTCAGCTACACGAACCGAAGGGCCTTTTTTAACCCAACCTAGTGAGTAAGGGCTGACATGAGGCTCCGTAGATAGCTGCAAATACTCCACCAATTTCTTTGACACGAAATTCTCGCAACTTCCATTGTCGACGATCACATCACACACCTTGTTTTTGATTGAGCAGAGGGAACGAAAAATACTATGACGCTGCCCTTCCTCCTTTGGTGCCAAAAGAACTCTCTGCAAAACCAAGGTAATCTTCTCCATTCCTTCCTCAACTGCAAATTCAGCCCCTGCATAATCATCTTCCCCGACTTCATCGTTTTCCTCATCTTCATCGGCTTCTTCGATAAAGTTGGCCTGCTTCCGCTCTGGACAAACATTAGAACGATGCCCTGGTTTTTGGCAACGGTAACATATGTCCATCATGGGCTTAGTGTTTGTACAAATTTCCTCACGAGAATATTCGTCTAAGATTCCTTCGTCTTCTCCACTTCTCTTTCTCCCTGCAAAACAGATCGGGGTAAAAGGACCACACCCGGGGGGTGTTGGCCAAAGGCCCTCCGATGCCTAAGTTAGGTAGGGTATTTCAAGGAAAACCGGGTGGCCGGAGCCGTGTGTGGTGGCCGGAGCCTTGTGTCAGAGAGAGAAAGAAAGTGGTGGCTAGGGTTTGTGAGAAATAATTTCTGCAGAGTTTCAGTATGAATTTAGACGTACCTTGACTTTTGTGCGTAGCCAAGTATTTATAATGGTCTCGGAGATTAGGGTTTCAGAGGAATAATTCCATAGATGGAAGGGAATTATTCCTCCCCTATTTGGAATTGATTTGATTAATTAGGGATTTGATTTATTAGGGTAAATCAAACCCCTAATCGTGGTAGTTAGCAGATCAAATCCTAATTTAATTAGGTAACTCCTCATTTAATTGGGAATTGGGGTAGGAATCAAATCAATTCCCAACTTAATTAGGTAATTCTCAATTTAATTGGGTAACTCCCAATTAAATTGAGTAACTCCCAATTAGGTTGAGTAATTCCCAAATAGGTCAAATAATCCCCAAATGGAAGGAATTATTTGACCTAGGGTATGATTTAATTCGGTTCCCACAAATGCCCCCCAGCTTCTGCATGGCACGTGGTGGCATGTAGGAGATGTGAATTGTTTGTTGGGCTGTCCAGCTGTAACTGGGCTTCCTCCTTGGATTTGGGCTCCTGAATGGAGGAGGCTTTTGACTTGCCAACTGGTCTTTGACTTGGGTTGTCCAGCTGTAACTGGGCTGGGGGCAAGTTGGCCTGCTGCTGGAGCAGGTGGCAGTTTGGGTCAGCTTATTTGTGGTTGATCCAAACTGCTTCAATTCCTTCTTCTTTTTGTGTCACGAACTAGGAACAGTATGAGTCAAGGCGATCACATGTGGAGCACGACATGTTGGAAGTCAGCGGCAGACGAGTAGGGGAGGTTGGCGACGGTCCGCTCATTCCTCTCACCTACTGTGATGGTAAGTTGCATCCCTATGATCTGCTACAGTTGTCATGGAATTCTTTGTTGTGTGTTTGACTGACTTCTGTCTCGTGCTTGTAGAAAATGACATCCACAAGAAGCTCGATCTCTGCCCGGACACGACCAATGTTCATCAAGCTTTGAACATCCTTGCCAGGTTCTGTGGATTGCGCTGGTTCCTGAGTGAACATCGGAAGGAGGCTGGAGGCTTGCCCCCAGCCGAAGATGTTGAAAGATGGAAGCTGCATGGCTCAGACCTAGATGATTTGCCAGTTGAGCGGGAGAAGTCCTCGACCAAGCTTCCTCATTGTTCCACGAGCAAGTCTTCCGTAAGGGGTCTCGTCTACTGAGAATGTCCCTATGAGAGTTGCTTCTTCATCTGCTAGGATCAAGCGCCTCGTTGGCGCGAACAGTAAGAAGATAAATGGCATGCAGGAGATCCGGGATATACTGCTAAGGTATCCGCTCGAACTGCCTAAAAACCCATGATCTACCCTGTGAGGAGGCTGTTGAGAAGCAGGGTTTGAGTTGCTTGTGCCGATCCTGGGATCAAACTGAGATAACTGTACATCTGTCTAGCAATCACGACTCGTCTGCAAAGCCCTGAACAGTCAAGCGCGGAGCTGACTCAAAGTGAGCAGAGCAATGTTGTGGGTGCAGAAGCAGTTGAATAGCAGATAGCAGATGAAGCTGCAATGGAGGAAGACAACTCCCAAGGTGGCGTAGCTGATAAGGCTAGGCCAGATGCGAAGGAGCAGGCAGGTGAGGCCATTGAGTAGATGGTGCTTGTCGGCCGCTTTGTTATGGAATTTTCAGTTGTCTTTCAAACTTCAATTCTCATTGTATCTTGTAAGTGTATATCCGGAGATACAACACTTGAAAGAAACTCCATTGAGTTTGTACTTGTGAAGTAGCTTGCCTACAATGGAGGTAAGGCTCGTCGCCTGTGTGCGTATGTCGGGGACATGACGCTTGAAAAGACTCCATGAAGTTTGTACTCGAGGAGTAGCTTGTCTTCAGTGGAGGTGAGGCTTGTCGCCTACGAGCATATGTCGGGACATAATACTCGAAAAAGACTCCATTGAGTTCGTGCTTCGTGGAGCAGCTTGTCTGCAATGGAGATGAGGCTTGTCGCCTGCGAGCGCATGTCAGGGACACAATGCTCGAAAGACTCCATTGAGTTCGTGCTTCGTAGAGCAGCTTGTCTACAATGGAGATGAGGCTTGTCGCCTGCGAGCGTATGTCAGGGACACAATGCTCGAAAAAGACTCCATTGAGTTTGTGCTTCGTGAAGCAGCCTGTCTGCAATGGAGATTAGGCTTGTCGCCTGCGAGCGTATGTCAGGGACACAATGCTCGAAAAAGACTCCATTGAGTTTGTGCTTCGTGAAGCAGCCTGTCTGCAATGGAGATGAGGCTTGTCGCCTGCGAGCGTATGTCAGGGACACAATGCTCGAAAAAGACTCCATTGAGTTTGTGCTTCGTAAAGCAGCCTGTCTGCCATGGAGATTAGGCTTGTCGCCTGCGAGCGTATGTCAGGGACACAATGCTCGAAAAAGACTCCATTGAGTTTGTGCTTCGTGAAGCAGCCTGTCTGCAATGGAGATTAGGCTTGTCGCCTGCGAGCGTATGTCAGGGACACAATGCTCGAAAAAGACTCCATTGAGTTTGTGCTTCGTGAAGCAGCCTGTCTGCAATGGAGATGAGGCTTGTCGCCTGCGAGCGTATGTCAGGGACACAATGCTCGAAAAAGACTCCATTGAGTTTGTGCTTCGTGAAGCAGCCTGTCTGCAATGGAGATGGGGCTTGCTGCCGCCATGTGTATGTTCGTAAGACATAATGCTCAAAAAAGTACTTCATTGAAAAGCTTGCTCTTGTATTGATGTTGGTGTGAATACATCGCTTTATTGAATAAAGGAAATTAACAACAAAGGTAACATCAAAAGTAGTTTGTCTTTAATGGAAGTACAGGAGGCTCGTCGCCTGCTAGCAGCCAAGTTGGTAAGCGAAGAGTTTCATGGATAGTATCTTCGAAGGTGGTGGGCATTCCATTGTCTTGGAATTTCTTTTCCTTCTAGAGTATCAAGGGTGTAACTTCCTCTGCCCCCAGATCGGCTGATCACGTAGGGGCCTTCCCAGTTTGGCTTTATTTTCTTTGACCCTTGCCTTGGTGCTGTGATGAAAGTTTTTCTAAGCACAAGGTCTCCAGGCTGAAACTGTCTTATCTTAGCCTTCTTATTGTAGTAGGACGTCAACTGCTGCTGGTAGGCGGCAACTCGAACAATAGCCTTTTCTCGTTCTTCTTCAAGCAGATCAAGGTTGACTTTCATCTGCTTGCAGTTTTGGTCAAGAATGCCCACCTCAATGCTCATGGAAGGGACTGTGATGTGTGGGGGAATAATTGCTTCTGTCCCATAGGCCAGGGAAAATGGTGTCTCTTCGGTCGATCTCCTTTTGGTCGTGCGATAAGCCCATAGGACTCCTGGCGGCTCGTCGACCCATTGCCTTGCGGGTATTGGGGTGTTGACAGGTGTTGTTTGATGCCATACTTCCCAAAGAATGCGGTGATCTGCCTGCCCACGAACTGTGTACCATTGTCGGTGACTATCGATTGCGGGCAACCGAATCTGCAAATAATGTTCTTCCAGATGAACCGTTCAACATCGGCCTCCTTGGTAGAAGATAAAGCCTCGGCCTCGATCCATTTGGTGAAGTAATCAGTGGCAACGATCATCATCTCTTTGTTGGCAGGTGCCGTCGGCATAGGTCCCACCAAGTCAATGGCCCACTGCATGAATGGCCATGGACTGTTCTGCGGATGGTATTCCTTAGCGGGCAGGCCAGGGACCGGCTTGTAGCGTTGGCATCGATCACATCTTCGAGCATACTCCGTGGAGTCTTGGCGCATGGTAGGCCAGAAATAGCCTATGTTGAGAGCCTTCTGAGCAAGCGATCTGCCCCCAGCGTGATTTCCACATTCGCCGTCGTGTATCTTGCAGAGAACCTCGAGCGTTTGTGGGTACTTGATGCAAGTGAGATGAGGCCCGTAGTATGATCTGCGGATAAGCATGTCGCCTTTCATGTAGTATCTTGCAGCCTTCTGCTTGATTTTTCTGGCCTCGGACTTGTCCTTGGGCAGGTTTTCATTCACTAGGTAGTCAATAATTGGGTCTTGCCAGCTAGGATCCTCATCGATCTGCATCAGGTCCGGCTGCTCTGCCTCCTCTATGCTAGGCTGGTCAAGGTGCTCGACCGGGATGGAACGTCTGAACTGGGTATCCAGCGCCGATCCTAAGCTTGCTAGTGCATCTGCGTGCGTTCTCTGCTCTGGGAACTTGCTGGATGGTGAAGGTGGGAAACGCCTTCAACAACTCTTGAACTTTGTCAAGGTACAAGATCATCCTTGGGTGCTTCGCCATGTATTCTCCTGAGGCTTGATTTGTGATCAGCTGGGAATCTGAGTAGATGGCCAGCTTTTTGATTGATAGCTCCTTTGCCAAGCGCAAGCCAGCGAGCAACGCCTCGTACTCTGCCTCGTTGTTTGAAGCCGGGAAGCCAAGCGTGATAGCTTGCTCTAACAGGGTTCCATCTGGGGTGATGATGACGACGCCTGCTCCAGCTTTTTCTGGTTCGACGCTCCGTCTACGCGCAACTGCCACATGTCTCTGGGTTGGTCAGGTTCAGTAGAGGTCTTGTCTGCTCTCGAACTTTCCTTCTTTTTGCTGACCAGCTTCTCTTCTTCGGTTGATGGTGTGAATTCTGCAACAAAGTCTGCTAAGGCTTGAGCTTTTATTGCAGTCTTCGGCCGGTAGAGGAGGTCGTATTGGCTTAGCTCTATAGCCCACTTCATGAGTCGCTGAGAAGCATCAGGGCTGTGGAGGATTGATCTCAAAGGAAAGTCGGTCATGACGATGACTCGGTGAGCTTGGTAATAAGGTCGCAGCTTTCTCGCAGAAACCACAAGGGCCAAAATGAGCTTCTCCAATTTCGGGTAACGAGTCTCTGCATCGAGGAGAGCTTTTGACGTGTAGAATATCGGATGTTGGGCCCCAAGTTCTTCTCGAATGAGAGCTGAGCTGACGGCCGAGTTGGACACTGCCAGGTACACGAACAAGTCTTCACCAGGAACTGGCTTTGAGAGCAAAGGAGGTGAAGTAAGGTAGGTCTTTAGATTCTGGAAAGCTACTTCGCACTCTTCGTCCCATTTGTCTTTTTGTCCTTTCTTCAAAGCTTTGAAGAATGGTCTGCACTTGTCGGTAGACTTTGAGAGGAATCTGTTAAGGGCCGCTGCTCTGCCCGTCAGGCTTTGTATCTCCTTCACTGTGGAAGGCGACTTCATCTCGAGAATGGCTTTGATTTGGCGCGGGTGTGCCTCGATACCTCGTTGCGTCACTAAGTACCCTAGGAACCGGCCAGACGATACACCGAACGTGCATTTACTTGGATTCAGCTTCATGCGATATTGGCGGAGTAGGCTGAACGCCTCGGTGAGGTTTTTGAGGTGGTCTGCCCGCTTGGGGGCTTTAACCAGCATATCGTCCACGTACACCTCCATGGTTCTGCCGATCTGCTCCTTGAAAATTTTATTCACGAGCCTTTGGTAGGTTGCTCCGGCGTTCTTCAGCCCAAAGGGCATGACCTTGTAGCAGTAGGTCCTTCTTTCGATGATGAAAGAGGTCTTCGCCTTGTCATCATCGTACATCATAATTTGATTATAGCCGGAGTAAGCATCCATGAAGCTGAGCAGCTGGTTGCCGGAAGTTGAATCCACGAGCTGGTCGATTCTCGGCAGTGGGAAGTTGTCTTTAAGGCACGCTTTGTTGAGGTCGGTGTAATCAACGCATACTCTCCATTTTCCCTTTTCTTGTTTCGCCACCAGAACAACGTTAGCCAGCCATTCCGAGTAGGAGACCTCTTCAATGAAACCGGCAGCTAGGAGCTTGTCGATCTCGGCTTCAATGATCGCGACCCGCTCGGGAGCAAAGTTGCGTCTCTTCTGCACCACGGGCTTGCTAGCTGGGTTGACATGGAGCCGATGGCAAATGATATTTGGGTCAATGCCAGGCATGTCAGATGGTGACCACGCGAACATGTCTTTGTTGTTCTGGAGAAAGATGGTCAGCTCCATCTTCTTGTCTGGGCTTAGGCGCGAGCCGATCCGCGCTTTCTTGTCTGGCTGGTGAGGATCGAGGGGTACTAACTCAACGTCTTCCTCAGGCTTCCAACCTTCTTCAAGGGAGCCTTCCGGGCGGATTCCCTCATCTCGATCCTTCTTGGTTGAATTCTGGTGCAAGCCGATCTGCGCCTCCTTCTCTGGCTGATCAAGATCGGGGGGTACTAACTCAACGTCTTCCTCAGGCTTCCAACCTTCTTCAAGGGAGCCTTCCGGGCGGATTCCCTCGTCTCGATCCTTCTTGTTCGGTTTCTGGCACGAGCCGATCTGCGCCTCTTTGTCTAGCTGGCCAAGATCAGGAGGTACTAACTCAACGTCATCCTCAGGCTTCCAACCCTTTTCAGGGGAGTCTTCCGGGCGGATTCCCTCACCTTGATCCTGGTTCCTTAATTGCTATTGTGAGGCAGCAACTTCCTTCCCTTTCGGGTTTGCTTGTCTGCTAAGAGCGCTTCCTGCCTCGTTGGCAGCTTGCATTACTGGTGTGAACTGCAACTGCTTGCTCTTCTTGAGCCCTTGGGCGGTGCATCTCCTTGCCATGGCTTGGTCACTATTGATCTGCCCGATCCCGCCCCCAGGGATGGGATAGCGGATCTTCTGATGTAGAGCAGATGTGATGGCCTCGATCTTGCTGATCCACGGTCGGCCCAAGATTCCGTTGTAGGGGGAAACCTCGTCGATGACAATGAAGGTCTGTGAGCAGACCACTGGGGGTGAGTGGACATCCAAGTCGATCGTTCCAATAGTGATTGATGTGGCCCCATTGAAGCCGGTGAGCAATCTGGCAAGTTTGCTAATCTTGGGCTCGAACCCCATCTGTTGGATAACAGATAGTTGCAGGATGTTGGCTGCGCTGCCCTCATCTACATGAACTCGCTCGATCACAGCTTGTTCAATTTGGATGCAGATGACTAGGGCGTCATTATGTGGCAGGTCAAGCCCGATCAAGTCCTTCTTCTGGAAGCCGATGATAGGTGTGTCCCCAACAGCTGGTACTCCCGTTGTGACTTGGGAGACATAAGTTGCCTGCGCGATCTTTCTCTTGCGCTCCTTGGTGGTTAGCCCGGACTCTTGGGATAGATCACACCTACATCAAGAAGTTTTAAAACTTCACCTCGGACTACCTCCTTCATGTTAGGATTCAATCTTCTTTGCGCATCAATGGTAGCCTTAGAACCATCCTCTAGTAAAATTCGATGCATGCACATGGATGGACTAATGCCTTTAATGTCAGCTATGGTCCATCCTAAAGCTGTTTTGTACTCTCTCAAAACCCGCAAAAGCTTTTCTTCCTCGGTAACAGTCAAATCAGAAGCAATGATCACAGGAAGTGTATCGGATTCTCCCAAAAAGGCATATTTCAAGTGTTCAGGCAATGGCTTGAGCTCCAACTTTGGAGGTATCTCAACGGAGGGCAAGATAGGAGCGCTAGGTGTCCCTAGTGGCTCATATGTGTGACGCCACCTTGGGAACTGAATAGGTGTCGAATCCAAAGCTGCTACAAGGTGTTGGGCCTCATTAGAATCTGATCTTAGCTCCGGGTTAGCTAGGCATGTGAGAAGTTCATCCTCGTTTACATTAGCTAGGAAAGTGGTGTGGGCAATAGTATCAACGACATCTACACAAAAACACTCATCCATCTCCACAGGTTTCTTAATGGCTTCAAACACCTTGAACTCAACAGTTTGGCCTTGCACAGTCATAGACAATAAACCTTTCTTCACATCAATAATGGTGCCAACAGTAGCCATAAAAGGACGTCCCATAATGATGGGAACTTCTCTGTCTTCCTCCATGTCAAGGATGATAAAATCTGCTGGAAGAACAAATTGATCCACTTTGATTAGTATATCTTCAACGATTCCAAGTGGATATTTGATAGACCTATCAGCCAGTTGCAAGCTCACAGAAGTTGGTTTGATCTCTCCAATGCCTAGCTGCTAAAATACAGAATAAGGCATTAAGTTAATACTTGCACCCAAATCAATTAAAGCCTTTTCAATATGTAAATTTCCAATAATGCAAGAAATTGTAAAACTCCCTGGATCCTTAAGTTTTGGTGGCAATTTCTTAAGGAGAACTGCACTGCATTCCTCGGACAACATCACTTTCTCATGTGTAGCAAACTTTCGCTTGTTTGTGCAAACATCCTTGAGGAACTTAGCATAAGCTGGGATTTGCTTCACTGCATCCAACAATGGAATATTTATTTGAACCTTTCTAAACAATTCCAGAATATCCATTGTTTGTTGATCTCTCTTGTGCTTCTGTAGTCTTTGCGGAAAAGGAACTTGAGGCACATATATTCGCTCCTTGGAAGGGGTAGCTGCTGTAGGTTCTTTGGTAGGCTCAATAGCTGCTGTAGGGGCCTCTGTAACATCCGTTGTGGCAGGGACAGGGTGTGGCTGAAGTGTATTCTTGTCTTCCACGTCTAACTCCATTTCAGCAGCTTGTTTTCCCTCTGTTTCACCCTTAGAAACATCTTCAGGTCTAGCCTCATAAGTTCGCCCACTCCTTAATGTTTTTATCGCCTTAATGTGCTCCTGGCCTCTTGGATTGATTTCAGGTTGGCTAGGTAACTTGCCTTTCTCCCTCTCATTGACTATGTTTGCAATCTGGCTCACTTGGACTTCCAATTTCTGAATTGCAGCATGACAATTTTGATAACCAGCTTGAAGGTTATTGTTTGTTTGTTGTTGAGTCTGAATAAATTGAGTCATAATCTCCTTCAAAGTTGGTTCTCTTGGTTCATTCGGATTGACAGGTTTTTGCTGAGGATAAATGCGCTGCTCAGACGGATTGTTGTTGCTCCATGAGAAATTGGGGTGGTTCTTCCATCCCGGGTTATACGTGTTGGAGTAGGGATCATGTCGTGGCTTTTGAAATGAATTTATTTGATTAGCCTGCTCCTGCGTAAGATCACTCAAAGGGCAATTATTAGTTGGATGAGAATTATCAGAGCAAATAGCACACACAGAGGAAGGAGAAACAAATTTGGTCATTGACTGCATGAAATTTTCAAGCTTCTTTTCCAAGTTGGATACTTGAGATGCTGAAGCGAATCCAGGATTTGTATCGACACTATGCACAGTAATCTTCCTTGTGAATCTGTCATCGCCCCATTGCATAGAATTGGCAGCAACTCTCTCAAAAGTTTTGAAGCACTCCTTAGGATCTTTCTCACTCAGAGCTCCTCCACACGCCGCATCAACATTGTTTCTACTGGCTGAGGTTAGTCCTTGGTAAAAGATCTGCATTTGCATCCAAGTTTCCACTCCATGATGAGGACATTGTTGTAGTAGATCACAAAATCGCTCCCAGCACTCATGAAAAGATTCTTGAGGCTTTTGTTCAAAGTTCGTGATTTCCTTCCTAAGTAGCAATGTTTTTGTGGCAGGGAAAAATTTCAGCATGAATTTTTGAGCAAGTTCTTCCCATGATGTGATGGATCCAGCAGGAAGAGAGGTGAACCATGACTTGGCCTTGTCTTTGAGAGTGAAGGGGAACAATCTCAGACGCACTATTTCTTGTGAAACTCCCTTGATATGAACCGTACCACAAGCTATGTAAAAATCCTTAATATGAATGTTGGGATCTTCATTTGATTTACCATAGAACGAAGGAAGAAGACCAATGGTACCGGATTTCAGCTCAAACGAAACATCATCAATTTCAGGAAATGTGATACATGAAGGCTCTTCTAAAATTGTGGGCTGTGAATACTCCTTCAAGGGCTTAGTGTTGGCTGCCATTGACTCTGTGTCAGACTCTAAATCAGTATCAAATGCTTGTTGGTTGATGTGACAGAGCTCTCGGAACGTTTTTTCTATCTCAGGATCAAAGGGTACTAATTCTTGACCTTGGGATCTTGTGCTGACCATCAACTAACACACACACAACATGCAAATATTTGAGAGCAACCTACAGACAACAAAACAAAAGAGATAGTGAATAACAGGTGGTGCTGGAAAACAAAGAAACAAATAATAAAAGAGAATAAATCAAAGAAATACAATAAAGTAAAACAATAAAACAAATATTAAAAAGGGACGATATGCAACCGAAATAAAGACTAAAGTAAAGCTAAAATCACACAACACAAAGAATTAAACTCAGTCTCCGGGCGCCAAAAACTTGATGTATAATTTTACTACCTGAAAATTAGATAGTTAAATTCAAGAAATAAACTTGCAAGCGCACAAGGTTAATGCAATATAGCCAAGGCAAGTACAAGGTCGTTCCCACAGAGACTGAATAAATTCTCAAGTTGTTGTGAATTATAAACTAATTTAAATCCTAAATTACTCTAGACACCCTAATTAATAAACTTAAAACTAATGACTCAACTAAAACTTAATAGAGGATTTTTGAAAGTTGGTTTTGAAAGATTTTCTTTGAAAGAACGTTGAAAACAAGAAAATTAAAAGACAAGATAACGAAGAAAAACGTGAACTAAATAAGTTTGTGAAAGATTTTAAAGAAGCTTACCAAGACAACAATTTCACCACAATTCCTCTTATCCAAACCTTAGCATGCATACTATCAAAATTCCCAAGTTATGTTGATGATTAGTTCTCCAAAATTATGACTAATTCTTTTCACAGCAATTAACCACTTCTTCTTACATGCAATTTATCCTTGGCGTGAGGCATAAATATAAACATATAAAAAGACCTTAGGTTCAATGAGAACTTCACACAATCACACAAACCCCTAAGAGTATAGTGTTTACCTTAGGCGCATTCATGAATTTAATCACAAGAAGCAAAACTCATATTAGGCATGGCGTATACCCTAACATGCATCAAATTACTTAACCAAAAACCTAGATGGTAGCTAAGCATCAAGATCATTAGTTAGGAAAATAAGCACAGTGATTAAATTTCAACAACATGGAAATTCTAATAGCATGACATAACTAAGCTTTGAATAATTAGAAAAGGGTTACATTGTGTCTTAGTAAAAGAAAATTAGTTACTCATAATCATGGTAACAAAGCAAAAATAAAACATGGAGAAAGAGATAAGGAAAACCCTTAGAGTTTAGAGGCACGGTGGCTCTTCCTTGCTCCACGGTTGAAGTCTGAAATTTCTCGTCTCCTGAGCCTCTACGACCTCCCCTCTTAAAAGAACCTAAAACCTAGTTAGAATGGGCCTAAACAAGTGGCCTTACACGAAGACTTGATTTCCAAGTCAGTTCCTAACTAGAAAAGCTAATTAAAACTAAGTTTCCTAAAACCTCCAGGAAACTGCACGTGATCCTCATTGCGAATGCGATTTGGACACGTTTCTGACCTCCAAAAATTACGTATGACCACTCTTTGGAAAGCTCTGGATGTCTTCTTTTCAGCCATATATCATGTGCCTCAATCCGATGTTGTATGAGTGAGTTGTAGCCAAAATACCCCTGCTGACTCAGTATTCTCCGGGAATTGATTTATGCTGAATTGTCTAATTAAAAATGGGCACCTTAGCAGTCTTCAAAAATTATGAAAATATTCATGGATAAACTTTAAGATGCTGTCTCCCATCTCCAATTCGAATCATGTCGAACTCTATTACAATGAATATTTGACGAATTTATTCATTCCGTGGCTCATAAGCTGAAAAACAGGAAATAACTCAACTCAGCATCTTTAGTCCAAATTAATTCACAAAACTAAGTAAAAAGGATATAAAATCATGTGAATTTATGAACACATCAGGTCGATCCCCTTGGTTGCCCTGCCGGTGGGGCAGGAGAGAAGGTTGAGTTTGGGAGGATCCCTCCACAGCTTGTCGCCGCATGTAGGACCTCGAGCGGGCTGGTGAGCGTTGATCGTCATCCTCTGCTTGCAAGGAAGGTCGTTCAGGTCGATGTCTTCGGTGCCTCGAACGTGATTGGCTAACTTCTTCTCTGCTCCCAAGGGTCGATCCCCTTGGTTGCCCTGCCGATGGGGCAGGAGAGAAGGTTGAGTTTGGGAGGATCCCTCCACAGCTTGTCGCCGCGACCGCTCACGAACTCGAGCTCCTTGTGGACCTAAGCGAGCACGAACATTGGATTGTGGGCCTAGCCTCTCGAGCACATTGGTCCTGGGTCCTAGCCTCGAACGGCTCAGAGTACGGCTCGCAGCTGTCTGCGTCTCGTCTGCACGATCTCGCTCTCTTCCCTGCCGGTTTGCCCTTGTCTGACTAGCCTGGGACCTCTCAAACTGCTCGCCAGCATGCTCGTGTGCCCTCCTCTCCTCGTCACGGGGTCCAAGGTTGGGGCCTTGATTCAAGTTGACCTGCCTGAGTAGCTGGCCAATCAGGTTGTTTTGATCATCGACCTTCTGTGTGAGTTGATCAACCCGCGAGTTAAGGTCCACCTGACTGCCCGGGTCAAGTAGAGTGGTGTGCATTGGGCCCAACGGCATGTGGGCTAGGGCTCCATTAGACGCGTACACAGGTGCATATGTCAAGTGTGATCGCAGAGGAGGGAGAGAATGGATCTGCTCCAAGACTGGGACGATGTCAGAGTAGCCATGGGGCTGTGCAGCAAGTCCAGTAGTTAAGTGGTGTGGCTGTTGCTGTGCTCCGACGGCAGGACAGCGAGGCAGAGCAGCTCCGGTAATCGGCGCTGGCGACTGCAAGGCTATGGAGGTCCCAGGGTCATGTGGCGGCTGTTCTGCAATTCCAGCAGCTGAAGGCGGCTGCAAAGCACTAGAAGACGGCTGCAGGCGTTGGCAGGCATGATTCCGTGCTGTTGCATTGAGGTTTCCACCACGAAACCATGAGATGGGCCCGTCGTGGTGGCGTTACTCTTCGTACGTCTTGTATCAACCATGGTTGTTTGAAAAAATGTGTGAAAGATGGATTTGGAGCACGCTTTGAATATATCTCGTGCTCTCAATGAAAGCACCAATTTGTTTGTACAAATTTCCTCACGAGAATATTCGTCTAAGATTCCTTCGTCTTCTCCACTTCTCTTTCTCCCTGCAAAACAGATCGGGGTAAAAGGACCACACCCGGGGGGTGTTGGCCAAAGGCCCTCCGATGCCTAAGTTAGGTAGGGTATTTCAAGGAAAACCGGGTGGCCGGAGCCGTGTGTGTTGGCCGGAGCCTTGTGTCAGAGAGAGAAAGAAAGTGGTGGCTAGGGTTTGTGAGAAATAATTTCTGCAGAGTTTCAGTAGGAATTTAGACGTACCTTGACCTTTGTGTGTAGCCAAGTATTATAATGGTCTCGGAGATTAGGGTTTCAGAGGAATAATTCCATAGATGGAAGGGAATTATTCCTCCCCTATTTGGAATTGATTTGATTAATTAGGGATTTGATTTATTAGGGTAAATCAAATCCCTAATCGTGGTAGGTAGCAGATCAAATCCTAATTTAATTAGGTAACTCCTCATTTAATTGGGAATTGGGGTAGGAATCAAATCAATTCCCAACTTAATTAGGTAATTCTCAATTTAATGGGGTAACTCCCAATTAAATTGAGTAACTCCCAATTAGGTTGAGTAATTCCCAAATATGTCAAATAATCCCCAAATGGAAGGAATTATTTGACCTAGGGTATGATTTAATTCGATTCCCACACTTAGCATACGGATTCTGGGACTGGTTTCGGGGTTGCCCTCTGTTGTAATTCCGGCTGCTACCTTCGTTGAAATTTTTGTTTTGGCCAACTGTTGCTGGTTTTGTCGATCCTCCAAGATTCTGCTGCTGTGCTTTCCCCTTATCTCCTGAGCCACTAGAAGCACCAGCAGTATATTCAGAGGCTTCCGTCGTGTTCCTGCGGAAGTTGGGTTGGCGTTTCTCCTTCTCCAACAATTCAGCCTTCAATGCCATGTTAATCGCCTCCTGCAAAGTCCATATATTCTGCATACCAATTTTTTCCTGGATGGAAATCTTCAGCCCATTGTTGTACCTCGCGACCTTTTGGTTGTCAGTCTCGGTCAAATGGTTTCGCTCTGCCAAACGCATGAATTCTTCGGTATATTCAGAAACTGAACGGGTGCCTTGCGCACAGCCTAGGTACATACGGTAGAGAATCTGCTCATAATCTGTGGGCAAGAATCGTTCCATCATAAGCGACTTCATCTTCCGCCATGTTTGAACCCGCTGCTTTCCTTGCCTCTGCCGTAAATTTTGCAATTGATCCCACCAAACAGCCGCTGTAGCTTTAAGACGGAAAGCTACCATCTTCACCATCTTATGCTCAGGAACCTCCATAATATCGAAAAACCTCTCCACTTCTACAAGCCAATCCAAGAAGTCTTCAATCTTCAGATTTCCCCAAAAGTTAGGAATTTCTGCTTTAATCCGATAGTCGCCAAAATTCTCGTAATTACGATTACGATTACGAGGATTATTAGCCGGTGGTGGTGGTTCTTCAAGTTCTTCTTCTGACCCTGACTCACTATCCGGAATAAGTTGCCTCCTATTATCTCTTCTCTCGCCATCTCTACCTTCTCTTCGATTATCATCCCTGCCTTCTCTTCTTTCGTCATCCCTGCCTCCTCGCCTATGGTTGCCACCAAGAGCTTGCAACAACAATTCTCGCATCTCCCCAAATTGGGTGGTTAGGTTGTCGATCCGTTGGTTTTGAGCGTCCAGATCCGCTTGAGTAATTGGGGCTGGGACATCAGCTTCACGATCACCCATGATAAGACAAGAATACCAAGACGGGAGACCCGCTCTGATACCACTTGACGCAGCACAAGCAAATAAGGTTTCAAACGAAACCTTGAGTAACAAGGAAACTGGAATCCACCAGAAATTAAGAGAAACTCTCTTTGATTAATTTGATTAAAATCTGAACTTTTTCAAAAAACGTTAGACGAACCCGTCTAAATACACAACTCTCAACCCTTGTAACTGCTAGGGGAGTTATTACAATAAAACTGAAAAACAGAATTAATTCGGAGACTTAACTACGTAACTCCGAAAAAAAAAAAAAAAAAAAAAAAAAAATTGAATTTTGGGAATTAACTATGTAACTCCGAAACGGAAAAACAGAATTTATTTGGAATTAACTTCGAACTTTGAATGCAGTTTTGAAAGGCCAAACGACTCCAGAATGCCAAAATCCATCGTACATCACAGCAAAGCTGTGAGTTTGACTCGTGGCATCGTTCCCTTTCCGAAATGGTATTTTGTTCCCTAATCGGAGCTCAGACGACAATTCTGCAAATTCCCACCACGTCCCTTTTCTTGCTCAACCGCGATAAAATCTGCCATCTGTTCTACATCACAACCGATACTTGGACATCGGTTCAAAATGTGAATTACATGGTGTTGACTGCCCACTTTGTGGATTCCAACTATAAAATGCACAAAAGGATCCTAAATTTTTGTGTAATTGATAGTCATAAGTGGGAGAGCATTGGGAAATTGCTTGAAAATTGCTTGATTGATTGGGGACATGAGAAGATACTCACAATTACTGCAGATAATGCAGCTGCCAATACTAAGGCAATTGAATATGTGAGGAAGAAAATAAATGGGTGGAAAGATTTGAATAGTGTGTTAGGAGGAGTTCACATGCATATGAGGTGTAGTGCTCATATAATCAACTTGATAGTTAAGGAGGGTTTGAAGAGATTAGAAAGCTCAATTGTGGCAATCCGTAATTCGGTCAAGTTTGTGAGGTCCTCACCTTCTCGGTTGAGTTACTTCAAAATGTGTGTTGAGACGAAAAAAATAGAGTGCAAGGGGTTGGTGGTGATGAGGATGTGCCCACTAGGTGGAACTCCACTTATTTGATGCTTGATGCGGCATTGAAATTTCGAAAAGCCTTTGATAGAATGGGGGATGATCCCGATTCTTCCTACTTAATGTACTTCAAGGAAGATGAAGGAGATGATGAGAGAATTGAAGGCATTGAAGGAAGTGGGAAAGGGAAGGGAAAGTCTAAGACTAATAAGAGGGTGGGTCCACCTAGTGATGAAGATTGGGAAAAAGCCGTGACATTTGTGATGTTTTTGAAGACCTTCTATGATGTCACGTTGAAAATTTCAGCTTCTTTGCATCCAACATCACACTCAACCTTCCATGACTTGCTTGCCATAGATGGGGAGATTCGGGAGTTATATAGATATGATGTTACAATTCCTATTGAAGAACGGACAGCCATGGATACTCTTTTAAATGATATGGCAGCATCAATGAAGAAGAAATATGATAAATATTGGGGGTGAAATTCATAAAGTGAACCCATTCTTGATGATAGGAGTTGTGATTGACCCCCGATTCAAGCTTCGCAATTTGAAGCACATCTTTGAAGAAATATTTGAAAATGATCCTACTTGTGAAAGATTGGTGGCTCAAAAGACAAATGAAGTGAAACAACTTCTTATGAATATGTATGAAGTGTATAAGCCTAGTAGTAACAATATGGGTGCTACTAGTACTACCAATGAAAGTGGTGGTAGTACTAACAATGAAACCAACTCTTCTTTGGTTTTTGGAGGTCGTAAGCGAAAAACCATGATGGAAAGGTGGAAAAAAATTCAACAAGAGAGTGAGAATGTGGTTATAACACATGAAGTGGATAGGTTCTTGTTGGATCCACTTGAATCCATTGATGAGGAGTTTGATATACTAGGGTGGTGGAGAATAAATGGGCTCAAGTATCCTACTTTGGCATCAATTGCAAAGGATGTGCTTGCAATCCCTACTTCCACAATAGCTTCGGAGTCTTGTTTTAGCACAAGTGGGAGAGTGATTGACTCGTTTCGAAGCTCATTGTCTCCTAGGATGGTTGAGGCTTTGATTTGCTCTCAAAATTGGATAAGGTCCGAAGATATATCTTCATTGCAATATGTGCCAAGCATTGAGGAGATGGAGTTCTATGAATCAATTGAAATGGGTAATATTTTCATTTCTATAAGTATATTTGAATCTAATTATTTTCTTATTTTTATGTGTTCTAACTCAAATTGGTTTGATTTATTTTATTATATTTTGTAGAAATGGGGAGTAAAACATCCACGACAAATTTGAATAAGACTCTCCCTTCTTAGTGTGATTAAGATATGTTGGAAGGTATTTTTCTTGCATCTTATGTTAATTATGATTTGTTGATGGTGAAACTTTGTGTTAATTCTTTTAAGTGTTGTGTAGGTTACTTTGTTAAGGCTTTTGGAAGAATGGATGCAGCAGATTTTTTGCAAGGATATTATCTTCATGTGTATTTTTGTGATGGGTTGTAATATTTAATTTCATAAGTTTAATTTGGTTTGTGTATTATTTTTTGTAATGGTTTGTAAGAGATTATATTTCTTTTCCTTGTTTGGTTGGTTGAATGTGTGTATGTGAGATTTATTTAGTTTAGAAACTTAGATTGGAATGATGGACTTTTATAGGTTGAATTTACATAATTTCATGTTTTGAATGTGAGATTTATTTAGTTTAGAAACTTAGATTGGAATGATGGATTTTTATAGGTTGAATTTTCATAATTTCAGGTTTTGAAAGTGAAGTAAAAGGTGTTTTTGGCTTGTTCATAAGAATTGAATAGGTTTTGGCAATTTGACAACAAAAAAAGGGTTTTGGGGCTGAAAGTGAATTTGAGTTGGGCTTTATTTGGCTAAAAAAATATGATTTGGGCTTTTTTTTTGTGCAAATAAATACAATTTGGGCTTTTTAAAATGGTCAAAATGGGCTCAGGCCCAAACCGAACAGAACTGGAACCGACCCGAGAACCGAGCCTATTTTCGGTTTGGCCCATTTTCGGGTTTCTTCCTAGACCCGACCCGAACCGAGAACTGAACTCTCCTTCGGTTTGGCCCGCGAGTCGGCCAAAATTTGACCCGACCCGAATCGTGCCCAGGCCTAGCTCGGAAGATGTGGAGTAGTGGCCATGGTTCTTAGCTTTATTTAGACAAATAATTTTCAAAAAGCTTTTATTTGTTTTTTGTTTAGGATTTTTATTTCTTTTTAGCTTTTAGCTTTCAATACGGATTTTCCGTTTTTGTCGTTGTGCGTCGGATTTGTATTGTCTACATGTGCTTCTGGTTGCTAGATCAGGGATTTAGTCATTGTTTGGGTTGTGCGTGATTCTGTTCAGATCAATTCAACATGTTGTTGTGTTTGGTCACTGGATAAGATTTACACATATTCGGCACATAGTTGCTTTGTACTTTTTTTATTCATCAATAATATACTATCGCTTATTTTCAAAATAGATAAATAGTTATATCTTCTTACATCTTTTTTTACATACTCAAATAATATAAAATGGATCAATTTAATAATACTAAAAATTGTACCATTGAAACATTCTTAAAGAGATCTTTAAAAAGAGACTAATTTTGCATTTATTTGAAAAATAATAATAATAATTTCATGCCAAACTTTTATATTTGGATTTTTTTTCTTTTTCAAAAATATAGGCAAAGAAAAGTTCAAGTATTCACTCTACACATATATTAATTGTTGTATTAACGGTATAATGTATTAATTGTTGTCTTTTTTCTATTTTTTATTGGCAAGTGGGTCCCATAGTTAGGCTATTGCAATTCAATAGAGGGTTCGTCACTTAATACCTTATATTGCAATTTCATGTATTGCAACGAACTAAAATTGTATTGATCTTAACTATTGCAGATACTCTGAGAGTTGTGTGTGAAGGCTATGGAAAATCCAATGGAAAATCAAGAATCCTCATGTGTACTCATTTTTCTTTTTTATTTCTTAATAAACCCTTTTAAAAAATAAAAATAAATAAACGTAGTCACTTTTCTTATCGTAATGTTAGGGACATCATATTCGTGCACCAAATTTGAGTCTCAAATGATGTAACTCACGCCATATCATCACTTTTACTTAATAAAATTGCCAATATGTATTATTCTAAAAAGAAAAATTAAAAAACCATGTAAGTTTATTAATCCAAAAGTCTCAAACTTAATTACCACCATGTTCCACCACAACCAGTCCTACCGCCGCTGCACCTTTACCATCAACTCAGCCTGCCCCAAGTCAAACTTCATAGATTCGTTCAAGCAGCAAAAGTGTTGTAAACAAAATTTTGGTAAACGATAAAATCTTCTAAATATTTTCTTTATATAAAGTTTTGATCAATAGAAACATATTCCTAGTGCACTATGTATAGTTTTAAATAAATAAAAAATGAACAATTCTGATTCACCACCAAATCACGAATTTTTTCAAACTTGTCAGATCTAAAAGCTTTTATGTTTTTCTTGTAAGGTATATTCCATTAGAATTGATAGCCCAGCAATCGGTCATACACAATCCATCCTCTTAAATTGTTTGGGATGATAGGGCGATGTAGGTTCTACGTGATGTACTAAGAACATATATAAAAAAATTGTGGCTGGGGAGATGGCGGCGACTAGTTTTGGGATTTCAGTTAATATTAATGCTTTAAATTTTTTTTTAAGAAATTAATTTCTGTAATTAAAACATGTTGGCAATTAATTGATGATGTGTCATTTGTCACATCAATTAGGGCTCAAATGTGGTGCACAAATTTGATATTTCTAGCATTGTTCTAAGAAGGCGAATGGTACAACTTGCAAGTGGGGTTGTGCCAAAGCTAATATATATATATATATATATATATATATATATATATATTTGATAGAGATAATTATTAATTATCGGATAATTTTTCTATCTTTTTCTTTTCAATAAGGATGATGTTCTAAATTATTTTAATATAGAGGGAGGTTTAAACTTAAATGCAAGATGAGCACATTGTCTTAGCCAATTGGCCTAACCTACATTTATGAACAATTGTTTTAATTTTTTTCTCTTATCAAATGGCATGGTATTATTTACGAAAACACTCCATTAAAGATTTTATATTGAGGATTAGTCAAGAATTTCTAATATCATCTATTGGATCGCATGAATGAAAAACAGGTAATCCACTAACATATCTCATGGATGGCTAATGTATGTAAATGTGAAATACCTTCAATCTTGGGCCTAGCTATAAAACAACTTGGATAAAGGTCAACAATAAGTATAGCTATAAAACAACTTGGATAACATACATAAATATAAGGTTTTCAAAATGCTGAGAAGGGTGAAGCGACCCTTGTGGGCCTTGAGCATGGTATTTCAACATTTTTAAGCATGGTATTTCCGAAAATTCTGTGGTGCATCGGCTGTACCGGTACAGCCGATGATCCAACGGCTGAGATTCCATGTTAAAAAAGCATGGCTGAGATTGAATGACTTAATAACCTGTTGAGCCCTAGTTATTGAACATGTGAGTGGCATGTGAGGAAAGAGAAAGGGAGGTTTGGAGGATGAAGAAGACGCGCAGAGAGAGGCAAGATGAAGAAGACGCGCAGGTTTGGAGAAGAAGACGCGCGCTCTCCCCTGTAGTTGGCAAAATCGAAAATTCTAAGACTCCATCCAATCTTTAGCGCCTCCAGGAACTCTTCTCTTTGCTTGCCCAAATCCAATCCCTAGCTCCTCCAGGAACTCTTTTCTCTGCTTGCCCACTGTCTCTGCTTGCTGAAGAACTCTTGGATCTGCTTCACCAGGAAGTCATCTCTCTCAGTTGCCCAAATCCATCCTAAGCGCGTCCAACTCTTATTTGTGCTTGGGCAAAACGCATCTGCAAGAAGGTAATGCTCATTGAATTGAGGTCCTCAACTCTTCTCTCTGGTTGCCCAAAACTCATATGCAGATACGGAATTGATGGTGGGTCCAACCTCCATGATGAAATGGGCATCAAATTGGAGTTATTGAATTAATTCAGTTTCTTCTGTTGGCATTGTCTGATATAGAATTTCAATTTCGTAGGGGAATGGATTTGTAATAACAACGTGGTTGTAAAGATTTTGAAGATCCTTGGCTGTTAACGACGACATTTGAGTTGGTGGCAAAAGGAAGTGCAAGGAGGAGGCTTTGAAAGTATGGAAACATCAAGTAAGATTTCAAAGAAACCTCTTTTCTGGTTTAGGACTTGAATGTATTTTGGGTAATGAGTTGATCCAATTGCATGTTTTTTGTTGCGAAATAGTTATACGTGGTGCAATTATTGACCTGACTATATGCAATTGCATGAGATTATTCATTTGTGTTTTGTTAAGAGAAAGTATGTTAACACATAGAGTATAATGTAATTTCAGTTTGAAATTATGTTTCTCAGGCATAGAGGGGTGTGGTAAGATGGACAAGGGGTGTAGAGACATCAAAGGGTGGTTGTAGTGATTCAGGGTATCTGGGTGGTTGTGAAAGGTCGAGTCACAGGGCACCGGCAACAGAGAGTGGGCATATGTCGGTCGAACATATGGTTAGTCAAAGTAATGATGATAATGTTGTTGACATGATTGCACCGAGGAAAGAAGATGTTATGGGGAAAGAGTTTAAAACGATCGAATTAGCGGAAGAATATTATATGAGTTATGCAAAGGGCATTGGATTTAGCGTGAGAAAAGACAAATTGGTTCGAAATTCGGAAGGGAAAGTATGTAGGAGACGGTGGTGTTGTTCTAAAGAAGGTTTGAGAAATGAGAAGTTTAATGATCGATCAGATAGAATTCGACCACCGAAGGCAATTACAAGAGAGAATTGTTCTGCCCATTTTTGGGTGGGTTATGAGAAGAAACGTGATGTTTACGTTGTTAGGAATTTTGAACCACATCACAATCATCAACTAGCTACTCCACTTGAATCGCCATATCTCCGATGTAACCGTGTCGTTACAAAATCCGATTTAGCACAAGCAGTGGGAATGCGAAGAGCATTGTTTAGAACATGTCAAACATATGAGTATATGGTGGACCAATGTGGTGGGTATTTAAATGTTGGTTTTCAAATAAAGGATCTGTACAATAAGTTGGATGCATCACGCAGGGAAATTTTACTCGACGGTGACACAGAAGCCGCACTCTGTTACTTGAAAGCGAAAGGAGCAATGGATCCAGAATTCTTTTGTAAGTTCAGTGTTGACGAGGAAAATAGGCTTGGTAATTTGTTTTGGAGGGACTCCACTTCACTTTTGGATTACATTGCCTATGGCGACGTCCTCATATTCGACAGCACATACAAAACAAATGTTTATGACAAGCCCCTAGTGTTGTTTGTCGGTTCGAACAACTATCGGTCTACTGTAATGTTTGGTTGCGCATTATTGCAGGACGAGACATTTGAAACTTACAAGTGGTTATTGGAAACATTCATGGCATCCATGAAAGATAAGAAGCCAATATCAATATTGACGGATGGCGATGAGGCGATGCGTAAAGCCATTGATGATGTGTTTCCCATGTCTAACCATCGGTTGTGCTCATGGCATGTGTCAAGGAATGCACAGAATAACTTGAAGGATGATGAATTGCTGAGAAATTTTCAGGCATGTATTTGGGAACCATTTGCATTGGACGAGTTTGAGAAGAAATGGGAGGTTTTGAGGGAAAGAGCGAGTACTCCAAACAAAAAGAATGGTTGGAAATGATGTATGAAAAAAGAGACTCATGGGCTGAATCATGTATGAGAGGAAAGTTTTTCGGTGGTATGTGCACCACTCAACGTGTGGAGTCCATGAACAAGTATGTGAAAGATTACTTGAGGAAAGGCGTGAAGTTGTTTGAATGTATTCCAGCAATCGATAGGGCTATGTTACGTCTTAGGAATAACACGGCGAAGGATGGTTTCAACGCAAAGTACTCAACACCAGTCCTTAAAACCGCATTGACAAAACTAGAGCAACAAGCTTCTCTGATTTACACGCATAGGTGCTTTGTATTGGTACGTCATGAGATCGAATCTTGTTCAGCACTCACCCATGATAATGTGATGCATAATTTTGGAGGTCGTGTATACGTATTGTCCAAATATGGTGAACCGCATAATAATTGGACTTGTGTTTACCACGGTGGGGAAAATATGCGGATAGAGTGTGGATGCCGAAAATATGAAAGTGAAGGGATCCCGTGTTGCCACCTGTTTTATGTTATGAAGTGCGAGCACCTTACGGAAATTCCTCCAGCACTCATAATGAAGAGATGGACAAAGAGTGCCCAAACTGATACATGTATGGAATTTATCGGCAAAGGTAAAGACACTACCAACGAAGTTGTAGAAATGGCGAGGTATGGAAGTTTAAATGCTATGTCAAACAAAGTTTGTTTTTATGCATCGAAGAGTGCAGAGGGTTATGCCATGTTGATGAATGAGTTTAGTAGATGGGAGGGAATTTGTGAAGGCTTACGGCAAAAGGAAGAAGAGACAAGTCTGAAATTGGGTACTGCTGACCAATGTCCTACAAATATTGTGAAAGATCCAAATATTGTTAAGACAAAAGGCACTCAAGCAAGGCAAGGTGGAGCGCGCAAGCGTCGACAATGTCATTTGTGTCGCGGATATGGACATACAAAGCGTAATTGCTCTCAAAGAAACTTGCATCCAAGTAGAAATGCATGTGTCAATATCCCATCAGGTAGTGAAAGCTATCAGTATAGTTCTGATAAAGGGCCGTCCCCGGACATTAGCTACAGTTATCCTAGTCAAATGGTTTCTCAATGCAGAGGCAACTATGTGGTTGATTTGTCTGGTTCTGATAGTTTTTCTACTGCAGACCCAACCGGTTCTACCCTGAACAGTGACGATGGTTTCTCATTCGACAATGGTGAACCTAATTCCCTAGGTACTGGTTCAACCCAAAACAATTGTAGTTTTGGAACTTGGTTTACATGTAACAATTAACATTAAATGTAGATTTAGTGATGGACAATGTGCTTTCATATGACTGTCGTATTATTGCTTTATGTATGTATTGTTCAAAACAAAAGTATTTGCTTGGTTATCTTTGGCGTTGCGCTAGACATTAATTAGGTTTGCGTTTTTAAGGTATGTTTAGTTTGCCCACAGCCGGTCGGCATTTGCATTCCACACGTGCAATTGCATGACGGTGATGCAATGCAAGAGCGACTGTGCGCAAACCAATAATAAGGAAAAATGGATCATATTTTTTTTTACAGGCATAATTTGACCTTTTTTTTGAACTATAAATCGAAGGGGCAAAATGAACCGAAATACAGAGCATGTAAATAAATGGTAAGGGGCAATAAGCCGAACATATTATATTACAAAACGGCCAATGATCGAAATTACGTACTAATAGACATTGCCATTTAGCAGAAATGAATTCCCAAAAGATCCCGAATTTCGTAAAACACAATGTGATTAACCCTAATTTCAATAATAGACATAGGGTCGTAACAACGTATTTATTTGGATTTCGTTGTGTTTGCGCTATACATTAAATAAGTTTGCGTTTTAAAGCTATGTTTAGTTTGCGCACAGTCGGTCAGAATTTGCATTGTAAACATGCAATTGCACGACGTTGATGCAATGCGAGAGTGACTGTGCGCAAACCCATCATAACCAATAATTGATCTTTTTTTTTCGGTACAGGCATAAGTAGACCTATTCTTTAACTATAAATCGAAGGGCGAAATCAACAGAAATACAGAGCATTCAAATAAATGCTAAGGGTTGGGCTATAAGCCGAACATATTCTATTACAAATCGACCAATTATCGAAATGACATACTAATACACATTGTCATGTAGCACAAATGACTTTCCAAAATATCCTGAATTTCGTAAACCAAAATGTGATTAACCCTAATACAAAAATAATACATAGAGGGTCCTAATCAAATTTGGAACTTCCTTTTCTTTGTCTTTGCACTATCCATTAATTAGGTTAGCGTTTTGAAGCTAGCTTTAGTTTGCACACACCCGGTCAGCATTTGCATTGTGGACATGCAATTGCACGACGTTGATGCAATGCGAGAGTGACTGTGCGCAAACCCATCATAACCAAAAATTGATCTTTTTTTTTCAGTACAAGCATAAGTAGACCTATTTCTTTAACTATAAATCAAATCAACAGAAATACAGAGCATTCAAATAAATGCTAAGGGTTGGCCTATAAGCCGAACATATTCTATTACAAATCAACCAATTATCGAAATTACATACTAATACACATTGTCACGGGCACAAATGACTGTCCAAAATATCCTCAATTTCATAAACCAAAATGTGATTAACCCTAATACAAAAATAATACACAGAGGGTCCTAATCAAATTCGGAACTTCCTTTTCTTTGTCTTTGCACTATCCATTAATTAGGTTAGCGTTTTGAAGCTACCTTTAGTTTGCACACACCCGGTCAGCATTTGCATTGTAATCATGCAATTGCACGACGTTGATGCAATGCGAGAGTGACTGTGCGCAAACCACTACAGAGGAAAAATGGATCCATTGAAGGCCGCAAAATGAACCGAAATATACTACATGAGAAGCGGTAAGGGCCAATAAACTGAACATATTACTTTACAAAACGAAGATACCATGATCCGAAAAATGTCACTGTATCCATAATTTACATGGTTTTCTTTCTCTTTGGGGTATGTGAACGAAGACTTTTCTCACCTTTGCGTTTTTGGTCTGTGGAGTGTTGTTCTGCATCCGGATTACCCTCATCCGCATCCTCGTCCTCATCCGCATCCTCATCCTCATCCCCCGTCTTCGATCCAAACTTCCTCGTCATCTCCCTCTTCATCTTCATCTTCCTCTTCTCTTCCTCTTCCTCTTCCTCTTCTTCTTCCTCTTCTTCTTCCTCTTCCTCTTCCTCTTCTTCTTCCTCTTCCTCATCTTCTTCATGCTCTTCTTGTATCACAAGTTTGGTCTTTCCCTTTCTACCTATGTCATGTTTAAATTTTGTGCGAAACTCCTACATAAAGAGAAACATTGACATATATAAATAAACAATTTTGTTCACATTTGTTGTGCACACAAGTGATGCTGGTTTGCATTGCAGAATGTAACATATTATTTAAATTTGCAAAATTGAACATCTTATACATCGAACTTTACAATGGAGGTTGGAAGTAACAAACTTACATGTTCTACATCATCATCTACGACGTGTTGAACAAGACCCGAACTCGCAATGGTTGTTCCCGAGGTGTTCTTCAATTTCTCCTATTACAAGATAACATCGTTCATGTTCAATACCATGGTTTGTTATCTGATTATAACATTCGTGATGTTTGGTAATTTTATGAAATGAGTATGAAATGAAGTTGAACTGACTCAATCTCTTGCCGTAGGTGCCTGTTCTCTACGCTTGCTTCCGATGTAGTTGAAAATAGTACAGCATTCAACCCAGCAATTAGGTCCAAAAGCTCGGTTGCAGCTTCAGCAGTGACCTACATTACGGCACATGTAATTACAACAATGACCACCGGAAGCCCTCATGTATTAATAAATTATGCAATAGAAGCTACTTACATGCGTGACACCATCAGGTAATGGTAGATCTGGGCTATCTTGGCCACGGGGTATCCGCACAAGTTTACTTTCATTTTCAGTGGCCCAGTATGGTATTCGCGCTGACCATGGCTGAGGAGAGATGTTTGCTACCCTTATCTTGGCCCCTTCCGGAGTTCGATGTTGTTCTTCCTGTGGAATTCAGGTATCATTTTAGAATTTTGAAAAATATAGGCATTTCATGCAGCAAGTGTAATTACATAACACGCGTTCAGTGTAGAACGTACTGCTTCACGTAAGTCTGCATAGTGGCGATACCGTATGTACTCATCTCTGTACTGGGCATAGTCGAAGAATTTGCAAGCCATTCAGAAGCTGGGTGCCCATTCAGTGCTTCCTCGACTTCTAACTCATCAGTGAGTTTATAATCCGAAAGCATTGTCCTCGGTGGAATTTTCGGTACTTGAGGTTTTGAGGTGCCTAAACTTTGCATTGCGACTCGCTCTCCCAAAAACCAGGCTGAACCAGTTGGGTCCCTCAAGTAGGATTCGTTTACGAGTTGCCGACACGGTATTTTTTACTTCTTCCGGCAACTCGGATTCATTGGTCCCCCATGGGTTCCAATTTACCTGCAATACAAATTGCTTACATTTGCGAATCATACATTTTTGTGGGTCATAAAATATGGGTTCAAGAGTCAAGGCTTTATACCTGATCCTTTGTTAGATGTCGCATCATCACTCTAAAATGTTCCAAGTGATGTTGCAAGTCCCGCTTTGATTTTGCACCAACCCACCTCAATGTTCGGGGCCACGTGTTCACGGTCCCACTGGGCCTTGATAAAGCAAACGGTTTTAGGTACTCGCAAGCCCATACCTACACAAAAGAAGTATACAAATTAGTAATGTAAGCAAAAAAGTATGTTTGCACTTTGGGGACATTCAATTCGATTACACTAACCTCCCATGCCCTCCAATACCCGCCCATGCTCGATGACCTTCCCCTGGAACAAGAATCCAGTGATCTATACAAGCAAGCCAAAGCCGCACCGCCCTAGTCGTATTTACCAATGTCTGATATTATTTCCAAACAGGGGGCGTAGTGCATACTCACGTATTGGCTCTTATCATTTAGGAATGAGGAGCCAATCAAGCAGAGTATAAATGCCCTGGCAATTTGGTCTGCTTCTTTATCATCTTTCGGAATCTTGTTCCAATACGGGGTGCAAAGGCTTTCATACAGCACTCTCCTTTCCCCTTGCTAGTAGGTCTGCGATCGGTTTCCCAAACAATTTCATCATCTTGTTCTTATTTTTGTACATCTCGAAGTCGTACTGTAAACACTTCCCACCAACACGCAATCTAATGATTGCTGCGAAGTCCGTTGGTGTCATCATCATCTCTCCAACTTCATCGAAATGGAAGGTGTGGGTAGTGTCCCACCATCTCTCCGCTAAGGCCACAAGTAATGGCCTGTCCCCTTTCTTACCATGGCCCAATATTGACAAAAAGGGCACAAATCCAGCTTCTTTCACCTTTGCTTTCACTGTGTCGTGCATTCCTACGTTATACCATTCAGCACACTTATCGTTGTTTCCACACCCTCTGATTTTTGTTAAAGTCAGCTACAGAAAACACAAAGGGTTAGTACAACGAATTTGATTCTGACCCACTTACTTACAAATTATTCCAACATGAGAAATGCCAATTGTAAAATTAAATAAGAATACCTTGAAGGAGATATGTTCCTCCAAATCGAAGTGAAGAAACGGTGATCAAGGATTGCGGTCCCTTGGTTTGAAGACACGTACCCCGAACACCCCACTAGCCATAGGACCCGATATTCATTTTCCTGGCTTTCGTTGTTTTGAGCTTGAGGAAGCCACTGAAGAGTTACCTTTCGTACCCTTTGCAACTGTGGTCTTCGGGGCCCGAGAACCTTTATGAGATGCTCCTCCCTCATGTTCTTCGTCCTCATTATTCCTTCGACTATCCTTCATTATTGATTTAAAACAGCAAACAATGAAACAGATTATGTCTACCTCAACATCAAACAATATAGTAACTCTTTTGACCAAAATAAAACAATAGAGTAACATGACATAATCTTAACATACATTGAAAAACATTTCACAAGCTTCCGCACTCATTGCAGTAGAAGGATGCAGACAAAATAACAGAAAAACACACAAACACACACACATTGCTCCAACAAAACCCACAAGCATCAATACATACCATACCAAACAAAACAGCCACATGTAATACACTACATGAAAATTCACAAAGTGAAAATCAATATGCAGTCTCCACAGTGTACTTTTTATGACAATCTCCCTTCATTATTTATGAAATAGTAGATTTGCAAACATTAAGAAAGCAAGGCCAACCAAAACTCTAAACACAAACATAACATAAGTCATAACTTCTATTTTCCCCAGAAATCACTACTTTGATTGATGCCATAAGGAAAGCTGCAATCAACCAAATCTAATTCCCTAAACAAATAATGAGCAGAAATTTTGCTTCATAGTATTAGTACCTCTACCTTCTCACCCCCATCCCCATAAAAGTTATATATCCACAACAAATAATTTGTGTCTCTGTCTTTTATTACGTAAACTCCACAACAGATAATTTGATTAGTTTCTTATGTTCAATCATCAATCTAAAAGCTCCTCCACATTCTAATTGTTCTAATCAGCAGCAGAAAATGACAAAGAAGAACCATGTCTCATCCCTCACACGTTTCTAATTTGGACACAGAATTTCCATTCCAATGCTGTTTCTTCACGGGCCCATAAGAAAACAGAAAAAAAATAAAAATAAAACAGGCATCAAAGTTTGATATAATTCCCTAATTACATGAACAATTTTCTTATCTTATTTTTAGAGCTAAAAACAACATCATAACAGCATACAATCATCTGAATTTAGGAGTTTTGGGTTGAGTAAATAGTCCAGCAAAAAACGCAAACAGAGATTGAAATTTTCAGAGACTAAATCGCTCAATATAAGTCAATGAAAATGCAAACAGAGATTGGAAATAACAATATTGAAGATTAAGCATTTACAGAAGAGTGAGAAATTCACCTTTGGTAGAGACAGAGTCTTCAATGGCAAAGTGAGGAGAAGGAGTGCGCGGCTGCGTCAAGGGGAGAAACAAAAGAGTGCGTCTGCTCGAAGCTGCAACCTACTCCGTTCATATGGATGATGATCTGCACGAACTGCTGATGGAGGACAGAGATGGTCAGATAGATAATCAAAGGGGGAAAAGAAAGAAAAAGAAAAGAAGAAAAAAGAAAGCCACATTCGAACCTGCTTGCGTGACGACGGAGCGACGACTGAGAGAGCTTCGACGGCGCGACGGCTGAAGAAGAACAAGGATGAGGTTTCAGTTTCACGCAGAGAGAGAGAGAGAGAGAGGAAAGCAAATCGAAGAAGGAAAAGAACGGAAAAGAAACCTAAGTCTGTTTTAGTTGTGGATGATCCTGTGTGTGTGTGTGTGTACGGTAAAATTTTAGACTCCCAATACAAAACAGCCACATGTTAACTATATATATAATATATAAAATATAAATATATAGAATATTAAAATATATATGAATGACTAATATTATTTAGCTAGTTTGTTAATTATATACCAAGACTTATCACAAACCTTCCTTTAATTCTAAAAATCTATATTTTAAATACGTGCTCATCTTTCTAAACCTCAGTTCTCGACAATATATATATATATATAATAACGTGTATAATATGGTTTTGATATGAAAACCTCAACAAATTTTTCAAACCCTTCTGGATACCTGTTTACTCAGCCACGCCGACGAGATAAATTAACATATTTGATAAAAACCAAAATCTATAATTCTTCCTTTTCAACCACGAATATGTGTATTAAATATGGACATGGAAATATTATGTAGCTAGTTTGTACCAAGACTTATCACAAACCTTCCTTTAATTCTACAAATCCATATTTGAAATATGTGCTCATCTTTATAAACCTCAGTTCGTGACAATATATATATATATATATATAATAATGTGTAGAATATGGTTTTCATATGAAAACCTCAACAAATTTTTCAAACCATTCTGGCTACCTGTTTAAAACTGACAAAAAATCTAGGGTTGGCCTTTATGGTTAACATTGAATTGGGTTTAGGGTTAGGGTTCAAAGTATGGTTTATGTTTAAAATTGTATTGGATTTAGGTTCTACAGACACTAGAGCTTGGGTTTTAATATCTGTAACTGTTTCAAGTAGTATGTAACTATTATATATAATTTTTAAAAGTAGCGATACTTGTACAAATAATTACAATTTCGAATGTCCATTAATTAGGAAAAATATTTTTTTGATTTTTTTGAAAAAAAAACACTGAAGGAAATGTTTTTTGCAACAAAAAACAAGGTTATTTGAGGGAAGTATTTGTTGTAATTTCAAATGTTGAGATAAATAATTTTTGAAGGAGTTTATTCCAAATGGGACAATTTTACCCCTAAATGTTTCTATAAAACAACCTGTCATGTCCAACCAAATTTAGAGCATATTATCATTCACACTCTAACTTATCTATCTTCACCAAACACGGGATTGTGTTATTGATGCGAACAAAGGCCCAAGGCTCTGCAACTGAAGAAGTGAAGGAGTCGGTTCCCGTGGTGCATTATGTGCCAAAAATAATGGCACGATTATGTCCTCTGAGGGAACATAGTTTGCCACCCTCTCATCCGATGGACCCACCTCTGCCTATTATTGAGGCTAACTTGTACTCATATGTGCCGGAGTATGAGGATCTGGAAGCCCTTACGTGTATGATGACAGAATGAGGACCAGGAACCCCTCTGCAATTATACGTTAGTATCTTACCGTCTTTGTTGTTGGGTTAAGGTTAAGTTCATCCACTTGTATCGTCATATGTTTTATAGCTAGTTTTTCACACGAATGTAACAGGTGCATTCGTTGAGGAAAGTTTTTCAAACAAACGCGGAGATTATTCAATGAAACGCAAGGGTTTGGTATTGTTCGGAAATATTCGACGTTTCGCCGAAAAAGAAGGCCAACAAACTTACTTTTTAAAACCAACATTAAATAAGTTCAGAGGAACGAAAGACGTGCGTATCTAGAGAATAGTTACCCGTTCGCCTAAAATATGCGCCAACCACGTTACTGTTCTAGTGAACGTAATGCTTGCTTTTGTACAGTAAAGTTACCCGTTCAACAAAAAATGAGCCCAATGAACTGACTTTTTCAAAAAAACGGAAACATTGTTCAACCGAACGCAAAGGTTTGCTTTCGTTCAAAAATGTTTGACGTTCCGCTGAAAAAGAGGGCAAAAAAACTTATTTTTCAAACGAACATGGTATTTGTTCACACGAACGCAATGCGTGCGTTTCGGCAAAAAAGTTACCCTTTCGCCGAAACAATGCACCAACTAACTTACTTTATCAAACAAACGGGTTACTTTTTCACTCCAACACAACACATACGTTCGTTAAGGAATCATTTCTGTTCGCCCAAAAAAGATATCCAACCAACTTACTTTTCCATACAAACGAAGTATTGTTCTAGCAAACGGAAGAGTTGCGTTGGATCAGTAAAATACCCGTTCAACGAAAAATGGGCCCAATTAACTAACTTTTTCAAACAAACGGGGAGTGTGTTCAACCGAACGCAAGGGTTTATTTTCGTTCACAAAAATTCTACGTTCCACCGAAAAAAAAGGCCAACAAACTTACTTTTGCAAACAAACGGGATTCTTTTTCACACAAACAAAATGGGTGTGTTCGTTCAGTAAAGTTACTCGTTCAACGAAAAATGGGCCCAACTAACCAACTTTTTCAAACAAACAGGGAATGTGTTCACCCGAACACAAGGGTTTATGTTGCTTCAGAAAAATTAAATGTTACACCGAAAAGAAGCCCAACAAACTTACTTTTGCAAACCAACGGGCTTCTTTTTCACACAAACGAAACACGTAGTGCGTTCAGTAAAGTTACTCGTTCAACGAAAAATTGGCCAACTAACTAACTTTTTCAAACAAACGGGGAGTGTGTTCAACCCAACGCAAGGGTTTATTTTCGTTCAGAAATATTCTACGTTCCACCGAAAAAAGGCCAACAAACTTACTTTTGCAAACCAACGGGATTCTTTTTCACACAAACGAAATGGGTGTGTTCGTTCAAAAGATACTCGTTCAACGAAAAATAGGCCCAACTAACCAACTTTTTCAAACAAACAGGGAATGTGTTCACCCGAACGCAAGGGTTTACATTGCTTCAGAAAAACTTAAACGTTACACCGAAAAAGAAGCCCAACAAACTTACTTTTGCAAACCAACGGGCTTCTTTTTCACACCAACGAAACACGTATGTTCGTTCAGTAAAGTTACTCGTTCAACGAAAAAGGGGCCCAACTAACTACTTTTTCAAACAAACGGGGAGTGTGTTCAAGCGAACGCAAGGGTTTATTTTCGTTCAGAAAAATTCTACGTTCCACCGAAAAAAAGGCCAACAAACTTACGTTTGCAAACCAACGAGAACTTTTCACACAAACGAAATGGGTGTGTTCGTTCAGTAAAGTTACTCGTTCAACGAAAAATGGGCCCAACTAACCAACTTTTTCAAACAACAGGGAGTTTGTTCAACCGAACGCAAGGTTTAGTTTGCTTTAGAAAAAATTAACGTTTCACCGAAAAAGAAGCCCAACAAACTTACTTTGCAAACCAACGGGCTTCTTTTTCACACAAACGAAATAAGTATGTTCGTTGAGTAAAGTTACTCGTTCAACGAAAAATTAGCCCAACGAACTACTTTTTCAAAACAAACCTAGTGTTTGTTCAAGTAAACATATAAATTACGTCACTCAGTAAAGTTATCCGTTCCAACACAAATGAGCCCCACGAACCTTCTTTTTCAATCAACAGGAATGGGGTTGCGTTTGCCCAGAAAAATACCACGTTCCCCGGAAAAATAACGCCAACAACAAGGTTTTTCAAACGAACGTGATTGTTGTTGACACTAATGCAAGAGTTACGCTCAATCAGTAAAGTTAACCGTTCCCGGAACCATGGGCCAACGAACTCACTTTTTCAGACAAACGGGTTACTTTTTCACTCCAACGCACTACACACGTTCGTAAGGAACCATTTCTGTTTGCCCAAAAAAGATATCCAACCAACTTTCTTTTCCATAGAAACGAAGTATTGTTCTTGCAAACGGAAGAGCTGCGTTGGATCAGTAAAGATACCCGTTCAACGAAAAATGGGCCCAACTAACTGACTTTTTCAAACAAACGGGGAGTGTGTTCAAGCGAACGCAAGGGTTTATTTTCGTTCAGAAAAATTCTACGTTTCCACCGACAAAAGGCCAACAAACTTACGTTTGCAAACCAACAGGGTTCTTTTTCATACAAACGAAATGGGTGTGTTCGTTCAGTAACGTTACTCGTTCAACGAAAAATGGGCTCAACCAACATACTTTTTCAAACAAACGCAGTGTGTGTTCAAGTAAACATATGAATACGTTCATTCAGTAAAGTTACCCGTTCCAACACAAATGAGCCCCACGAACCTACTTTTTCAATCGAACAGAAGGGGTTGCGTTTGCTCAGAAAAATGCCACGTTCCCCGGAAAAATAACGCCAACAACTAACTTTTTCAAACGAACGTGATTGTTGTTGATGCTATCGCAAGCGTTACGTTGGTTCAGTAAAGTTGATCGTTCCCTGGAACCATGAGCCCAACAAACTTACTTTTTCAAACAAACGGGGTATGTGTTCAAACGAACGCATGGTAGTGCGTTAGTTTAGAAAAAGTAGACCTTCCCCATAAAAAGAAACCCCAGTCAAAGACTTCTACCATATTAGACTACAGATGAAGGATTATTTAAAGAGTTACTTCTATACATTTTAACTCAAAGACTTCCACCTCTTTTACTACGTAAACACAATCTGAGAAAAAAAAAAAAAAAAAACAAACCCAATGTCACATTCAATGGTTGGTAGCTCTCGAGGCTCCTTCACGCCCAAGAAGAAGATGGTGGATGATGATGATGGTGTTGATTCTTCGAATTATGCCCGCGAGCAAGTGAAACGAGCCCATGATGTCACGAAGACTCCCACCGAGACGTGTAAGAACATGTTTCATGAAGGAGATTCAACCACCAGGTACGAACTTTACAATGGCGGGATTGATATCGGCTTTGAGATCTTTAGGAAATACGCTCAATTTGTTGATGTTGGTTCAACTAAGTGGGACAAAATCGAGGTATTCCAAGCAATTGCTATTTTGGAGAAGCGAGCTCCGTGAAGCACCGGTATTTTATAAGTATTGTGTTGTTTGTCATAATTTCGGATGTAATTTCAGATGTTATAATTTCGGCTGTAATATCGGATGTTAGATGTTATAATCAGTATGGTCAAATAGTTTGAGGGTTTAGTTTTGTAACAAAAAAACCCCAACATATGGTTAGGAGACCTTTATTATCAATGAACTAGGCACTCCTGTCTCGTAAATGAAGTCTGGGCCCCAGATATGCTATAATGTTCCCATTCTGGCAACAAAAAAAACTCATGTGTGCAATGTATTACACGAACTAGATAACGTGCAATTGGCCGTGATGTAATGCAATTGTACATGATATATTGCAAAATAATGTCCCCGCATGCAAACAGGGATAAGTACATGCAATTGCACTACATTAACCATCAACCCTATGTGACCTACTGTCAAACTTTCTACTTTGCCTGGGAACGTGTCATTGGCTTCCTTGCGATGGGATGATGAGGGATGAAGGGACCATGTTGTTCAGCCAACTTGTCAAGTCTTCGTCGACAACTCTTCGGCGGACTCCCTTACTTCCTTAGACACGTGTTGTTTGGGTTCTTCAGCAATGATAGTGCAACACGAACCCGCTCAGTTGCATGTGAAACTGCAAATAAAAAAACAAACCCATCAAAGAAATGATTAAGAAAAATATCTGCCGTGGAAGACAAAAGTATGAAACGATATATATGCCGACTCACTTTATTTGAACCGTGTGATGTGCATTCAATATCTTCTAGCCAATTCATAACGAAGATACCACAACGTATCCATTTTGTTGTTTGCGGGCCTGTCAGTTCGCACAATGTTGAATTTTGCAAACTGCCATCCCTTTTCAAAATATTTTACAATCTCATCTTTGTACATGTAGTCCAGAACTTTCATCTACAACACAATCAATTCAAATCAATTCTTAGTCCGGATGTTAGGATAATAAAAAGACAAACCAAAATAAGGTCAATTCAACTTACAATTCGTTCCCCTAGTTGATAACGACCTGCATTGTATCTGGCCCGGGGAGGCTATCCCATATTTCAACCTTTTTATCACCAATATGCACAACTACCAAATACCAATGCTTCCCAATTCGATCGTAAACGGGAATGAAAATCTAGGACCACACTGACTTGCTAGAAAAACACACAAAACAAATGCGCACTAAAGATGTTGTAAAAAAGAACTTAAATTTATACCTTCTGGCACTTGTGAAGGCCTACGGTGAACCGGTTTGAATTTTCCTTCTTAAGTTTGACCCCCAATTCAAAAAGTTGGTCATCACTTGTATTATTAACTTGCTCCTACATTCACATATAGTGTAAGCGTAAAATCATTTACTAAATCACAAACTATAAGAGTTTGAAAAATATGAAGCTTACCGACATATATGTGGGGAAGTACCAATTCCCCGACCCCTTTTCTTGTAGATAATAGACTTGTGCATTCAATACTTGATCATTTATCCACATTTCGGGCCTCAAGCACATGAACTCATTTCTCGTGACATGATGTTCGTTTTTAATTTGAATTATAACTTCATCACTACAACGGAAGAAGAAAGCAATTGGTATAATTAAATTCACATACACGACAACATATAAGGAATTTGGTCGATTTCATAATTCACAGTTGTAAGTAGTTACCTTGGAAGGTTGTTAGACCTAAAATATAACTAAATAACTCAAAATCGGAGTCTTGTAAGTCCCCGTGTTTTAATTTGAAAGGCCCAATTTTAATCTTAGACGCCGTCTTCTGCACAGCCTTTCCTTTGCATTTGAAGGGTCAACCCATGGCTCTCTACAATGAAGCCCTGGACGCCTTTCGGCCGTTCGACGTGTTTTAATGCCACTATAATCACCACGGGCCGATTTTGTGAAATCCTCTTTTCCACGCCAATTTTCAACTGTGGAAAAGGGAATTCAAATATTACATTTAGGAATAAAAAATAATTAAGTATTTTACAACTATGTAAATAAATGCATACTTAATAAATGTAAAAGATAACAACAACTCGATCTTGAAACTCCTAATCGCTCATCATACCTCGGGTTCACTGAAACTCTGTCCATCCGGTAATGGCGTCCAAGGATTTTTTCATCAACTGCACCTTTCTCCTTTAATTGGCTACATTCTTCACCCTTCTTCACAACATTCTCACCACCTTGATCTCGTATTTTCAATGCCCCATCCTCAGTTTCATTTACATCTTCATGTGCGGATGAACATGTTGTCTTGCGTCTTCATGAAGGATCTCATTTCACTCATTACCTCGGTGAGTTCCAACATGATCGCTTCACCTCCGCCTGTATTACCGGGCCAATCTGATAGCAACTTGTTCAACAATTCTTTCAACGTCGACTCCGGACACTTCATTCGTTGGACGGTGCTTTGACACAACCTGAACGGTAGGACTATCAACCCCACCTTGCTTTCTAACCCATTAATCATTTTCCACTTTTTTTTTTTTTTTTTTTTTTTTTTTTTTTTTTTTTTTTTTTTTTTTTTTTTTTTTTTTTTTTTTTTTTTTTTTTTTTTTTTTTTTTTTTTTTTTTTTTTTTTTTTTTTTTTTTTTTTTTTTTTTTTTTTTTTTTTTTTTTTTTTTTTTTTTTTTTTTTTTTTTTTTTTTTTTTTTTTTTTTTTTTTTTTTTTTTTTTTTTTTTTTTTTTTTTTTTTTTTTTTTTTTTTTTTTTTTTTTTTTTTTTTTTTTTTTTTTTTTTTTTTTTTTTTTTTTTTTTTTTTTTTTTTTTTTTTTTTTTTTTTTTTTTTTTTTTTTTTTTTTTTTTTTTTTTTTTTTTTTTTTTTTTTTTTTTTTTTTTTTTTTTTTTTTTTTTTTTTTTTTTTTTGGGGCCCGATTTTTTTGGTTAAGATTTTCTGGGCCATCTTTTTGTGTTGGTGGCGGACCATCCAAGGTGGCTTAGATGTTAGAAGCCTCAAAAGTAGGGCTTAGACGTTCTACTCTGGTTCTTCAGCCATCCCGAGCGTAGAAATTTTGGGTTTGATAAAAAGATTTGGGGACATCAACTCCTTTTAGTAAGGGTTTGAATTAATGCCTCATCGTTCATGTTAAAAAGAAATCTTATTTTGTTACTGTAATATGAATTATGTTTTGCTCAAGAAAATAATTTTCTGTTTAATTAACAAAATAATTTCATGTTTATTTCAAGTTCAGAAATTCCCTTGTTTAGGGATCCTCTTTCTCTACATCTATGAACCATGTTCTGTAATTTTTCATAAAATTTAGATTCTAACATTGTTATGTTATTCATGTTTGTTTGAAATGCTTATTAGAGATTTTTAAAAATAATATTTTGTAAAATATCTATGTTGGTTCTTTTTCATTATTGGTAGAATATAATATTCCTATATTCAAGCCAGGAAAGCTGTAATATCCCTGTACAATTTGAAACTGGTTAATATTTCCTTTAGGCAGATACCAAATGGCACGTCTGCAATCATCTCGTCTCTCTCACCATCACCTACCCCTCCCTTGACCCCAAAACGACGACGTTCACCCACAACGACAGTCATTCCGTCAACCTCCTCCAGGGAGACGTCACCATCCCCATGTCATTTCACGACGTCACTTACAACGTCCTCGTCATCATCTGGCTCATGGACTCCTATCCCAAGCTCCACTCATGTCGATCTCGCCAAGAATCTCAACGTTGTCTTGGGTTAAAGCCTGCATCTGTTCTCCCAGTGCAGGCCCAATCCCAATCCAAATCCTAACCTCTAGGTCTGTCCTCGGCAATTTCGAATTCGGGTTATTCGAGATCTTCGGGCTCAGTTACTCTTGCTGGCCCTCGATCCCCTCGAGAGGGTACCTACCGTCTCGATATGGAAGCAGCAGTTCATTTTCTCATGTTCAAATCAAGGATACAAACTAGGTTTTCAAGCGAAATGCGATCAGTAAGCTTGTGGAGATGGTGCACGGCGACGTTACTCAAGTGACAACTAGTTTTCAAAGTCCTTGTAATATCTAACGTAATATTCCTTGCAATAAGTGGTAGGATTTGTGCTTTCCATTTTGTGCTAAGCCAAATTAAGAAGAAGGGAAAAGAGTGGACTTCAAAAACTCTTCAACATGTTAGTTTTAATGAAACTGCAATGGATGAAACATAATAAAACAGAAACTGCAATGCAGAAAAATAAAAAGTTTATACTTATTTCCTGTTCATCTTCATCTTCTCTGGTAGTTTTTTGTTTTTATTTTTTGGAGGTTTTGAAAAGTCCCTGTAGAATGATAATGGTTTTTAAAAATGTCTTTTTAGAGTTTTTTGTTTACATCATTTGATATCTACATTGTATTTTTGTTTTTATTAGTAGTTCTTGTTTTTTTACATCATTGAAATCTACATTGTATTTTTGTTGTAGTTTCTGTTTTTGTTTGCAGTTTTCCATGAATTTGGTTTGAAATGATTATTATTATTTTTAAAAACCGTTGATTGTTTATATAAATATTGTATAATTGAATGAATATCACAAAAACAAGTTTGGTGTAGTGGTTTGTGAGTGAGGCTTCCTTCTTTGAGGGTCAAGGTTCTAGCCCATTTAATATCACAAAATCTTTTTTTTTTCAGGGTGAATAAACGGCAACTGAGTTGGTCCTTGGCTGGCCTGCGATGGTTGGCCGGTGATAGGTGGCAGCGAGTGGCAACGATGGCGGGCGGCAGTGGCCAGCGGCGGAAATGGAATGGTGGTGGCTGGCCAGAAAGGTGATTGCTAGAGTTGAAATGGCATTGTATGTAACTTTGACATTTTTTATATTACATTATTGTAAAAGTAGGTAATACTTTTAGTTTAAAATGAAATAGTTAAAATGTCATTTTTTGTAATTTTTAGCTTTTTGCAATACATGGTTGTATTTTCTAATTAAGTGAAATTGGATTTGTATTTTCTTAATTAGTAAAATATGTAGTGCCTAAAAACTAAAGAACCCAAAAATTAATGGGAATTATAAGGGTGTAAATTAGCATCAGCTGTAATCCCCCATATTCAGTCTCACCTGAAGCTTTAAAATATTCACTTCCTTATTGACCATGCAGGAGACTATAACTCGACATTCGAATAATAAGCCGCCACGTTGCAATACATGGTTATCCTCACCGCGTCGTATTCCTTCATCCTAACCTTTGTTTCCGCGTACGATAGCGAACTTACCTAATAAGGCGCGAAACGCTCACACTCTCTCTCTCCTCTTCTAATTGGAAGTTCCACTCTCACTTTACTACTTTCTCTCTCTCTCTCTCTCTTCCCTCTCTCTTCGCATAGAACAAGGACTTCACAGCTCTGCAAGGTTTTGATCATGTTGATGACTTTGAAATTTGGATTTTGTTTTTCTCCGTAATAATAAGCATGAATTTTAATTTTTAAGTGGAAATTAGTCCGTACAAGAAAACTTTGTTTCTCTCTCTGTCTTTCAAAGTTTGGTCCCATTGATTTTCTAGGGATCGTTGTCGTTGTCAGAAGTGAAATTTGGCATGGCCTCTTCCGCTTCTGAAGAAGCCCTTCAGGCCTCTTTTCTCAAGAAACTCAAGGAGAATGAGGTATTGCTTTTAAATTTAGTATAATTTAAGAAATGGGACTTTTTGGGTAATTGTTGGGTGAATTTATTTTTCATGGGTTTGTGTCAAATTTTCTATTTATGCCTTTTGTTGTGATGGGTTTTGGGTATCTGATCGTATATGATGATTTTTGACTCGTGGTTGAAGAGAACTACACTTATTGAGACCAATCGCCATGAAATTGTTTTGTTCTCTTCAATTTTGTTAAACTTTCTGGGAAAGTTGATGCTTTGTGTTTGGTTAGCAAGTAAACTAGAAGTCTTCTACTCTTCTACACTGCTGATTTCTCTGTTTCTTACAGTGCTTTTGTTATTTTAGTTTGGGCTGTTTGATCACTCAACTAAATGCTGTAAAACTAACAGTTTCCAGCAGCAACCTCTGGTTGTTTTGGTTAAAACCTATTTTTTTTTAGCTTTAACTTTTAAGCACTTTTGCAATGCATATAAACTCTCCTCGTGGTTGAAGAGAACTACACTTATATACAGTCTCCATCAGTTTGTTGGCAAATGCGGAATTTTTATGCTAAACATACTGTTACGGCCACTGTTATTGTCACAGTTACCATTTGAAAAGTTGTAAACTCTCAGTATGTTGTCACTTACTTGTTGCCACAGTTAAGATTGTGTGTGTCTCCCTTTTATTTATTACCATTACTGGTGTTGCTGGTTTAACCTCTGACCATTATCATCACCACTCATCGTTATTGCAATGTACTGTACCGTGTTTCAATTTTACAAAAAAGAAATTTTTATAATTATATGAATATGCAAAAAGATATATTTTAGCAATTCAATGACAATAGCTATCAAACAATTTCAACTACTCGAAATAATTTTTTTCCTTGTGGAGCTTGTTTCTCAATAAAGATCAATTACCATTTTGGATGATGATATTGAAATTGACTTGGGTAGCGTTGGAAGAACTGTTAAGTTATGAAGAATGGGATGTAAGAAGAATAAGCTAAGCTGTGTTATCTTGACTAATTTTACACTACATGATGATTGGCTGCCTTTTCTGTATCTCTTGTGTACCATTTGTAAAAATTGTACATCTTTCTGTAGGGTGCTTTGGTCAGTGATCCTGGGAACTCAGGTAGTGTAGCAGGTTCAGCCGATAGCATTGATCTCCTCAAGATTTCAACATCAGGATCATCCAATTCAAATGTTGTCAAAACTTCCAATGGTGTTTCATCTAATGACGATGATGATATGAGCATTGAAGATGATGATGGTGATGATGATAATGAATATGACTATGATGACAATGATGACAATGATGGTTTTCTGTATGATGATGATGATTATATGACTCTGCAATCTCATTTTGATAATGTGAACTTGCCTCCTGGGGTAGAAGCTCCATTGCCCTGGTTGAATGATCCTTCACCAAGTGAGAACTTAGCATCCACTAAGACGTTAACTATTTCAGATCTACCACCATGTAGTTCAACTGTTCCTTCTGAGTCAAGTTCTAGTACGAAACCAGCAGACAGCATTGATGACTGTGTCATTCAAAATTCTCAACAGTTTAAGCAATTTGATATTGTGGAAGATTTCTCGGATCATCACTATAGCCGCATGGGATTTTCAGATGAGCAGGTGAGTTTAATTACTTAAACTTGAGCTTTACACCTGCCCCCTCCCAAACAGATGTGTGAACATGTGCAGGTGCCCACATTTCACTTCACAGATGTGCCTGGTCTGGCTGAATATGCATCTTACAGATAAAAATGCACAGGCCTGAGAGCACACACAAACTAACACACCCCAAATTGGGGTAACCATTTCCCATGGGTTGCGGGGAGGGGGTGGGTTTGAGGTACCAGGACATGCACTTATGTATGGATGTGTGATCATGTACTAATCTCTGTCTGTTTATTGATAG